CGAGTGCTATCTACTCTGCCACCGTGCCGCTTGTGGGGCTGATTCAGAATAATGAAACCAAACTTATGCCTGAGGACCACAAAGTAAATGTTTTGGAGTGAAGCTCTCATCTTAAATCTATTGGTAATTTTTCAGTAGATCTCAAAAGGCGTACAGTACTTAAGTGAAATGACCTGATTTAGTCGCACCATTCCTGTTGGAGGAATAAACTGACAGTTTGAAAATAACCGACCTAAATCAGGAGAACTTCTGTCATTTTTAAATGTAAACACTGCTTATTGACAGAGCTGGCCAATCCAAAGGCCCAAACACATTTACAAATCTGTAAGCCAAGCTTTATAGTATGATAATGAATGGTTGTTTTCTGCAAATAATTGTATTTTTGGTATGGTTACTTTTGGACAATAGAAGGACAATGAGATCCTTTTCTTTGGCTTTTAATTGTACTAACACTAAATATAAAAAAACAGGTAGATTTGCTGGTATTTTGATTTTATCAATTGAATTGAATGATTTAATTTAATATTTTATTCAATGAAAAAAGGGTTAAGGTTAGGGTTTTATGAGCTTTTAATCATAGGACAACATTGTTCCCTCATCAAAAGTTGTTTTTATATCCATCCACGCTAATAATAGGAACTTCTGGCACAAACATGTATCTCCGCTCCTTCTGTCTATAATCTCTTGTCTTCGTCCTGTAAAAGTATGAACTCATCACACTCAAAGCTGTTTTCTGCCATTAAAAACAAAAGAATTGTCCATGGATTTGTTTTGGCAATTTCCCAAGTGAAATTATATTCTGCATGGCTGTGGTTGCAGCCGGTAACTGTCATAATTGGAAAAAAAAGAAAAAAAAATAATTCGTCCCTCTGGTGGTGGCATAGAGAATTACATGTGTATAGTATTTTAAATAAATCTTTACTCCATCTTTTTCCAAATATGTTCTACTTAAGATTATATTTCACAAAAAAACATAACATTTAAAAGAAACAATATCATCTTTTTTTACAGACATTTTAAAGTGCTCGTGATATTTACTGTACATAGTTATACCCTGCTCAGACTATATTCTTAACCGTAACATGTTGCACACTTCTGTCTTTTTGCAGAGTGTCTCTCAGAAAACAAACAGTTTCAGTCACTAAAACATTTTCAGAGTCTTTCTATCTATGCCAAATGTGATATGTAAATTTCTCCATTGTGAGGTCAATAAAGTTTATCTTATCTTAAATTATTAAATCAGAATCAAAATTCACAGAAAAAGTTACAGAATAGGAAAATGCTTTGGCTCTCGATGCAGACAAATTAAAAAGTAAAGACTATTTCACTGTTACGACAAACATATCGCTCTTCATTGATTTTGGCACTGCTAAGTAAAAGACTGCACTTCTTTGAGTATTAAAATCTAAAACATACAACACAACTCTACCTCCCTCTAGTGAGCGTCTTGTGCTACTACAAAATGGACACATTCACCACCACTGATAGGAACAACTGTCTTGCACTGCCCTCTTGCGGTGACACTAATTTTGATGAAGGGAAGGAATCACGTCATGTTGTTTTCTTAGTGGCCACGAATAGGATATTAAAAGATTCTTTGGAGATGTGTTTAATATTCTTTACTTTTTAATCATTATTGTACTTATAATGTCCTTCTGAATAGTTGGAAATTCAATCTTTTCCGCCCACTCTATGGAAAGCACGTGTTTTTTTTTTTTTTAACCTTTATTTAACCAGGAAAATACCCATTGAGATCGAGATCTCTTTTTCAAGGGAGTCCTGGCCAAGAGGTCTGTAGCACACGTCACAGGCACTTTACAGAGCAACAGTAAAACAATACAATAATAATACAATACAATAATACTACAAAGTACAAACAGTGAAACTACAAAACATGTACATGATCAAAAATAAAAAACTAAAGGCAACTATATAACACGTTAAAGTTTAAAAGCATGAGCACTTGGCAATGGTTGAGAACTTTTTTTTTTAAAGAAGTGAACGAAATGCGTTTAAAGACAACAATTTGGACCACTTCAGATCTGACTGCAGACTGTTCCATGCAGCGGGAGCAGAATACCTAAATGCCTGCTTTCCCAGCTCCGTCCGGACACGTGGAACAGTCAGAAGGTAAGAATCATTGGAACGTAAACTGTACAGGCTCTTGGTTCTCTGAAGAAGGGAGCGCAGATAGACAGGAACCAAACCGAGAAGAGCTTTGTACACCAACAGCATCCAGTGCGTGTACCTCCTCACTGCCAGTGAGGGCCACTGGGCTTTAGCATAAAGTTCACAATGATGTGTGAGGCGACTACATCCCGTCACGTACCTCAAAGCACTGTGATACACAGAATTTAGCGACTGCAGACACTGAGCTGATGCAGACATATAAATAACATCACCATAATCAATTAAGGGTAAAAAAAGTGGCAGAAACAAATAATTTTCGGGCTCTAAGGGTGAAACACGACTTGTTTCTGAAATAAAATCCTATCTTAACCCTTAATTTTCTGACCAGAGCTGCAATGTGTAATTTAAAAGATAGTCCAGAGTCAATAACAAATCCCAGATACTTGGAACTATCCACACACTCAATTTCCAAAATTCCAGGAATACTCCCCTTTCTTTCTTTTTGATTTGAAAAGATCATCAGTTTTGTTTTTTTTAGCATTCAAAACTAGTTTCAAGAAGTGCAGACGAGATTGTACAATGTTAAAAGCATTTTGTAGTTGCTCGTAGGCCTCTGTTAAAGATGAGGAGCAACAATAAATAACAGTATCGTCTGCATAAAGATGGTAAGAAGCATTTTGGAGGTCATCACACAGATTGTTCACATAAATTGAAAACAACAGAGGGTCTAAAACTGAACCTTGTGGTACTCCCTTAGACACTTCTAAAAAGGAGGAAGTTGACCCAGACACTTGAACACACTGTGACCTGTTTGACAGGTAGTCAGTGAACCACTCGGCTGCTTGGACGGAGACGCCAATTTTGGAAAGAGTTTTTATCAATGACCTATGGTCCACAGTGTCAAACGCCTTAGAAAGATCAAGAAACAAGGCAGCACAGTATTTCTTGCAGTCAAGGGCACTTACTACGTCATTTAAAACTTTCATGGTGGCTGTAACAGTGCTGTGCTTCTTCCTGAATCCCGATTGAAATTCATTAACAATGTTGTTGTCTTCAAGGAAGGATCGCAACTGATTGCTAACAGCACATTCAAATATCTTAGCCAGAACACATAATTTGGAAATAGGACGGTAATTATTTACGTCAGATGGATCACCTGTTTTCAGGAGCGGCAGCACGAAAGCAGATTTCCACACTTTAGGAATCTTGTGACTGGTAAGACTCAGATTAAAAATTTGTGACAGCGGCTCAGCAATGAAGTCAGCTGCCAATTTTAAAAACAAAGCGTCCAACTTATCTGGACCAGCTGCTTTCCTGGTGTCAAGGTTTAGTAAAGCTTTGTGCACCTCAAAAGAAGACACCTTGGAAAATGCAAATGTTTGTGTTCCAAAACATTTACTCTGGACATCTGGTGTAGAAGTGCCTGCAGTTTGCTGTACAGGATTAAGAACATCAAAAAGAGAGCCAGCTGAGATAAAATGTTCATTAAAAAGTTGCAACATTTTATCTTTCTCTGTCACATGTGACCCATCTCTGATTAACACAGCCGGAAGAGCACTTGACTGCGTTGAAGCAAACGTAGATTTAACAGTTTTCCAAAACCTCTTTGGATCATTTAAATTTTTTGTCAATTCTGTAAGATAGAATTCAGATTTAGACTTTTTTATCAAAGATGTGCACTTATTTCTAAGTTGTCGAAAACAAAGCCAATCCGCATCAAGTTTGTTTTTCCTTGCTTTAGACCACGCCTTATCTCGTTCTTTTAGAAGATTATCAATTTTGTTTTCAACTTCCTGCTCCACTGACATGAGCAACATCATTTTTCAAGAAAATAAGGTGATTGTTGGGCTGCAATAAAAACAAAAAAAACCTGCTGAGCCTCATTTGCTGTGAGTCACTCCAGAGACCAGAGTAAAATCAAAAGAGGCACTGAAAGCAGCAGCGCATGAACAAAACATACACAGAATAAACTGAGAATGGCCTCAATAAATACAGCCAGTGCAATGACACAAGAAGGTTTATGGACTGTATCTATATTCTATCATCTGAGTAGCATTATAACAAGCAGCAGTACTTCATTATACAGTTATTAGGTACACTCTATTACGAATGATCACTATGAGACATAAACCATACCATGGTCCTGTACGTGCAACACATTTAATGATTTGAGTGATTATCAAACTGAAAGACACTGTCACTTCCCGAGTTGTTATCTTTTCATGTGAACTTTCAAGAACAAACATCAAAACACAGTTCTCAAATAGGACTACAATGTGTGTACTGTATTTTTTTTTCTTTTGGTACAAACTTCTGGAACATCTCCCCGGGGAGGCATCTAAAACAGATACTCAAGCCTCCTCAACTGGCTCCTCTTGAAGTGGAGGAGCAGTGTCTCTACTCCGATCAGAAACTGCAGAGCAAACTTGGTTTAAGCCATTTAGTCTTTTTGGTTACCCAAAGCTAAAGTTAACATGGATGTTAAGTCTCTGAAACACAAACATTTTCTGCTGGGCCTTCCTACCCCCTTTCGATATAATCCTAGGAGATTATGGAAACCAGGATAATTCCCTGCCCTTTGGCAACAATTATATTATTATAAATAACACTATGAAGGTAATTATGCTCAGTGGCACACTCCAGGGGCAAAACAGATATTTCTTTTGATCTTGAGACATCAGGTGACTAACAATTCGACCCTCTCTGCAGAGACGTTACGTTAAAAATGCACCCGAGTCAAACTGGGCCGAAGGCCCCAGCACACAGCATAAGCATGTGTTTACATGATGTTGAACTCAGAAACCCAGTGAAAGGGTGACACTCCGCTCCAGTGAGATAGTCCTTTCCAGTCGAGCCCGGTTCTGGTTGCCATGGAGATGACGTCATGCTGCAGCGGATTCGGCCAGTGCGCATGCTCGGTGAAGAGACAAGGCGAGACAGCAGTCACAGCCTCAGCGCCTCTCCTCCTCTCCTTCGCACAGACCGGACCAGTGCAGGACCACTCTCCCACTTCACCGCTTCACATTCTGCCAGGAACCACACACCAAGACCACAACATGCGTGAGATCGTGCACCTGCAGGCCGGCCAGTGCGGGAACCAGATTGGAGCCAAGGTTTGTCAAGGATATGCAATAAAGACAGGACAATTAAACCAACTTGATGCACTGTTTCGGAATTATTAAAACCTCAGTCCTTGTCTGCGCGAGGATGCTTGTCGTCGAAGTAAAACTCTATATAGGTCACTTTAGATGAATTCTGAGCGAGATTGTGATGCACTGAAACAATGCCTTGGTTTAGGATGGGCGGTGGCACGACGAGACGTCCCTGCTGCCTCCTTTAAAGCCCACTGGCTTCAACGCACAGAGCACAGCTGTGTCTTTGTCCCGTGCGAGGTTTCTGACGGAATTGTGTGGGCGCCTGAGTGCATATGTTTGTGCGAAGGCCGGATTGAAAGAGGGGTGTGGCACTGTCAGCAGGAGAAGACCGGTTGCACGCTGACATGATCATATGGGAATGGCTGTTATGTGTGTCCAGAAATGCAGAATATTCTATATACTGTTGTAGAAACTCTATTCTATTCCATTCTGTTCCATTCTATTCCATTTCATTCCATTCTATTCTATTCTATTCCATTTCATTCCATTCTATTCTATTCCATTTCATTCTTTTATATTCCATTCCATTCCATTCCACTCTATTCTATTCTATTCTATTCTATTCTATTCTATTCTATTCTATTCTATTCTATTCTATTCTATTCCATTCCATTCCATTCCATTCCATTCCACTACACTCCATTCCATTCCATTCTATTCTATTCTATTCTATTCTATTCTATTCTATTCTATTCTATTCTATTCCATTCCATTCCATTCCATTCCATTCTATTCGTGTTTCATACATGTATCCTTCCTCTTTTACTTCTGAATTTAGAGATAGGATTTTCCCTAGTATTGTATTACATCGTGGATGTGCACACGCCTGATAAGTGTGTGTGTGTGTGTATGTGTGTGTGTGTGTGTGTGTGTGTGTGTGTGTGTGTGTGTGTGTGTGTGTGTGTGTGTGTGTGTGTGTGTGTGTGTGCAGTTCTGGGAGGTGATCAGTGATGAACATGGTATCGACCCCACCGGGACCTATCATGGAGACAGTGATCTGCAGCTGGACCGCATCAACGTCTACTACAATGAAGCTTCAGGTCAAAACACAGACGATAAAATATAGTTCACTGCCCTTTTTATCTTTTTATCTCATCGTAAACTTGTATATTTCAGGGGGGAAGTATGTGCCCAGGGCGATCCTCGTGGATTTGGAACCAGGCACCATGGACTCTGTTCGCTCTGGCCCCTTTGGACAGATCTTCAGGCCTGACAACTTTGTCTTTGGTAAATGAGGGATTATTTTCCCATGTGGAGCTTGCAGAAATGATTGTTGAAATATGGGTATAGGGATACAACCTTAACATTACAAAATAGAACTACTATAACTACTATATCCCACTGCGGATTACTTTTTATTACGGTTACAGTCTATGGTTACAATACATTTTATGGATAATAAAAACAAGCAACAAACATATCTATCTACAACAAGAATACTTTTAAACAAATTCCAATAAATAAAAAAAAAAGTGTTAAAAAGAGTTTTTAATTTGTTGAGCCGAAACCACAAACTGGTTGAAATAATCTCAACTTCTAGGATTAATTTTTAAAACAAAAACAAAACCTTTCAGGATTGGATTAATGTGAAGTAAATGTGGTTCAACACCATCATAATAACTGATGAATCTTTCTGGTTGTAGGTCAGAGCGGTGCTGGGAACAACTGGGCCAAGGGTCACTACACAGAGGGGGCTGAGCTGGTGGACTCGGTGCTGGACGTGGTGAGGAAGGAGGCGGAGAGCTGCGACTGTCTGCAGGGCTTCCAGCTCACACACTCGCTCGGAGGCGGCACTGGCTCCGGAATGGGGACTCTCCTCATCAGCAAGATCCGGGAGGAGTACCCTGACCGAATCATGAACACCTTCAGTGTGGTGCCTTCCCCCAAGGTAACAACCATGAGTCTGGGAGATAAACATGTCATAATTTTGTGGTTAAGCAATGAATTCAGAGGTAAATGTGTACAGTTGGGTGAAAACATTTAAAAGGTTATAATGCAAAAATGTATCATGCAAAACATCAAAACTCAAAGCAGTTTTCTGCAATTAAAAACAAAGGTATTGTCCATGGATTCTTTGAAGTGAAATTGTATTCTGCATGGCTGTGGTTGCAGCCGGTAATTGTCAAATTTGGAACAAGATAAGATAAGAGATCCTTTATTCATCCCGCAGTGTGGAAATGACATATGTATAGTGTATTTTTTTCCTCCATCCATCTGTTGCCAAATATTTTCTACTTATATCATTCTAATGGCCAAAACTGTACATGTTATTTCTTCTTTAAATTGTGTGTTATGTGTAAAAAACAATATATAAATATCTAAACTCTAATAACTTGTTTCTGCAGGTGTCTGATACTGTGGTGGAGCCGTACAACGCCACTCTCTCCGTGCACCAGTTGGTTGAGAACACAGACGAGACCTACTGCATCGACAACGAAGCTCTCTACGACATCTGCTTCCGCACACTCAAACTAACCACGCCCACTTACGGCGATCTCAACCACCTTGTTTCAGCCACCATGAGCGGGGTCACAACCTGCCTGCGTTTCCCGGGGCAACTAAATGCCGACTTGCGTAAATTAGCTGTCAACATGGTCCCGTTCCCTCGTCTGCACTTCTTCATGCCCGGTTTCGCACCTCTGACCAGCAGGGGGAGCCAGCAGTACCGCGCCCTGTCTGTACCTGAACTCACCCAGCAGATGTTTGACGCCAAGAACATGATGGCGGCTTGCGACCCTCGGCACGGTCGCTATCTCACCGTGGCTGCGGTTTTCCGCGGCCGCATGTCCATGAAGGAAGTGGACGAGCAAATGCTTAACGTCCAGAACAAGAACAGCAGCTATTTCGTCGAATGGATCCCCAATAACGTCAAGACCGCCGTGTGCGACATCCCTCCACGCGGACTCAAAATGGCCGCCACCTTCATCGGCAACAGCACCGCCATCCAGGAGCTGTTCAAGCGCATCTCCGAGCAGTTCACCGCCATGTTCCGTCGCAAGGCCTTCCTCCACTGGTACACAGGCGAGGGCATGGATGAGATGGAGTTCACTGAGGCGGAGAGCAACATGAACGACTTGGTGTCAGAATACCAGCAGTACCAGGACGCCACGGCTGAGGAAGGCGAGTTTGAGGAAGAGGGAGAAGAGGAAGTGGCCTAAGGCGGAAAATGTCCTGCATTGGTTTTTCAAGAGCACACTTCACATCATCTCTGTCCAGACATCACTGCCACTCCACTGAATCCTCTGACCTCCTTATTCTCTGCTCTTCTCCTATCCGTCTAACTATCTATCCATCTACCATTCCATCTACCATTCCATCTATCTATCTATTTCAGAGGAGCATTCACACTAAACCAGTTCTCATCTCTATGCTGCTTAGAAGTAGCTACACAGCTGTGCTTGTGGTCCTTTGTCTGTAGCTTTTTGATAATTGTTCATTTTGTCATCACTTTCATATCTGGGTCAAAATAAAGTCACAAATAAATAGTCCTATTTGACAGGTGTTATCAAATAAAAATGAAAAATCTCATTAGTGTGTTGGTTTATTTATTTCTATTGGACAATGATCAGAGGCTGGGTCAATGACTAGTTATTAGAGAGAAAAGAACAAGTGAAGACACATGAGTGATGAAGGACTCTGTGTAGCCTTTATGGTTTGCTCTTATGACAAACAAGACATGCATCCTTTTTAGTGGTGTGAATTGAGGATTTACATGTATTTACAGAGCCTTATCTTCACTAAGTATACTGTAGAATATGTTTGTGTTGCCAATGGTGAAACGCTACCTACATGTAAAAGCCTGATCCTGTCTGACCTCTGAAGCTAAATAAGACAGCTGGGTCTGGTACTGTGATGGGAGACCTCTGGGAACACCAGGTCCCTCATATACAGTACAGACCATGATTATGAAAATTGTAGATTTACACTGAAGGCATCAAAACTAGGAATTAATTCATATGGAATTAAGTACGTTAAGAAAGTATGAAACAACTGAAAACATGTCTTGTATTCTAGATTCTTCAAAGTAGAACCTGAAATGTTCTTCCAACAGTCTTGAAGGAGTTCCCAGAGATGCTTAGGCTTGGTCAGCACGGCGGCATGGTGGCTGAGTGGCAAGCACTCTCGCCTCTCAGAAAAAAGGTCCTGTGTTCGAATCCCAGTCGGGCCAGGGCCTTTCTGAGTGGAGTTTGCATGTTCTCCCTGTGTCTGTGTAGGGTACTCCGGTTTCCCCTACCACTAAAAATATGTACAATAGGTCTGGCATGCACCTCCTGTTCGGCGACCCCGCTCCCATCTCTGTGTGGAGTGAGAGGACAAGTGCCCAAAAAATAACAATTGTAAACTGCTTTGTGACTCTGGTCTGTGAATGGCGGTATATAAATAAAGATTACTTACTACTACTACTTAGCACTTGTTGGCCCTTTTGCCTTCACTCTGTGTCCCAGCTAACCCCAAAACCATCTGGACTGGGTTCAGGTCCGGTGACTGTGGAGGCCAGTTCATCTGGCCCAGCACCCATCACTCTCCTTCTTGGTCAAACACAGCCTGGGTGTGAATCTACAGTCACTAGCCATAAAAAGAAAGGAAACTCATTGAATGAGAAAGTGTGTCCAAACTTTTGGTCTGTACTGTATGCTTATGGAGTGAATGAATAATGGCATGTCTTTGAGTGTCCAAATAGTGCTATATAAAACTGACATATTATTATTATTATCATTATCATTAATATTATCATCATCATCATTATTATTTAGCAGTGCATACAAACATACAGTTACATCTACGTGGAAAGATGACGCTAAAGGTGGAAAGTGAAGTGAGAGGCCTGAAGAGTCACATTTGAGACAAAGCAGGAAGTGTTGCTGTCGTGTGGCGCTGATTTGACACAGTGGAAGTGTCTGTGGCCTGAGCTGCAGCTTTATTTCAGTCATGAGATCTCTATAGGACTCCACACTCTTCTCTGCTGCCCCACGCCTGGAGGAAGCCAGACCCGTCTCCTCTGCTGGCCCTGCGCCTGGAGGAGGCCTGACTCCAGAAACATGGGCTCAAGACTCAAGTAAGAAACAACACATCATGTCAACAGTATGTCAGTCTGTTCTAGTGGTTTGCATTACTTCCTCTTAGCTGTACAGGAAACTCACATACTGGCCTTTGCTGTCTTGCAGCTGAAATTGTTTTCTAAAAGAAAATCTTCAATTGTTCCGGTGTATGAGGTTTAGCCTTTTAATTTAAGCACATTTTTGTTAGTCCTGGAGAATACTTTAGATATCACACCACAATCTTTGCAGAATTCTGCTCAGTGATCATAAAACAAAAACAATGAGACTTTGTGTTTTATATTTCTTCTAAATATCTTACCACACGAGTGCACAGAGTAAACACGGTTTGAAATTGGGTTTTAATTGTTTGGATTTAATTTCAGACTAAATCCTGAGCGGACTTTCTACTGGTTTTTTGAAGCTTGTTGTCCAGTGACCAGAGACAGAGGTAAGTGCACAACAGTATTGATTTTATATTTTTTGGAGACCTCAGAAGTGAAGAATGGGTTTAAAGACATGTCATTAAACATATATAAATAAGATTATCAAAAGCCCATGAGTGAAAAAGTACAACATCCTATTTGAAAGATGATAGATTACTTTATTTCAATCGAGAGGCAAGTTCTACAATCTAACCTTTGAGTTTATAATATTTCCATGCTCTAGCCTACAAGAACACACAGATGTCATGGCTCGCTCTAGCTCCTTGTCGCTTCTTGAGCTCTTTGCTCCTCGCTCTTTTCTCTGCTGATCAGCTTCTGGTGGTCTCCAGGATCAGGCTGAAGACTAGAAGAGTTTACTTTCAAATAACTATTGAGAACTTATGAGAACACAAATTTAAAGTGTATAATACAACGTTATCTGACTGTCATCAGCATGTTTCCAGATGACTGCTTCCTGTGGCTTCTGCAAAACCACAATAAGTTTACGAAGATGACCTTCTTTTCCTGTTTTCTAAGTGAATACCTTTCATTTAATACAGACCCAGTTGTGCAGTTCATGTTCCCAGAAGACTTCACAGATGAGGTATGGTCTGAAGTCTCTGTAGACAACTTGAACTTTTGCACATTTTGTCAAAAACCATAATAGCGTTTGGGCAAAAACATCCATTTTTGTCTGACTTGATTAAAATGCCTTCTTCCACATGGCAGTGGTGTCCATATGACTTGTAGCAAACTTCAAATGAAATTTCTTGTGGCCAATAAAGGCCAGATTTGTGCGATTGATAGCAGCTGTCCTTCACAGCTCTTCCAGAGTCATCTTGGGCCACCTGGATTCCTTTCTGACCAGTGCTCTCCTAGTTTGATCTGGTGGTTTAGGTGGACGGCCAAGCCATACTCTTTCCATTTTCAAATAATGGTTTGAATGGTCCGAAAGACCATTCAAACCATTATTAAGATGTTCAAACAATAATTATGTGCAAAGAAAAGATCCACCCATGCTCAACGTTGCTTCCTGATGGGACACAATGACTTCAAATCATTGGTATACAAACAGTTCCACCCTCCTCATTGGCTTTACTATTCTCCTCCAGGCAGATATAGATATATATATAGAAAGAATAACATTATTAAAGTGAAGACATTTAATAAGTAAGTTGTGGAAGAAATCAGCCGGAGACGAAGAGCTGAGTTTCACTTATTTATTCCAAACACTCATCCCACACAGATGGCGACACTCCCCTCTTATCTCTTCCCCCCGGAACCAGCTCCTTCACAATAACACATTTGTGTGTGTGTTCACCAGCCACCACACAGGCCCCCCCAGAACACACAAATGAACACATTACTCTAACCCCACAAAACAAAAAAAACAAAAAAAGGTACCACTAAGAAAATCTAACAGGCCGCCGGACCACTCTACCCCCCCGACTCCGCTTAACCGGTGTAGCCATCCGGGCAGGGACAGGCAGGGGCCCCACCCCCGGGGCAGGATTAGGCGGGCGGCCTCGCCGAGCAGGGCGGCCCAACTCCACATCCTTGTCCCGGAGCACATGAGCAGGCTTCAAGCGGTCCACCGTGACCCGATCTCGGCCAGCCCCGACCTCCACCACAAAATACTTGTCCCCTGTCTCCAGCACCCGGAACGGGCCATCGTAAGGCGCCCGCAAGGGAGAACAGTGTGCGTCATGACGTACAAAAACGTATCTGGCAGACATAAGGTCCTTAGGAACATGGGACTGAGGGATACAGTGGTGCGCCGCAACCGGCCTGAAAGCTCCTGCCGGGGAAAAAGGCAGCGCCGGCACCCTCGGAACCAGGCCAGGGGCGGAATGCAGAAACTCCCCCGGGACCGTCAGCGTCTGTCCCAGCACCAACTCAGCAGAGGAGGAGCGCAGATCCTCCTTGGGGGCGGAGCGTAAACCCAACAAAACCCACGGCAACCTGTCCACCCAGCTATTGTCCACAAGAGAGGCCCGGAGGGCACCTTTCATAGTCTTGTGAAACCTCTCGCATAACCCGTTAGCCTACGGATGATATGCCGTGGTCCGGTGAAGTTTAACCCCCAAACTCCCAGCCACTGAAGTCCACAGCTCTGAGGTGAACTGGGGGCCCCTATCAGAAGTCAGGTCCAGAGGAACCCCAAATCGCGCCACCCACGAATAAATAAAAGCCCGGGCCACGTCTGCCGCAGTAGTAGACAACAGGGGCACCACCTCCGGCCATCGAGTGGTCCTGTCCACCATGGTCAGGTGGTGAGTGAACCCCCGGGAAGGGGGAAGAGGGCCCACCAAGTCCACATGGACATGTTCAAAACGTCTCTCGGGAACTGAAAAAGGACCCAAGGGAGCTTTCACGTGACGCTGCACCTTGGCCCTCTGGCAGGCCACCCATGTGGAGGCCCAAGTCTTAACGTCTTTTTTGAGGCCAGGCCACACAAACTTAGCACTCACCAACTTCACCGTCGCTTTCACACCGGGGTGAGACAGGGAGTGAACAGCCTCAAAAATGCGGGCGCGCCAGACCGCCGGTACCAAAGGACGTGGTCTGCTCATGGACGTGTCACACAGAAGCGCCGCCCTGCTGTCCTGAAAAACCACATCTTCCAACCTCAAACTAGAATCAGTGGTGCGCGGCCCCTGCACCCCCGAATCCGCCAGCTGGTCCACCTCCATCTCTGCATAGTCAATGCCTAAATGGACAGTGGAAACCTGAGCCCGAGAGAGACAGTCCGCCACTGCATTGTCCTTTCCTGCAACATGTCGAATATCACAGGTAAACTCAGAAATAGCAGAAAGGTGCCTTTGTTGCCGCGCCGACCATGGTTCCGAGGTTTTGGCCATAGCAAATATAAGGGGCTTGTGATCCACATAAGCAGCAAACTCTCGGCCCTCCAGTAGAAACCTGAAGTGGCGTGTGGCAAGAAAAAGGGCCAAGAGCTCCCTGTCAAACGCACTGTACCTCCTCTCTGACTCTCGCAACCTTCTACTGAAAAAGGCTAGTGGCCGCCAGGCACCATCCGACCACTGCTCCACCACTGCCCCCACCGCGCAATCAGACGCATCGGTAGTAAGCGCAACCGGTGCAGTAGGATCGGGATGCGTTAACAGCGCAGCCTCCGCCAGTGCAGTTTTAGCCCGGTCAAACGCCAACACCCTTTCAGGGGACCACTCTACGACTTGGTTACCCCTCCTACCCCTCAAAGCGTCATACAAAGGGTGCATAAGGTGGGCGGCATGGGGAATGAAGCGGTTATAAAAGTTAATCATGCCCAAAAACTCCTGCAAAGGCTTCACAGAGGGGGGGCGGGGAAAAGCTAAAACTGCTTTGACCTTAGCAGGGAGTGGTACAGCACCCTGCCTCGAAACGCGGTGTCCCAGGAACTCAATTTCTGACAGTCAAAATTGGCACTTAACTGGATTCACAATCAACCCGTGCTCAGTGAGCCGCTCGAAAAGGAGGCGGAGGTGTAAGCTGTGCTCCTCAACGGAAGGACTCGCCACCAGTATATCGTCCAGATACACGAATATGAAGGGCATGTCACGCAAAACCGAGTCCATCAACCGCTGAAAGGTCTGCGCTGCCCCCTTAAGGCCAAATGGCATTCTCAAAAACTCGAAAAGGCCAAAAGGCGTAATAACTGCTGTCTTAAGGACATCTCGCGGGTGGACTGGCACCTGGTGGTAACCTCTAACCAAATCCACCTTCGAAAACACGACAGCCCCCGCCAGGTGCCCAGAAAAATCCTGAATATGGGGGACCGGGTACCTGTCGTTAGTCGTGGCGTTGTTAAGGCGACGGAAATCTCCACACGGGCGCCAACCACCGTCTGATTTGGGAACCATGTGCAAAGGCGAAGCCCACGGGCTGTCTGAACGGCGCACGATTCCAAGCCTCTCCATGTTGGCAAACTCCTTTTTAGCAATCAACAATCTTGCCGTATCCAAACGGCGCACCCGAGCGAAAACCGGCGGGCCCACGGTAGTGATGTAATGCTCCACCCCGTGCTTAGCTACCGCCGCAGAAAATGTGGGAACCGTAAGGGCAGGAAACTCCGCTAACAGACGCTGGTACACGTCCCCAACGGCCAGCATGTTAGCCAGAATGCGCCCAGCTTTCCTCAGCGTACATGGATAGGAACTAAAAGACACGGCATCAATCAAACACCTGTTAGACACATCCACTAATAGCCTGAATGCACATAAAAAATCTGCACCCAGGATAGGAACTGACACCGAAGCCATCACAAAGTCCCAGCTAAATTCACGGCCATTAAAACACATTGTCAAAAACCTGGTGCCAAAGGTGCGGATGGAAGTCCCGTTAGCTGCATCCAGCGGAGGGCCCCGTCCTTTCCCAGTAGCGTCGGCCGTGGAGGGGGGTACGATGCTGCGTTGCGCTCCCGAATCCACAAGAAAACGACGTCCTGAAGCCCCATCCTCAATGAAAAGCAGCCTGTCCTGGTCACCGGTGCAAGCAGGGCCCTCTCGTTTCCCGACTGCTGGAAAGAGCACGGTGGGATGCAACGGCGAGCCTTGGTTCCAAAGCGGCGGTGGTAGAAACAGAGGCTTCCCTTCTTGTCTTGTCGATCCGTCACAGCCGTCACGTGCACGCAGGCATCCTCCTCACACGCATCCGGAGGCACCAGCGCATGCACCGAAAACTGCCTGGATGCCAGCAGAAGTTTGTCAGCCTCCTCCGCCAGCCGTCTGTAATCCTTAGTGCGGACCAGGTCCGAAGTGGCCAGGGCACTACGCACAGGGGGCGGGAGCTGGCGCAGGAACAGATGAGTGAAAATAAATGAACTGTCCCCAGAGCTGAGTAACGCCAACATATTTTCCATCAGCTCAGATGGCTTGCAGTCTCCCAATCCGGAGAGCGATAACATGATGGAAGCGAGACGCCGAACACACTGGAGCATCAAAGCCTCCAACCAACACCTTCCATTCACTCATTACATTCAGCCCTATTGTACATCATTTAAAAAGATTACATTATCAACCGGACAAAGATAATGAATTAGGTTCCTCTAAACTTTTCTCAAACCTTTGCAGGAGTCTCGCCAATCGTTGCCACAGTTTTGTTTCCCGTACGAAAATCAAAGGTGAAGTGAAATCATAGAACTATAATAGTATATAATTGAATGCATCCACTAAAGCTCAGTCTGTTGTAGACCACGGGACTCGGTGGCGGTGCAGCACTTCACCTTTGCGCTCACGGACCTGGACGGATGCCAGCGCTTCGGGTTCTGTCGACTCGCTGACTCCTCGCGGACCTGCCTCTGCATACTCAGGTGCCCCGTACAAACGCATCACGACGTGGACCACACTGGGTCTATGTAATAACTGTACCGTGGTATGTTTCAGTTATCTCCCCTGGTTTGAAGTGTTTTACAAACTCCTCAACAACCTGGCGGACTACCTCTTTAAAGGACAAGTGAGGAGTCTTGGTGACAGCTTATGGTTTTCATTTATACTGTTTCAAACCAGTGAATCCTCTCTGTGGACAGATCAACGAGCTGAAGGCGCTTCTGGGTGATCTGTACCGACAGCCTGTGCCACTGGTCCCTGGATCTGTCACTCTCACTATGGTGAGACTTTTACTTTAACACAAAGTCAATGCAGCTGTTCAAATTTGTGTTGGAATGGTCACATGTACCTCTAATGAATCTAATAACTAAACAAAAATCTTCCTTTATATCATAGCACTATGCCAGACTGCCAAAAATATACATCATTAAGGTTAAGGATGAAATACATCAAATACAGTGGCTGACATCACCTTTAATATCAAAGACAGATGCTGATAATTACTTGAGATAAAAATCACAATGCAGTTTTTGTGTTGTGTTTTTCCTGAGGGAGAACAAGTGTCGGTCAGTACTGAGGTACACCTCTCTGTAGGGCACCCAGGGGCTCCTGAGGGGGTGAGTCCAACACCGATCAGACCATTCCCCGCAGAAACTAACCTGAAGCGTCTGCGACTCTAAACAATCACTCCACATTGATCACATGTGTCTTCAAGAATGTCTTCAGCTCTGTTCTCTTCAGCCCAGGTGCACTCATTCATCAGTAAAATGCACACAATAGATTTGTCAACACTAATTGGGAATTCATATAAAAACTGAAACACACAATTCTTTATTCTGTACTGTGATACTTGTATTATTGTGTCTGATCATGATGTATGAGCTGGAGATAACAAAGTCTGATCATTTGTGTCTCTTTACGTGTCTATAAATTATAATCGCTGTGTGTAATATAACCTCATATTGTGTGCTGTTGAATGGTTGGATGTGAGTGATGTCTGTGTTTCTTCAATGGGAGGACTTTCAAGGTACGTACTAAATTTGAAGCTACATTTATGTATCAAAACATGAAGGTGGCCTGAGGATGAGTGAGCTCTGGTGATGGCCTGTTCTGCCTTTTTATTCAGCAAGCGTTATGAGACGTGTATGAACTGTACATAAATGCTCCTGTTGTGTGTAGGTCCCATACTTCATCGCTCCTGATCCCAGAAGTCTTCCATCTATACCCGAAAGTGTGAGTCTGTGAACTTTATGTTTCCTCTGTCACAACAATTCAGCAAGTACTACAGTAATATATTTCATGAAGAAAGAAGAGCAGGAGTAGGATGAAGAAAGAAAACTTCATAAACTCCTTCCCCGTTCTTATATAAAGACATTTACAAATTAAGATGGCCTACGCAGCACCAAAAATAAAAAAAATTGCTTTCCATTAACTCTGATGATGATTATTAATTACAATTATTATTCTCATTCCCTCCACTATTATTAATAATAACAACAACATATATAAACACATAATTATCATCACTACCATCACCACCATCCTCATATATTTTTCTTGTATTCAATTTATTCATAATTATTATTATTATTATTTTTTTTTTTTATAAAACAAATTGATATATATATTTTTTTTAACCAGAGGAACTTGACTGAGCTCATTGTTGCTGTTGACGTGGGGAACCTCCTGCAGCTCTATGCCAGCATGTTGTTCGAGAGACGCATCCTGATCTTTGCCAGCAAACTCAGCACGGTAACAAGTTTCTCTTGATCGATCTGCCCGCACAAACTCACACAATAATGTCACACACAATAATTGGACTGAGTGAAAAAAAAGTCTTTACCCTCACACATTAGAACTGCACAATCACCCCAGCTCTTTGTATCCTTGCTTAATGGTATATACTGTAGAAGGATTTTCCCATTTTTTTGGAAAGAAACGCCCTCTCTACTTTTTGAACTAAACTCTCAGGTCTTATTTGACAAGCACGTATCACCAGAATGATTAACAAATGGGAGGACCAATAGGCTTGATGATCCACCCGTAAGTAGAAAATCCTCATGTATACCTTAGCAGACGCACTTTTTCTCTTTGGCTTTTAAAATCAGGTAGCAAGAGACAAGTTTTTGTTTTTAGATCACAGTTAGTAAGTGAATGATGTCGCGTGATGACAACATTTATTTGTCCTGTATAGCACATTTCATACAAATACAAGCAGCCCAATGTGCTTAACAACATAAAAGCATTTTATAAGCTCTGCAGAGACAGTGCAACAAAACGGTTCACAAAAACACACAACAAAGTGATAAATGCCTAAACAAGTGAGTTTTAACTTTACTTTTGAATGAGCTCAGAGTCAAAGCACATTTGATATAATCAGGCAGAGCGTTTATAACAGACTAATGGGAGAAAGCTGTTATTATTATTAATTATTTAAGGCTCTTCACTTATACTAACTTCAAGTGAATGGCAGTTACTTTTCAAATTGTGAAGATAGAGTGAAACTTTTTAAACACTAGCACTAGTCTCCGCCCATGCTGACCCTCACAGCCTCCTGATTGGTCAAAATAAACTAAAATCCTTGTGGCCCCTCATCATTGGTCATCAACTGTTTTCCTCCAGCAGATCTTACTAATCGTGATTATGCCAAAGGGAGGGACTGTTTTAAATGTTATATATTATTGTCGGAAAATACTTACTTTACCCAATAACGCAATTTATTATGGTCAGAAATATATATTCTGTTCAAATTCATTAAAATGTACGTTTCTGTCATCACCTTCACATTATTTTACGAGTCAGTGCAACAGCAGGGCCCTTTGCAGTCTCCATCCATCCATCCATTTTCTTCCGCTTCATCCGTTGCCGGGTCGCGGTCTCATTCTAGAAAATCGCAGACTTTATTCTAAGCTGTAAAACTTGATTCTGAATATGCACAATATTGTAAATCCATCTTTCTCCCGTCGTTCAGCTGACATCGTGTGTGCATGCCCTGAGCGCTGTGCTGTGTCCGATGAACTGGCAGCACATCTTCATCCCTGTGCTGCCTCCACACCTGCTGGATTACTGCTGGTAATGAAATCAAAGTCACGTGGCTTTGCCTGTTTCTGTTTTTTATAAGTTTTTGTGATTGCAGCGCTCCAATGCCGTATCTCATTGGAGTCCACACAAGTCTGGCAGAGGTAAGACACACAAAACCTGTTAGCACCAGTAATGCTCTGGCCTGGCCTTAGCCTTAACTCTGGTCAATTATCATTTCCATAAGTACGAAATGAAAGGAGTACGATGGTATGGTAGGACCAGGCCAGTTATGTTCTAATGTCAGGAGATATTATTTTTATTTTATATTCATATTAGTATTTTAGTTAGGAGAAGTTTTTAATCTTTATTTTATTTATTTTATTTATTTTATTTATTTTATTTATTTTATTTATTTTATTTATTTTATTTATTTTATTTATTTTATTTTATTTTTTTATTTATAATCATTATTATTATTATTTATCATTTGAAATTTTATTTTTATTTTTTATTTTATTATCTATGTGTGTATAAGAGCTGTAATTATCAATTTTTTTGATAACCAATTAGTTTCTTGGATCCCGAAAGGTCAGTGAACATGGGATTTTTAACACATTTGACCTAACAAATTGATGCCACTGGAAAACATATTCATAGATGACTTTCATTGTTATTTTTCATCTTTATTATGGACACAGAATATTGAGGTCCATAGTTGAAAAATACACAATACAAACAGTGTATATCACATGGAAAATAAATATGTACGAGTAAATATCAAGTGTTGCATATAACAACGGCATGACCCCCAGTGGTTCCATGGTTTGGAGGTGTCCCGCAGAGGGTTGTTGTAAGTCACGATTGTTCAATGAACTTGTTACAGCCCAAGCTCAGTGTTTAACGGTGGCTTTGTTCACATGCTTTGGTTTATATGGTCCAGTCTTGACTTGCCTCGAACAACAGTTATGTAGTTTTTTTTGCTTGATTATTTATTTGTAACTATTTCAAGTTAAACAAGTCCATCTGTCTTCAAAAATAAAATAACACATTGTTATGACTGCCTCTTGAAAGTTTAGAGGTTTTTATTGTCTGTTTTTTATTTTATTTTGTGTGTTTTTTTCTGTGTCTGTGTTGATCTGCACCTTGAGTCTGCAAATAAAGTTATCTATCTATCTATCTATCTACATGGACATATTTGAATGATCTGTTATTTATTGCTTGTGTGTAAATGACAGAAAGTGAGGAGCCGGGGATTAGAAGAAGTCGTTATTCTCGATGTGGACACAAACACGCTGGAGTCTCCCTTTAATGATTTCAAGAAGATCCCGACTGATGTGGTAAGAACAGAAATAAACTTCACTTAATGTCACAGTTGTGAAACGAACATGTAAGAACTGGATTCCACCTCCTCTGTCTTCATTTCACCTGTAAATGAGCAGTTCCACATTCTCCCTCACTCCAGCGGGAAACAGACCTCAATACAATACTGTTACACATTCTCACGTTTTGTGCTCTCTTCATAATGAAAATAGTGCCTAATGACAGAGAACTTTCATATCACACCCCTAATATATTCACATTCATATCAATAATATTGTTTTGAACTGATATGTATTAACAGATGTTTGGTGTGTGCAGATGTCCCAGCTGAAGATGAGTCTGAAGCGGCAGGCCGTGTCTCGGGGCAGTGGAGTCTCCAGGGCTTTCCTCAGAGCCCAGGCGCTGCTGTTCGGGGGATACAGGCAGGCTCTATGCACACAGGTTAGACTGAAACATGCTTTATCTGCACTGTTGAAAGAAACTGTACATTATCTTTCTATTTATATCAACAAGAAATTCCAATCAAATAAATAGGATTAGAAAAAATGAGAAATTCTTATCTTTCTTGGTGGAATTCATAGGCATTTATTTTAGTTTCTAAAGACTCTTAAGTTCAGATGCATTTACAGCTACTTAATTATGTATCTTTGGTGTGCTCTTACAAATATAGGCTACATTTTGTCAGTTGTTATTGTTTTTTAGAAACTCAAAAACCATTTGATTTAGCCATTCATAAACTCTATATGTATTTCAACCTTGCAGAGTGGGGATTTGAGTTTTAACAAAGAACTTTTTCTGGGTCACAAGTCCTGGATGAAGCAGTTCCTTCAAAGTGCTATCCACTGTCAGTTCTTCAAACAGGTGTGTTTGTGTCTACTGCCCTCTACTGGCGACAGACTTCCCTTTGTGTTTTTGTATCCTTACCATGGATCTGATTCTTACCAACAGATGGAAGTCATTTGTATTGTAGATGTTCCTATAAGCACTATCCCTATCAAGTAAATACACTACAATCATAGAATTAGCAGAACACATCTATGGTCCCATCATTGAATTTAGGCTTAGGTGCATTCAAGTCGCTATTTTTAAAAACAACAATGAAAAAAAAACATTACAAAATATTATGTTAACACATTGGAGGGAAAACCGCATGTGCATGTTTCTGCTGCTGATAATTTTGTATTGGGTGTCGAGGACTCCTCGATAATGACGTTAAATATCTCATTGGATTGTTCTTTTAGATAAAGGTAAATATAAATTATCAGTGTGAAAATATTCATATTCTAGAACTCCCCACCATGGTAATATAACCAGTGGGATGTGTACAAATGTGTCATTATCTCAAACATTTTATAAATATAGCTTATAGCTTATATAAGTGACATGTTAGTCCCATAAGAACCAGCCCGGACTCTGAGGAGCACAGGGACTGGACTCCTGTTAGTGCCCAGAGTCAGGACTAAACATGGGGAGGCTGCTTTTCAGATTCATGCTGCTAAAATCTGGAACAGTCTTCCTGAAGATGTGAGACAGGCCTCCTCTCTGACAATGTTTAAAACCAGGTTAAAGACAGTTCTGTTTAGCTGTGCATACAACTGAGGGATTTTATATTTTTATCTTTCTTTTTAATGTTCTGTGATTATTTATGACTTTGAATTGCCTTGTGTATGAATTGTGCTATATAAATAAACTTGCCTTGCCTTGCCTTTTGTTTGTAGTTTATTGACAGCCGCTTGGACGTTCTGAACAAAGGGCTGGAGCCCAATGACCTCTTTGAGGAAGAGATTGAAAACTGTGAAGCCTCTCCTGGTTTGTCCTGCTCCTCGCTTTTTACTGCATCTGTTTTATGCTGTTTTATTCATTGGATTTTCTCACAGGGAAACCCAGGTCATATCAACAACTGGCTGGAAACATAAAGGTGAGTTATTGATAGTTTGATAAAACACCATTTTGTCATTCAGATATAAAATAAAGTTAAATGTTTTTGTGTCTTCTGTAGAAGGGAGGAGGGGCACTGATTCTCAATGTGAAGTCAAACATGAAGGTTCTGAAGTTAAAGGAAACACCAAATAAACCATGATATTCACTTGCTTTTATATGTTAAGAATACTGATTTCTTTACAGGCCAAAGGTCTTACAAAATCAGGACTGAAACACCTATTGATCCATAAGGTAATAATATACCAGGCACCAACTTTTGACCCCTCACAGCAGTGGTGAACTGGCCACACAGGTTACAGGATCTGAATCATGACCATTTGTAATTGAAATCTAGTTTTGTCTTTTTGGTTTTCAGAAATGCAGTCCCATTTGTGACATGTAAATATTCTGTTTTAGCAGAGCCACACTGAAGAGGTCAGCATGCAGAGGGGTGGTTCTGTGTCACATCGCCTGGAGGACCGGCAAACAGCCACACAGCTCTTAAAAGTCAGTCTCCACTCACTGAAATGTTACACTTCATGTGTTATTATTACAATCTAATTTGTCATGTACATTCTCGTTTGGCTGCATGCTTTGCATGTTCTCGTTCCTCTGTTACTTGTTTTGCCTCTATTGTCACATACACATCGACCCATGAACAAGTATCAAGTTTTCAGAGATGAAGAAAACATAAAGGATACTAACAGAACATGCAACAGGTGAACACAAAGACTTTTTCAGTTATATTTAGTGCACCCATACTACGGGGACGTATGAGCCCTGTCCCATACTCCAGCAGATTTACATAAAACTGCTGATTTTGAGTTGATTTATAGACTATTTGTTGATTCAAACTAGAAGCCTGAGCACATTTTTATTCTAAAGTGTCCCGTGCAAAAAGTGCAAAAGAAACAGCAGTGGCATTATGTAGTAATGATACACACTTGTGCCGTTGTTGTTACCGCACCATGTGAACCAGTGAGTCCTGTACCAGTTTTCATATCACATAGGCCTTCCTTAAAATGAAGATTTACTTATTTCTGTAAACCAACAGTGTAAAAGCCTTCCTTTTTCTGCCTGTGTTTGTGTGTGTTTGTGTTTGTGTGTGTGTGTGTATGTGTATGTGTATGTGTATGTGTATGTGTATGTGTATGTGTATGTGTGTGTGTGTGTGTTTGTGTGTCTGTGTGTATTTGTGTGTCTGTGTGTATTTGTATTTGTATTTGTGCCCCTTTGTGTGTGTGCTTGTGCTGTTGTCAGACTTGAGTTGGAAGATGACGACCCCAGGACAGAGGAGGAGGAGTTGCTGCTGTGTGACCCAGAGGAGATGGATCTCCTTGGGGAGATCTTCGACACCCTGAGCTCCCGGAGCTCCCACGAGCGAGGGCTGCTCTACGCCACCCGCAGCCTGGACCTGTTTGCAGCAGACAGTCATGACTTCATCGCTAAGGTACTCACATGTCTTCTTATGACGGTATGCTATTGTGAAGTAGTACCTGGGTTTTGTTTGCTTGATTGATATTTTTATGGGAAATGAAAATCCAACATATGATACCAGAATAAACAGTAGAAGTTTATGCACAGTGATTCATGTTATAATTAAAAATGCCGGAAAACCCAAATATTATTTCTTGTGTTCAAACCATTTCATAGGTCGGAGCCATATTATCTGAGACACAGTCTCCACACAGTACTTCCTTTCTTCTAGATAGGACCTAAACCATCTTAGGGCTGGTGCCAGCAACACCAACCCAGTCCTCTAGTCTCTGCATGAGAATCTCATGGTCGACGGTGTCGAAGGTGGCACTCAGATCTAACATAACTAAAAAAGAGATTATTATTTGTCATTCACTGCTTTTAAATTTCTATTCTAGCGCAGCTTTGCTAACCCGAGTGAGGAAAGTCTGTGCAGCAGTCTGCACAGCTGGCACCAGGAGACCACAGATCAGCTGTCAGACTTAACGGAGGACTGGGATCCACTGGAAAAATCCAAGATAAAGGAGAAAGAGGAAACCGCATCGATGATGAGGGAGAATCAAGACCTTCACATCAGCCCACAAGATCTGAAAAAAGAAAAAGACAACAGAGGCTATTTAAGGTTGGAAACAACAGTAAACGAGCCACAGGTTGAAAATCATTGCAACAAAAAGGATGAACAAATATATGCTCTGACTGAAAACAACTTTAGTGACTTTGAAACACAAGGAAAAAAAACTTTTGATACAAATCAGGACTTTGAAGCCAGCTTGTGTGTCCCAAAAGCGGACGTCCATTTGATCCAGCGCACCCCGTCTCCAGCAAGAGTGCTCTCTGCTGCGACTAGGTTCCAGAGTCATGCCCCCATCCAAGGACCGGATCTGAAGTCCAGGATGAAAATTTTAGAAGAATCTGGTGGACATCTACACATGAAAAACAACTTTACAGACACTGAAGAGGAAAAGCCCCCAGTGAATGTGTCAGAGCTCAAGAAGAGGTTTGAAACTGAATAAAACAAGTACATTTTCAGCACAACAGTAGAACTTAGTAAAGCAGTCTCAATACATTTGAGGGATTATTTGGTGTAGTTTTTTCAGTCATTCAGTGTAAAACAAGCATTACAAACTATAGTCACGACCAAAAGGGTTCAGGGTGAAGTAAAACATTTATTACGCCTATCCCAGTAGACAAATGAACATAAGATTTCAATAATGCAGAAAGTAAACAGCATTTTCCTTAATCAATAGAATACTGATTATTTTCAGAAAACTAAAACAAATTGTGGAATTGATATGATAATCGCACTATGTTGCAAACCAACCATAAGTGTAAAACACGGATTCCAGATTTGCATTTATCATGAGTGCATAAATTGAACAGTTTATAAATATAATACGGCAAGAAGCTAGAATTCTATTTCAGTTAAAGGGCAGGTGCCGTAACAACTGTGGAGGAAAGATGCATTTTTAAAGAATTGTAAAAGATGTCATAAAGACCATATAAAAAACGTTTTTGGATGCTTTCATTTCCAGACACTTTGGAGAAAACAATTAGACCCCAGTTCATATGTACTACCAATGTTGTGATGTCACATGAACGCTACCTATTTTTTGGTAGTGCATTTGACCAATGTAGGGGTAAATAAATGGTCTGCAAAAATGTATTTATAATTTATTGTGTACTTGTCTCAAATCATTTAAGAAAAAGATTTACATAAATGTATTATGTTGGAAAAACTCAATCTCACGTTACAGACATGTAACAAATCTCACAGGCAAATATATATTTTTTCATATTACAATAAAAAAGTGCATCGTATTTCAAATCCTTCATTGGCACAACAAAACAAGAATATAATAAACAATGTGAAAAAAGTAACAGTACAAAACAAAAATAACAGGGTGCAGTCATGTAAAGAAGTTCATACAATCAAGTGAAATAAAAATCGGCAGAGATTGAGTGTCCATAAATATTCAGAAAGTTAAAGAGTCATAATCGGAGAACGTTAGATGAGCCTTTCCTCTTTGGGTAAAGGCAGCGGGAGCCCAGGTTTCTCGGGACAGTTTGCTCGAGTCTGTTTCCGCTCCTCTGCACTGGGCCGGTACGTTCCATCCATCCTCCTCTTCTTCCGGATCAAACACATGAGCAGCAGAGATGCCAGCGACACCAGAGACAGAGCCGTCGACAGCAGTGCGGACGCCGAGGCTGGGCTCAACTCCTGCCACACCATTCTGCAAAAGAAGAAACGCACATTCAATTAACTCCAATTGTCTAACTTAAGAATGTTTGAGATTAAAAAAGTCCAACATATAGGAAGCTCAATGTTAAGAGCCAAAGGGGGAGGTCCAGATTGTCATTTACTCAAGAACCTAGATCTGTGTCCGTATGTGTGTGTCCGTGTGTGTGTGTCCGTGTGTGTGTGTGTGTGTGTCCGTGTCCATGGATCTATAATAATAATATCTGGATAGGGTATTACTAGCTTATAGCTGTCCCACCCATGGGCACAGGGGGCGCCCGTGGTACTGCAGACTCTAATCACGTGGGCTACCCAGAAAAAAGTCCCACAAAAACAGCTCGGCCTCAGCTGACGAGAACCTACAGCTTTCATAAAGGTTGGATTTTGTGTGGATTTTAGTCTTCCTGAACTTTTTTTCTTGTTAACCCTTCAGTTTTCTTTAAATCCACACTTTAATGAAACACTCTGCTCGTTTTCTTCCCGCTTTAACTCCGCTCTGATTGGTCAGAACGCGGCCGAGCCTCTGTGCACATGCTTCAGAGCCACAAACAATGCAATGCATCATGGGAGCTCTTCCACTGCGCGGAACGGGGCGGACCAGACAATGCCCAAATATGAGCGCAACTGAGCACAAGCCATTCATTCGAATAGGGCGCCATCTTGGATCACCGAGGCTTGATTGTATCATGTTACTTTTCTGTATTGTTTTGGAACAATTTTATTCCAAAGCGTTTTGTTTATTGAATGAGTGAGGCAGGTTGGAAGTTCAGAATCAGGATTATTTTTATTGCCATTGTAAGCAAGTCATAAAATAGGGATTTTCTTTGGCTAAGGGTGCAAGGTAGTTATAAAAGCAAAAAATAAATGTAAAAGCATTAAAAATCTTCATTAAATGTGTACAATATACACAAGTGCACATAGACATTTAACAGGAGATTAAAGTGATAGTAGCATAAAGTGAGTAGAGGGTTAGGGATGCCTGAGGATATAATAAATCTATAAAATGCTAAGTTTAAAAAGGCATGAGCAGTCAATGTGGATTCCTTTTTATAGTACTGACTTGAGCTGTAACAAATTGCATAATCTTTATGACAGCAGAATAAAATGAAAAAGTCTTTACAAAGTATTTTTTTAAACACACAACCCAATGCATAACTGTACATGGGAACTGTTCTGCACTGTATTCCTTTTTGCATTTTAACTGCTCCCTCTTAGGACTAGATGGAAATGAGAGATTACATCACAGTGTGGTACAAGCATGCTCTGAAAATATACAACTAACCACCAACCATGCTTAATATATTACAAAACTAAGAGGAGTTTCTTTCAGTGTATGATCAGACATTTATCAGACAAACTTGGACAAGTAAATGCAGCTTTACGTTGGAGCATGGGTCAAATGCAGAGGACAAATTGTCCTGTGGGGACAATAAAGAATAATTAATTACCTCCTGATGAATGAGTGGACCAGCTCCGCTCTCACATGTAGAGTTAACTCCCAGGCATCAACAGTGTTATCAGAGTTGGGTTAATGATCTGGTATAATGTACACAGAGTCTCAACATCTGCAGAATATACAGACACATAGTAAATTCAAATGATCACGATATATGAATGACACAACAATGTTCCATTTACCCCCATTTATAAAGTAATTAAAACAGGCCGGGTCTCACTGGGCGCTGCTGTATCCTCACTCAGGTTATGGCTGCGTGGAGGAATGCCGTAGGTCCAGTTACACCTGTTCAGCAGGTGCCTCTTATTCAGCTTCACACGAACAGAAGAACTGTACACGCTTCGTGGCTTTAGATAATGCCGTCACAAAGACGCAAAGTCAGCAGAACATCTGTCTATATCCACGTCCGTGAGTTACCTGTACGAGGCTCACGCAGCGACACCGGACACTGTACGTCTCCACGCTCACCTGACGCTGTGCGGAAATAAAGTCACGTGACCACACCGCACCAATCCCCTTCAAACACCAATCACCGTGTGTGTATCTATAATAGATTTTCATTTGCTCCCTTTGAAGCTCTGAAATGGCACTAAACACGTATAGTCACAGGGATAAATGACATAATATATGTAGTTTTTTTACAAGATTACTATTTTATGCTTCATTCTATTACTTTTGGTGTTTCACTACCAGTGAAACCAAAGTAAAGCGTTACTGTAATCCAAATTACTTTTTCTGAGTGACGAAAGTATCAGCGTCGCTATAAACAGCGTGAGAAGAAAACTAGTGAATGACTCCACATCAAGCGTCAGTAAGCGCTGAGCAAACGAGGAAAACTGGGGAGAACCATAGACTGTGTGCTGCTGGTGCTTATGACATGTTGAGCACATGAGCGAGATAGTTTTGTTTTATCAGTGGAAAAGATATGCACTATTTTAACTATATGCAGCCAACTCATCCTCGAACCTTTTGAAACACTTGCAGCGTCAAAACTATCTGGAGAAGTGCTACAGCAAAAAGTGCCCTGGCTACATTTATTTCGACCATTTGAGCAATAACAACGTATTTTTAGTTGACCCTTATTTAAATTACTTTATGAAAGCAAATGTGCAAACATGATTCTGTTCTCTTTTTTTGTTCCACAAAGTAATCCAAAAGTAATGTAACGTAGTCACTTTCTTGCAGAAGTAACTAAATAATGTAACTAATTACCTTTAAATAATTTAATTTTACTGTGATATACAAAACACTCATTTATTATATGCAAATTACTATTCACAGAGGGGTTTTATTATGTTTTCTTCACGTGATCCGCCTGTCCGTCTGTATTTTATTGATTTCATTTTACAGTGACAGCATGGCCTTGTTTACTTTGTCTTCAGCAAATATCCCTACAAAGGAAAAAAAGTTAACTTTCTCTTTGAATTCCAGGGAATTTCTTGTCAGTTCATGGCCGACTCTTGATGAAACTTGCGGTAAATTGTGTTTTATTGCATTCTTTGTCAAGCAAGCAGTTCATGCAGAAATGTGCTGTATCTTGTAAATACTCTTCTCCTTCCTTCCTAAAGCAAACTGGTCGATAATATTTAAAGGAGCAACATGTACAAATCTGGCCAAAAGTTGTACTGCACTCTCCCTGACTCAGGTTGCCTGATATGCAGACGAGTCCAGCTGGGACCATAACAGCTGAATAGAGAAGAGTTTTGTCAACAAAAAATCTATATCCAACACCTATTTCAAAAAGGCCCCGATCGAATTCCTCATTTTATTCCTTGTTTTGTCATTAACTCATTGACTGCCACTGACGTATTTATCTGATACGGTGATTTTTGTTAAACTTCCCTCTCTTTGACTGGAGATTTCTGAAGAACAAAACTAACTAAAAACCAACTTATTTTTGCTGATGAAAGTAGACGCTCCAATCTTTCGGAACCAGGTTTTATATTTCACACACTCACAGCACACAATATTCTGTGGGTCTTGAAAAATCAGCGAAATCATCAAAAACAGCTGGCAGTCAATAAGTTAATGATTTGAGAATCATAACAAGATCGTTTTTAGTTCTGCGGCCACATGTTAAGGCCCGTCCCAATTCTGAGAGCACTCGAGTTGTGAGATAAGATGCAGATAAGATATGACACAGATATGACTTTATGAAACAAAGTATGTATTAAAGTATCCATATCACCCACACACAGAGACAGACACACACATACGCACACAGAGACACACACACAAACACACGTACGCACAGAGATAGACAGACACACACGCACACAGCTACATCATGGATCTATAATAATAACATGCACCACGTCTCTGAAGCCTCAGTGAACGCCACTTTCTTGCGAGCGAACGTCACCGCATTCGGCCCAACACACGCTTAAAAAAAACCTCTAAATTACTTGCGCACGCTTCGAAGCTTCCACACGTTCACCACATACTTGCGCAAGAGTGTGCAAGTGAGCTCCGGTGCTCACTTGCGTGTGAGGGGACTTTTTAAGGGTGTGAGTGCCCTCGCCTCTGCTCCCTAAGAATTGGGATACCCCACAACTCCCGCGGGCATGGGCAAAATCTTGGGCAAGTGTATAAATTAAGGGCTAGGGTGAGGATTGGGAAGGTGAGATTAGCTCGTGAGGTATTGCAACCTGTATCACAGGATTTCTGATAAGTAAAACGGTGGAGAGGGGGAAATCGAAATGAAAACAATAACAAGATTTAGGTAAAAGCTCACTCCACACTAAACTGTATCAATGTGTTACATTTTGGTCAATGACACAAAAAAGTCCCGAAATGTCCGCGACCGTTTCCTCTGAATGTTTACAGACCCACTCTTGTTTTGTCCCCAGCTTGTTTGTCCAGTGAAGGGGGCACTTCTTGAACACAGATTCGTTCACGCCTGCATTATTTACACACTCCAAGACAGCCGTTTTGGACGTAACAAAAGTGGACACGATTGTTACGTCCAAAATGCCCAGTTTGTCTGCAGTTATTGGATAATGTTTTTTTTGCATAATGTAAATTCTATAATTACATATTGATTGTGGTTATGTCTCCAACCATTAACCATTAAATAGTCTTGTCTGTCCTGTTAATTCTTCCATTCTCAAAGCCTCCAACATGACACGTCCTAAATGTAACAATTATGTCCCCAAAGTTTAATAATTTTTTTTTGAAAGGCATCCATTTTTCTTGGAGATCCTTCTGAGATCCATCCATTTTCTACCCTTTAATCCATTTCTGGGTCAGGGGGGTGGCAGTCAGAGATGCCACCCAAGTCTCATAGCACCAGCCCCTCACTGACCCTCTGCAGGTGGTGAGTCCACAGGAGGACGGCTGCTCTCTGAGTGTGAGCATAGCCTTGATCTTTCAGTGGGGGCTTTGGGCAAAGTGGGGTTAAGTGTCTTGCCCAAGGACACAACGACAGCAGTCATCAGTGGGAGTCGGTGGAGTGTGCGGCTGCCGAGAATAGTTTACCTAAACAGAGCTAAACCATTTTCAACGGTAGTCAATGGGTAAAAGTTTCATGCGTCACTTCCGGTGCCAGCGGAAGTGACGTGTGCGCGCTGCTCTAAAACGGAGAGAGCCGGCTTTCTCCATTCATTGTGGATTACACACGCACTCGGTAAGTCTCCTCTGATAAACACAATGTTTTTGTGCTCGTTCTTTATGTTTCACTCCATAAATCTCTCATATTGTGCGTAGATCGTTCACACACGTCTGTAGTTTAAATCTCGAGTGTGTAGTGCGCTGTTTATGATTGTTTACCTCCGTGTCATATGTTTGTTGCTGCTGCTGCTGCTGCTGCTCGTAGATCTCTCTGTTTGGATCAATATTGTAAAGAAAACACTTTCTCTGCGTTGTCAAACAATCTGTATTCACTGTATTCTACTGTATACAGTAATGCAGTTTGTTTATGTCTGGTTGTAGTAGTATTTCCAGCGCTAGTTAACGCGGTGTTTTGGGATGTACACACGTGAGCTAAAGCACACTGTATACAGATCAAATGCACTTTTAATAAGTTTAATGCACATAGTTGTCGTAACAGGCTGTGTATAAGTGCTGCTGTGAGTTTGGCTCAGTGTTGTCACTGTGCTCTTTCTCTGTTCACTTACTATTGTCTCATAAATATAATACAGTTTGCTCCATCTGTTGTACTGTAGTGTACAGTATGCTTATTGTTGATGTGTGTACTGTCTATATGTATTTCACATTTCTATAGTTCAGCAACACATTGAGTTGAAAATGAATTATATGCAGTTAGTTTACGACAATGTATTAGTGTTTTACCAGTTCATATTTTCCTTCTATAACTGTACTTACTGTATCCCAGAGCCTCATGCTGCTAATGTCCAGATGTAAACATACAACTGTATATGTCTTCTCTAGATTATACAGGATTCATGCTTCTTTATTATGCTAAAGATATATACATTATACATACTTCTCTATCATGCTATAGCTAGATATTTTATGTTCTTTTTTTGTTGTTGCAGACAATATGAAGACATTTTCATTCTTTCCTGGCCGCGTCACTGTGATTTTTCGCAAGGGCCCACGTGGATTCCTGCTGCAGGACCCTTCAGAGGAGGCGAGGGAGATCAGGGACGACCCGTCCATGACGGAGTGCGGTGCTCCTCTGAGGGAGGAGGTGGTGAGGGAGAACGCCCTCACTCTGGTGCGAGTGAGAGGAGGTGATGCCTCAGACAAGGCTGAAGTGCTGGGGGAGTACATCGCTCACAGCAGGCAGTAAGACCAGCACAGCGCCTGCTGTCACCATGCCCCCTGCAGCAGTGAACCCCCCTCCTCCTGCTCAGACTCTCATGTCACCGCTGTCTGAGGAGGCCATAGAGAAGGTTGTGCAGCGGATCTTGGAAAAGCAGCAGCAGCCTCCAGCAAATAAACCCCACACAAAGAAATGCCTGTCTTGTGGCCAGCCAAAATCCAAATATGAGGGCGATGGCAGCTCCATCCACGAGTTTTACCAGCCGGGTCCTACCAGGTATTTCTATTGCTCCACCAAGTTCTATAACACCTATCGCACAGAGGGTTTGACCAACTCCAGGATGCCATTCCGAGACTTTATGGACACTGAGTTCTGCCAGAGAGAGCTGGAGGCCACGCAGCAGAGAGTGAATGAGCTGCAGGAGAAGAAAAGGAAGAGAGATGAGTCTCCTGCCACTGGGAGAAAGTGCGGGTTCTGCAAACTGCAGCTGAAGCAGGGACCAAACAGTCCTCACATTCATACACAATTCCCTGGTCTGTCAGGAAAATACATCTACTGCCCTGCCAAAGTATTCTCCCTGTACAAGGACCAGGGGATGGAGACGCAGATGTTCCAGCAGTCTCCTTTTTATGACCTCCTTTTATTTATGAGATGTATATATTACACCTGTCTGTTCATACATTTTTATAAATATTCTAATTATTATGTAAATATATACTTAATGTTGATTATATCTAATTATATCATTTCATTTGTAAAGTCTGCATCTACAGTTCTGTATAGTCAGCTCTCAGCCGTCACAGTCACAGGGCTCATCACACAAATACTAGTTTAAGAAGATAAAGATAGCATGTTGTTGTTTTTCTTCTAAGTGTATTTCTTAAATGTTTAAATATCTATTTTTTCATCTGTTCACAATAAATATATTATAATGTCATACATTATTGAAGTCTTTCTTTTTATTGATCATATTTCAGGGCAAACAACAGTAGTATTTGACAAAACAATCTGTATAGAAAATAGAGTTTCAGTTCAGTGTCAGTGGGATCAAAGCAGCTATTGTTGAACTTGTTCAAAGCACCCCCTGCAGAGTTCTCACCTCTGGGATATTCCAGGTGTGTTTGTCTAAATCCCTTGATCAACACTTTTCCCATCCTGAGGAGGTGTGACCTTTAACCTGTGTGTGAGGCCTTTGGGGATAAGCCTCTGTGATCTTCACACACTCACACTTTGTGCAGGTCAAAAGGTTTCATGACATTGCTGTTAATATTACTGTCAATTCACTGATCATTTCAAGTGTTACATTTCAAAGAAGCTCTCTAATAGTTACATTATGTACTTGAAAGGTAATGTGGCTGTTATTAAGGTCAAAATGAGACCCAGTTATTAACTTTAAACTTTTAAATAAGTTTGATTTATTTGGGGTGAGACGGGTTTCGAACTCGCGTCTGTAAATATCCTTGCATTTTGATTGGTTGGACTTCATCACAAAGGCACGTGGCTGACAGGCTCATTCTGATTGGCTGGCACGATATGCCCACTATACGCGGCTGGCCCGCGTCCGGCAGAGGTGGGAATTGAACCCACAACCTTCTGGCCTTAAGGCCAATGCTCTACCAACTGAGCTACTGTCGCCCCTTCTGAGATTATATATATATATATATATAGGCTATATACTGTAGTATTAAAAAGTGTTTAGGTTCAAACATTTTTAGTTCATACATTTATTTTATTGTTGCTTGAAGTTAGATCGAGCAATGGCACAGTTTAGTGTGGAGTGAACCTAAATCCAATTTTGAAGTTTGAATGTCCCGGCTGACTGTTTTCTGTTAAAGAAGTATTGGAAAAGACCATGGTTTATTAATGCCTTTTGACATATCAGGTCTATTTACTGATGACTTGACATGAAAATCTTACATATTGCTACTTTAACTTAAAGTTGAAAAGTGTGTTTTATTTTAATGTATATTATTTATGTATCTGTTCTATGTATGTGTATTATAGTACAGCTAAAGAGTACTTTTACAGCTAAAGTTAAATTTACATATAAGCAGTTTAGATTCATCCAAACTAATATCAGGAACTTCTGTCTGAAAAGAATGTCTCAGTCCTGTCTCAGTATGATGTAATTGTACCGCTATGACGTATCAATTCTCTGCCTTTTAAAACAAAAGTATTGTCCATAAATTAGTTTAGCCATTTCTCAAGTGTAAGGATGTTTTCTAAATCCTGCATGGCTGTGTTTGCAGCTGGTAATTTTCATAATTGGAAAAAAGCAAAACAGTTAGACAGAATGTGCCTGTACAAGTTCCCCAAAAATGTTATACATATTTCACCAACGTACTTTACAGAAACTGCAGCCTAAAAAACATTGATTTTCTGTGTTTGTCTTTGTACAGACAGGAAATTTCACAACCGCTGTCGGGAACTGATGTGTATTTCTGTTTGTGTTTACTCACGGGAGAAGGACCTTTGGGACGTGAATAAAAGACGAGAGAAGTGTGCGGGAGCAGCTCTGAAGGATGAGGAGGACACTACTGTGGACGGCCTGTCTGGGCCTGGCCTGTATTGCAGCTGTCACCCATGCTGCACCGCTGTAAGTTATTATTCTCATATTCAAGTTATCACATAAAGAGAAGACATACAGTGGGGGAAAAAGTATTTAGTCAACCACCAGTTGTTCAAGTTACCCCACTTAAAAAGATGAGAGAGGCCTGTAATTTTCATCATAGGTATACTTCAACTGTGAGAAACAGTCAATTTTTTAAAAAGATTTTAAAGAATTTATTTGCAAATTATGGTTGAAAATAAGCATTTGGTCACTTACAAATAAGCAATATTTCTGGCTGTCACAGACCTGTAACTCCTTCTTTAAGAGGCTCCTCTGTCCTCCACGTTGTCCTCCATGAAGGACAACGTTACCTTGTTATCTGTATTATTTCTCTAGAAAATGGAAAACATGCAAGACCACTGATAATCTCCCTCAATCTGGGGCTCCATGCAAGATCTCACCCTGTGGGGTCAAAATGGTCAAGAACGGTGAGCAACAATCCCAGAACCTCACAGGGGGACCAAAGGTGCCTGCAGAGAGCTGGGACCAAAGTAACAAGGTTACCATCAGTAACACACCACGCCGCCAGGGACTCAAATCCTGCAGTTCCAGACGTGTCCCCTGCTTAAGCCAGTACATGTCCAGGCCCGTTTGAAGTTTGCTAGAGAGCATTTGTATGATCCAGAAGAGGATTGGGAGAATGTCATCTGGACAGCTGAAACCAAAATAGAACTTTTTGGTAAAAAAGTAAGGAGTAGAGTTGCATCCAAACAACACCATACCTAATGTGAAGCATGGGGGTGGAAACATCATCCTTTGGGGCAAAGGGACCAGGACGACTGATCTGTGGGGGCCATCCATCATGAGATTTTGATTGAAAACCTCCGTCCATCAGCAAGGGCATTGAAGATTAAACGTGGCTGGGTCTTTCTGCATATCAATGATCCCAAACACACCACCTGGGCAACAAAGGAGTGGCTTTGAAAGAGGCATTTCAAGGTCCCGGAGTGGCCTAACCAGTCTCCAGATCCCAACTCCATAGAATATCTTTGGAGGGAGTCTGATTTAACCAGCGACAGCCCCAAAAACCATGTGAAAATCTTGTGAAGACTTGCAGAAAACGTTTGAGCTCTGTCAATGCCAACAAAGGGTATACAACAATCAGAATCAGAATCCTTTTATTGCCATGTTAGTAACAGGAAGTCACAAACTAGGAAATTGATTTGGCTCTCGGTGCAAACAAGTTAAAGCAGAATAGAGTAAAAATCTACATAAATCATTAAGATTATTGAAACAAAGTATTGAGATTAACTTTTTGTATTGACCGGGAAAAAAATTTCCACCATGATTTGCAAATAAATTCTTTGTGATCTGTGATTTTCTGGAAAAAAAAGAATCTCATTCTGTCTGTCATTGTTGAGGTTAACCTACAATGAAAATTACAGGCCTCCCTCATCTTTTTAAGTGGGAGAACTTGGCGGCTGACTGAATACTTTTTTGCCCCACTGTAAAGGTTCACCCGGAAGCAATTAAGTAAGAACAATATTGAAAGAATATAAAATCACAATTCATATCCAAAAAACTGATTTAGCTTTTGTATTTCTTCTCATGTCAAAAAGTATTTTGTTTTATCTGTTATTTACACAAGTCCAGATTGTGTCACAGTTCAATGTTATGTGGATTTTGGCCAAAGATCTAACTGGGATATCTGGTAGCAAATATCAGAGTTCACTGTTCTGAGATTGTAGAATAATCGTCCTCATTTCTACAAGTGCCAAACGTCATTGATAATTCAAATGTTCATGATTTATGCCTTATGTGATATGGACTGTGAACTACTTTGTGTTAAATTGTCTAGAAAAAGCACTTGACAAATAAAAATTGATTGATTGATTGATTTGAAAACATATTGAAGCAATTTCAACAATATGATATTGCTATTAACCACATTTTTCCCTAATCCATTTCAACGTTTTATATTCACAGACAGGTGATGTCTGCCCCCAACCTACTGCGTGTGGGAACAGCAGAAAAAATCTTTGTTGAGTGCCAAGACTGTGCTGGGAGATCTCCAATGAATGTTAGAATCTCTGTCTGGAACTATCCAACAAAAAACAGTAAACTTAAAGACACAACTGTTGAACTTCATACTGGCAACAAATACCAGGCTATTGGAGAACTTGTGGTAAGAACATTTCATTTTTCAATTTTCATACTCTTCTTACAAACCGCTGCTTGTCTAATGTTTTCATTAATTATTGGTTAGATTCCCCCGAACACTTTTGACAAGGGTCCAACAGTGAAACAGTATGTGTACCTGATAGCAGAGTTCCCGGGCACCACTTTGGAAAAGGTGGTGTTGGTCTCTTTCCAGTCTGGATATATGTTCATCCAAACAGACAAGACTCTTTACACCCCAGATAGTGCAGGTAATACAAATATTTTATATATTCTTTTATCAATATTTGTCATAACCAAACATTATCTTGGCCACAGTTTATTTCAGAATTTTTGCCCTGACGCCCGGTATGAAACCGATCGGAAGAGATGAGACCACAGGGACCTCAGCCTCTATAGCAGTGGAGATAGTGGTTTGTGCTTTTGTGTACACTGTATATTCATATTCACTTGAAGTCCTATATTTGAATTGTTTTTACGGCTCAAAAATACTTAAAATGCGTCTATGTCCTTTGTAAGGCTCAGAACTATACTGTAGACCCTGACGTCCTATTTTAGACCTGGTCTGGAGCTTTATTTGTGTATCTATTTTATTTGAGCATCAGTTTCTTATTGTCTAGCTTGTTTTGAACAAAGCACAAGGTTCAGCAGATGTTACACAAAACAAAGGAAGTAAGGAAAGTAAATAACACCTTTTAGAGGCTGGTGCTTTGAGTGAAAGGCTTGAGAAGCACTGTAGATTTGTAGTTTAAGGCCATACTCTGGCATCATCTCGGAGGCACAGACATTACATCATCATAGAGATAAGAGGTGCCCACTGTGGGTTGTGAGATACATTTTGTAAACGAATACAAAATTCCATTTGACCAGTTTTTTTGATTATTGAAGTTATACTATATGTTAAGATGAACAAACAAACAAGCAGCAGTTATGTTTCTATTGTTTATTTTGATGGTCTCTGAAAAGATTGGGATCCCTGGATTATCTGGATCATAGTAATGCAGGTTTTCAACCTTGTTACTGGTACATATATATCCTGCTATTCTGTTTTGTTGTTGTTTTTAATCAGACGCCTGAGAGTGTGGTCATCCCACTGGATCCTGTCTCACTCAAAGCCGGGATGTACTCTGGAATATATCAACTTGGTGAAATCGTCAGGTTAGTAAAAGTTTATAATTTATTGTGGTTACATTTCTTTGACTAAATGGCAGAACATTACTGTACTCCCCTCTGTGTCCCATTGACAGTATTGGCCAATGGAAAGTTGTCACCCGCTTTCAAAGCAATCCACAACAGACTTACTCAGCAGAGTTTGAGGTTAAAAGATACGGCAAGTTTCTCTTGAGCTCAACATTTAACTGTTACATATGTTTAAATAAATAAATAAAATATTGTCTTTCTATATCGTATGTTTATGACTTTCAGTGCTGCCCAGTTATGAAGTGAAGGTGACATCGAAAATGTCTTTCTACTATTATGACACAGAGTCGTTCCCTGTCAAAATCAAAGCAACGTCAGTGGTCCATATTAGTTTTTAAATTGTTTCTACAGCATAGATTGTAACATGCCTTTGTTGTTTAAGATACTTGTTTGGAAAAGAAGTCACAGGTATGGCCTATGTTGTGTTTGGAGTCATGAAAAATGGAGACCGAAAAGTCTTTCCTTCCTCATTGCAAAGAATACCGGTGAGCATCATGTTTGTTATGGCGAGTCGCCTCTTTCACACATGCAGCTTGTAATGGGAATTTACCCAGCATTCTACCAAGCATGACCATTCACCTTGAACCTAGGTATATAATCACAGATTTGCAGGGAAATTTGAAAGAAAAAAGGCATATTATCATGAGTAAAGCAAAGCTGTAAATATTCTGGTATTTTGTGGAATATGTTTATTCTACCTGTGTAATACTGATATTACCTTTCTTACCAATTAGATTATAAATGGTAATGGTGATGCCACACTGGTGAAGCAACACATTCTGAATACTTTCCCAAACACTGGGGATCTGGTTGGAGGATCTTTATTTGCGACAGCCATGGTGCACACAGAGAGCGGTACGTGAACATGTACAAACAATTACTCGTGTTCTACTCTTATGCTTCTAATACATATATCATCATTGTTACAGGAAGTGAAATGGTTGAGGGGGAATTAAGAAATTTGCTAATTGTTAAATCACCTTACTTCATCAACTTTGATAAAACACCTAAATATTTCAAACCTGGAATGACATATGACGTCACGGTATGTAGTTCAACAGTGATTTGGCAAACATTTAGACCTTTGTGTTAACTGAGTTTGTTTTGTAAATCACAGATCACTGTCACAAACCCTGACGGCAGCCCAGCAGGGGGGGTCACGGTCGTCCTACAGCCACGTGGTAACACAGAGCCGGATGAAAACCGCCAGGGTCCGACTCAGGACAATGGCAGGGTCAGCCTCACCGTCAACACCAGGGCCTCTGACTCAAGCCTGACTCTCATTGTGCGTGAAACACAGAAAGAACTAGAGCAGTGGTTCTCAACCAAATCCTCTTCAGTGTAAATATTTTGTAGTTCTATTCCAAATGTTCTCCGTATTATAAATAATAATTGTAGGTACAGGCATGCATTATTAATAAGGTGAAAGATTAAGAGATGTTTGTTTGTATTTACTTAGTGTAAAAAGTGTGAAAACCACTGCACTAGTCATTAATGTTTAATGTTTCTTTTCCATTTCATGTTAAACATTGTGAGTGTGATTTTAGGCAATGACCAGTGATTCTAGATTCCCCGGTGAAAGGCAGACAACAGCATCCATGGTGGCTAAAGCACATGAGACAGAAAGCAGAAATTACATTCACATAAGTGAGTACTGCATGTTGTACTTGATTTTCAGTGTGGGGATGGAGATTCTTTAGAGCAGCAGCTGACTCATGTCGCACTTAAGCAAGAAAATGATAGAGCGATGAATGTGTACATGAGTGATGAAAACAGGCAATGAATATCTGTCATGAACCTTTTCTACTAACCCTTCAACACGTGTAATTACTTTCTTAGTTTAATTGCAACTAAACATTGCTTATTTTAAAGTAGTTTGACGTTTAACTTATATATGGATGGATAAATCATGTTTTTGCTGGACGGTCATTTGATTAGTATTGGCTGTGTACAGAATTGTATTTGAAAGTTGTCTAACGCTTATAATCTGTTGATTTGTTGCCACTCTATAATAGGTGTGTTGTCAGTAGACTTGAAGTTAGGGTCGAGCTTCAAGTTCTCTCTAAATCTGAACAACCCAGACAATCAATATGAAATCACATATCTGGTGAGTTATTCATACAAGAAACATGGTGACATTTCTATTAATCCATTCAGTTAAATGTGACGATATTATCTTCAATTAGATCGTGAGTCGAGGCCAACTGGTCCATTCTGGGAGACAGTTTTCTAACGGTCAAACAACTGTGGTGGTCCACATCGAAGTGACAAAAATGATGCTGCCATCATTTCGACTCATCGTTTACTACCACCCCACTCCGACTGAGGTGGTGTCCGACTCTGTTTGGGTGGATGTTGATGACTCGTGTATGGGCACGGTAAGGTACTCAACAAGACATGAGCATCAAAAAGGCTTGAATCTTGAATCAGAATTTTGAAACCATGAAGATTTTTATAGTTAAAGTACATTTCTCCTTTGTGAAATCAATAAAGTGTATCTGATCTTAAAGCAATTTAATGAAATATAATGTATGTGTTTTAGCTGAAGCTAGAACCAAAGTCAAATGCCCTATCGTACGAGCCGCGGAAAACGTTTCGTCTGAAGGTCACTGGAGACCCTGGAGCCACTGTGGGATTGGTGGCTGTGGACAAAGGTGTTTATGTCCTGAACAATAAGCACATCCTGACCCAGAAAAAGGCATGTTCTTGTGAACCTTTTCTACGACACAAGTGCTTCGTTAGCTGTTATGTTTGAATGCTTCCTGTTTGAATGTTCAGGTGTGGGACATTGTTGAGGAGGCCGACACCGGCTGCACTCCAGGTGGAGGGAAAAACAGCATGGGAGTGTTTTTTGATGCAGGGCTCATGTTTCAAACTGATACAGCGACTGGGACTTCTGAAAGACAAGGTCAAGCACCATTCACTTTGACTGTATTTTGTTAATCACCAATCAGAAACAGACCGGATATACATTTGTTTTAACAGTTATCCACTTTATCCACCAATATATTCTATATAATCAGGAACTTGTGGCACAAAGATCTCACTTCACCCATTCTGTCTAAAAGCTTCTTTCTCAGTCCTCAGTCCAGTAGTATGTTCCATCAATTAATTTTAAATTAACTTAAATTAAAGTAAATTGGCGTTCTTAACAACCACATGACTGTGTTTGCCACTGATCATTTTCGAATAAAAAAAATAAATAATAAGGTTTCAACCCTCTGGCAGAAAGTATATTGTACCCTTGATACTTATTTCACTGTATATGTTTATTTCACATTCTAAAACATGCAACACAGTAAATAAATTGAATAACCCCATTAGAGTTTTTAAAGGCCAAGAATTATGCATAATACTTCCTCTTTAGATCACTCACTCAAACTGCATTTTCTGCAATATTTTCAGATGTGAAATGCTCTGCTCCTGCTCGAAAAAAGCGTGCCGGCACTTTGTTTGATGCAATAACCACTCTTGGTAAGTGGTCACTACAGATTATGCTCAGAATAAATCACTTAAGCTATTGTTATTATTTCAAGCTCTTTTTGTAATTTCTTCCTAACATCAAAGCAAGTCAATTTAAGGACCCCCTGGAGCGCGAGTGTTGTTCGGATGGAATGAAGACCACACCTCTGTCATACTCGTGTGCCACGCGTACGCTGTACATCACTGATGGTGATTCCTGTAAGAACGCCTTCAAAAAATGCTGCGAAGAGCTGGCCAAGCAGAGGGGCGAACTCAAGCAGAACAACCTCCTTCTGGCCCGCAGTAAGACACACATCCACCTCTATACTCAAAGTGACACTGCGCTTTAAATGGGCATTACGCAACTTTATGTGAAAGTTGACATTTTTGTAGTGACCCAGTGGTCCTCCTTCTAAGTGGGCTCTTGGATGCTATAGGATCAATTGCGTGAGTTTTCATCATGCCATAAAACCCACAAAACAGTTGATCCTGGAGCTCTGTAGATGCAACCATGATCAAAGGTTAAGACGCCATGTTGCCCACTCTTTCAGCCATTGGGTCACTACAAGGTCAAATATGAAAAAATAGAATTACTTTACACGTAAAAAGATGCATAATACACCTTTAACCATATTCAACATCTGCAGGTGAGACGGACTCCAGTTACATGGACAGCAGTGAAATTACTACTCGAACTAAATTCCCAGAAAGCTGGCAGTGGGTGACTTTCCAACTTCCAGCTCAGTGTAGTGGAAATCCAACTTGGTAAGATACACTTTCAACACGGTAATCATCGTTTTTTTCACTGGAATCCTTGATTATGTTTTACAGTGAATCAGAACTGCAGATTCCCCTGAAAGATTCCATCACAACTTGGGTGTTTACCGGCATTAGTATATCAGAAAACACTGGTAAGACAGGAGTACATTTTTGAAAACATACTTTATATTTACAAAAACAAATTAACAATCATTTTGCGTTGCTTCCTTTTAGGTATCTGTGTTGGAAAACCTTTGGATGTGGTTGCATTCAAACAGTTTTTCATAGATCTCAAGCTCCCATATTCTGCAGTGGTTGGAGAACAGATAGAAGTCAGGGCAATCATACACAACTACATTGATGATGAAATTACAGTAAGGTTATACCAATTCATTAATATAATACTTTTGAGTTACTCCCGCATTTATTATTCCTCCTTAGGTGAAAATTGAGCTTGCAGAAAATCCAAATATTTGCAGTGCAGCATCAAAACGTGGCACTCATTCTCAAACGGTTACCGTGGGACCTGTTACCACTCGAGCTGTACCGTTTGTTGTTATTCCTATGAATGAAGGCGAATTACCCATTCAAGTCAAAGGTTATGTGAAAGACTCGTGGCACGGCGATGGGATTATGAAAAAACTACGAGTTGTGGTAAGTACAAAGTAGGGAATGGTGGTGATCTAGAACTAACACTTGCCCACAGCTTCTCCGCAAAGTGTGTTTCAATCGTACAACTGCACTGCTCCGAGTGGTTTAGCTCACTTATATGGTCAAAACACATGCAGACTCGTTAGATATATACTTTGTCTTATAAATTCTCAAAATCATGTCTCAGGAAAGGGACTTTATTTTTTATTTGTCTTCGGTTCTCTCTAGAAAACACACACACACACACACACACACACACACACACACACACACACACACACACACACACACACACACACACAAGAGCAGGGAAAAGCAGTATAAATATTTATCAGATACACGTCAATATTTCTCTACTGACCTAGTACACATGCTTGATGTAATAATCATTCATTTTTTCACAGCCAAAAGGTGTTCTCACCATAATAAATAAGGTTGTCTCCATAAACCCAGAAGGTATATAGCAGTAGGTTGATTTTGTGATTTTGTGTTAGGCAAGTGTTAAGTCTCATGTGATTTGTCATTGTGCAGGTAGAACACAAGAAGAGGTAATCAACAGTGCGATTATAAAATCCGAAATGGTTCCAAATACTCCCTCAAGCACCAAAGTGTTTGTGTCAGGTATCATAATCATTTTATTTTTGAATATATAGTGTACTGGGTCGGACGTGACAGATATAAAGGTTAGACTAAACAAATTTCAAATGTTTGTTGAAGTCTGACTACAACAGTTAGGAAGGCATGGTTGGATATTTCTAACAATTATTTTGGTTCTAATTTGGAATATTTTTCTTATCCTCAGGCAGAGAGCAGGTGACTCCGCTTGTGGAGAGTGTGATTGGCGGGACCTCGATGGGCAGCATGATCGTCAAGCCCATGGGCTGTGGAGAGCAGAACATGATCTTCATGACCAAGCCTGTCATTGCCACTACTTATTTGGACAATACCAATCAATGGGAAGCAGTGGGTCTGGGGAAGCGCAGTGAGGCAATCGAGAATATTAAACTTGGTGTGTACCACTAAACACATAAAAGGAATGATGTTAGAAATACTATTATTCCCTTCTGAGCGATATGATAACAGTGGTATTTATTCAGGCTTTCAAAATGAAATGAAGTATGCCAAAGCTGATGGATCATTTGCTGTATGGACTCATGAAAAGAGTAGCACTTGGTAAAACAAATTCTTTCAAAATTGTAAAACTCCAACTAACATTGTCTTGTCTTTTTGTTCTCTGAAAGGCTAACTGCCTATGTCGTCAAAGTATTTTCCATGGCCAACAAGTTGGTTACAATAGAAAACAATGCAATCTGTAACGCCGTGAAGTTTTTGATCCTTCGATCTCGGCAGCCTAATGGCGTGTTCGTAGAGATTGGGCCAATCTACCACAGGGAGATGACCGTAAGTTTATAAATGTATGCTCTGTGTAAGAACATATGATTTTTTATTTTTTCTCATTGTCTGGAATTATACTTTACAAAAAAACAATAATTGGGAAAAAATAACTTCTCTCAACACTCAAAAATACAGATTGGTTAGAACAACCAAAACATGAATCATCTAGTTGGTTGTTATGTATCATTTGGTTAAACCAACGTTTGTGTTTTCAATCAATCCACAGTGTGTTGTAATGTTGTGATCTGTCAATCGATGCAAATTGGTCAACAATTGATTGGTTAATCTAACCAATATTGGTTTATCCAATTAATATCATGGCAATGAGCCATTAGAAATCAGTAAAAGTAACTGATCCAAAACTAACTTAGGTTATGTCCGTCCTAATTGTGTTTGGATGCTAAAAAACTGTCATATGTCCACAACCATCATATACATCCGTGTTGTGCACTGACATACTGTGAATGTACTTTTAGGGTGATGTTCTGGGAAGAGAATCGGATGCCACCCTGACAGCCTTCACTCTCATTGCGATGCAGGAGTCCAGTCAAATATGTGAAGCCACAGTGACTGTAAATGTGGTTTTATTTACTGGTTTCTCTCTCATCCATCATTTGATGAATGAATTTTATTGCACGTTTATTTTCAGAGTTTAGCTAGTACTATGGCCAAGTCTGTGGAATACCTGGAGAACCGACTTCCTTCTCTTACCAACCCATATGCAGTTGCTATTACATCATATGCTCTGGCCAATGCACAGAAATTCAGAAAAGATATTCTGTTCAATTTCTCTCCAGGTTTGATGAGAACTTTTGATGTTTTTAATGTTAATTTGCATATGGTTATAAGTGTAATAATCATAGTTACTGCATCTTGCAGAGATGGACCACTGGGTTTCACCTCAGGGACACGTGTTCTCTCTGGAAGCAACAGCCTATGCTCTTTTAGCTCTAGTGAAGGGTGGAGTAAGTCTTGTACCTTTGTATTTTCATTTCAAAGTCACTTATTGAAGATTTATTTTTTGCCCTTTTTAATTTGTGTGTTATATGTTAACATAAACATGTGTGAATTTTGTCAAATAAGTTCCTGGAGGAGGCTCGACCCATTGTGAGATGGTTCACAAAGCAGCAGAAGCAGGGAGGTGGATATGGATCAACACAGGTACAGATATTCATGAATTAATTGCAGTCAATTATCATTATACTATTTCAAATGTTAAATACTTTTTTCCCAGGCTACAATAATGGTTTACCAGGCAGTGTCTGAGTACTGGAGTATGGCCAAAGTGCCAGACTATAGTCTGGATGTGGAGTTGACGGTCCCAGGGCGTTCTGCTCCGTACAGTTTCAGGTTCAACAGAGGAAACCAGCACACCACCAGGACCTCCAAGGTTTGCCACAGTCCAAATGGAAATCACTTGTGTTTTTGTCTGATATGTGTTGTGTTTGACCTATACAGAACTTTGATATAAATGAAAATGTGCAACTGAAAGCCACAGGAACAGGCGAAGCAACTCTAACTGTAATCACCTTAAAAACCCTTAATTTGTCTAAATAAGCCTACATTTGTTTAATGTATATTTATGTCCATTGTATTTTATTTCACAGCTGCTCACACAATATTATGCTGTACCTAAAGATACTGTGAGCGATTGCAGAAGCTTTAATCTCTCACTGGACTTCAGTCTCGGTAAAATCTGTTATTATTTTTACATAATCCATTATTTCTAATAACATATGTTTTGTGTTAACAGATAAGGTTGACGAGACTGAGGGAGATATTTACAAGCTGATAATTAATTTTTTGTAAGTATTTCAAATGAGACAAATGTGTTCACTGTTACATACAAAATGTTACTGTTTAAAACAATTTATTATCTGTTTTTATAGCTTCAAGAACAAGGAAGAAGATGCGTCCATGTCGATCTTGGATATTTCTTTGCTAACTGGTTTCATGCCTATATCTGAAGACTTGGATGCAGTAAGATATCTGCAATTTTGTCAATTCCTAATTTAACAAAGTAATGTGCTTACACCTGTGTTTTGTGAAATTGTAGATGAGTTCCGGTCGCGCGCCTGCCTTTTCCAACTGGGAGTTTAACAAGGCTTTGTCAGAGAAAGGTTCTCTCATTCTCTATATGAACAAGGTAACTGTGTGGGCACATACCAGGTGTGGGCACATACCAGGCAAAATTGGCAAAAACTGATCCTAGCCAACTTTACCATGCTCCTTGGTGGGAAATTTTAAGCCAAATAATCTCAATACAACATCATAGCAACCAATAAGCCAATGATGGAGATGCTTGTCTCTTTCCACTGGCTGTATGGAACCTCCTGCACACTTCCATGTCAGCAAATAATTTCCCCTTTCAAATTCCCCCAAATAAATTGCTGTAGGCTGATCATAAAATTGGTGAGTAATGACCACAAGATCTACATAGAACATATAATGTGTGATTTTTTGACATCCATTATTAATTAATACATTATTATTAGTTAAAACCTGCAAGTTAGGGAACATGTTTAAGATATTTCACTTTATTTGGCTAAAACCATTGGGCTGTGGATTGTAGTTAACAGGTATCTAGTTAGTCTTTGTGATGTGTGTGTTGGTGTGTGTGTGTGTGTTTGTGTGTGACCGCATGTGTGCTTGTTGTTGTCTGATTCCTGATGGGACATCTGGTCTTTCCTCAGGTCGCTCATGATCGAGTAGAGGAGTTGCCTATTAGAATGAGACAGACTCACAAAGTGGGTGTTTTGCAGCCAGCCTCTGTGTCTATATATGAATACTATGGTAAATGATTTGCCTGCTTCCAAACTATAATTTAAAGTAATCTGTCATAAAGATATAATTGATAAATACTTCCTGTTTGTTTCCATAGCCACCGCCAATGAAATGTCAGAACCCTCAAACAAATCTGGTGAGTCTATTGTGTTTCATGGATTCATGCCGATGATTTCCACCTCCAAAGTAACAGAAAAGATAAAACAGTCTATTTATATTTTATGCAGGAACAAAGTGTGTAATGTATTATCATCCTCAAAGAAAAGACGGTCGTATTTTGAGGCGTTGCAAAGACGATCAATGTCTGTGTGCTGAAGGTACTGTATTGAATTAGTTATTATTATTCCGTATATAAAACAAACAATCTCATCAGGCTCATGATTTATCTCTGAGATTACAGATTATGTTACCAAGTTTCACAAAGTGCTAATGAAGAGAACAGTCGGTGCTTCTTAGGTGTCACAATATAAAGAGTTAGTTGTAATACAGGTTGTAATACAGGTGGTCTTTTTGAATAAAGTCAACTTGTAGGACAAAAACAATCTCAGTCTAAACACGTGTTGGCATGTCCATGTAGAAATATAGAATTTTTTGTATTTTTGACCTTCACTGTCTCCCAGTTGCTAGTATGTGGGTTTGGCCACATTGACCTGTTTTCTATGAGTAAGACTTTTATATTTAATTTGTGACCGTCGCTGTCCAAACCTCATTGTTAAGGGGATCATATCATATATTGATTTTGCTTAAGCTGCTGGCACAATTCACCAATGTCCACCCCAGAGACTAGGCCCTCGGACAAATTAGGTTTAATTGCTCTGTGGCACATTTATGAAGTTCATCAAAGTTGTAAAATGTTTCACCTTTTTATCATATTCTTTGTTTACACTTATAGAAAACTGCAGCATGCAAAAGAAGGGAAAAATCAGCAATGCAGAGCGCATAGCCAAGGCATGTGAATCAAAACTGACCAGCAAGATAGATTTTGGTAAGCAAACATTCATAAGGCATGAAATATTGAAGAAAAATACATTTTATTCAAATATGTTCTGTATTTTCTTTAGTGTATCATGCAGTTCTGCAAGAAGCTGTGTATGACCTGTCTTTTGACACTTACATCATGCGAGTTGAGTCCATCATCAAGGAGGGTTGGTGTTTTTAAATATTTACCAGCCATGTATGTACATCATATTCTATGTTTCCTTATAACTTCTTTCTTCCAGGAACATACGATAAAAATGCTGCCGGCCAACTGCGCAAATTCATTTCCTTCTCACACTGCAGAGAGAGTTTAAATCTACAGGTACAGAAAGGATACCTTATAATGGGAGCAGCCGAGGACACTCTGCAAGACCATGGCACTCAGACGTAAGTGCATTGTGTTGTTAACATCATCCACTACCAACTGCATCAAGTTCATATTTTTTATTTTTTTATTGTTTTAGATTTGAATATTTGCTTGGTGAAAGGACATGGATAGAGTACTGGCCCAGTAGAGCAGAGTGCCAAATGGATGAATACAGACCGACCTGTTTAGGCATGGAAGCCCTGGTTGACAAGTATGATTCTCATGGTTGTATTGCTAAGTGAAGCAAATTTGTCTAAAACACCATATTTTGTAATAAATAATGCTAAGATTTAAAACGTTTTTTTAATTTGTTTCTTCTGTATCATTATCAGCTGTTTAGAAATAGAAAAAGATGGTCTGTCACTTGCTGGTATCACATACAGTGTAGTCTTTAACCTCATCAGTCACAAGGAGAACTTTGGGATCATAATTGAATCATATCTTTCATGTTGGGACTTGGGGTTAATTTACTGCCACTAAGGTACATGATTAGTAAAAATAAAAACAATACAATACAATTTATTAAGTGTTGTAGAATTTTAAAGTGTTCTGGATCATTACCACAGTCCTTCGTAGTGTTAGTGTTAGACACTAACTTTCCAACAGACCGTCCTGCATCGGCAAGGAAAAACTTTAAAACCCGGTGGGGAAAAAAAGTGGGAAACCTTGAGAGAGGGATCCGCTACCACGGCCTATAAAAATAAAATAAAGAAGGTATATGCAATATACCTTCTATCCCAGATGAGGTGGGGGTTACTCTGGGAATAGGAGAGTGCATGTTTTAATATCAAGACTGAGTTATGGGTATTCAGAGTCAATCTATGAAATAAGAGGTGTACCACTGCGGAGAAAGCTGCATGATCAAGATGAATTCGGTAGATTTGTTTCAGCAACATCCTAACAAATACAGTTAAAGGTTTGGTTATTCTTCAAGACGTATCCATACAATTTAAAGCTGGGGTACATAACTTTCAAACTACAACAGATTTAACATGTAAAATCCATAACTAGATCCTCGTTCTCTCACAGTTTGGTTCTAAAAGTGAAAAAGAAGGGATTATCCTCACCCAATCAGCTCTCAGACCAAAGCGTCAAATAGTGACTCACAGGGATCTGTTGGACACTTATGCAAAAGATTAAGTGTTTGGTAGCGTTTTTGGTCTGATTTGTTCACAAGCTTTAGTTTGACTCTACTCTTTCTGTTAGGAAGAACAAAAGGTGTTATTTTTCCAGACGTACGTTGTTTACCAACCGCCAGTAAACATGTAGAATTATTAGTTATGGTTGTTTATTGGCTTTCATTATTATTTGTTTGTTTATCAATCATAGAAGTCCTTTTTAGTTTTCTTTCTTAATTCCATGATCTGTATAATGTGTGTCCTTTTTAGTGTTTTCCTTTACCACGCAAATCTATTTTAATGCCATACAAATAAAGTGTATCCCTTCTTGACGATATACAAATCTGTTTTTTGCAATATCTCTTTGAAGAGGAAGTAGCTGCATGTCACCAGTAGGGGGCAGAGGTGAGCTGCAGCCACCAGAGCTGTGACGTACTTCCGGTCTGAATAAAGCGCGAGTGTTCGTGTTTTGGCTGCATCCCGCCGCTCGCTTTATCCCAAACAGCTTCAGGAGTTTTGGGAAGCCTTTGTGCATAAAATCTTACTCTCACAGGATTGAAGGACGTGTTTATCCAGGTTCCACATCTCAGCGCTGCGAGAAGTCTCCATGGCCAAAGTACAGGTGCTGAACGTGGGGGTACTGGACAACCCGAGCCCCTTTGGGAACCCCTTTCAGTTCGAAATCACCTTTGAGTGCATGGAAGATCTGCCTGAAGGTGAGCGGCACCATCACCACACTTTTATCCGTGCTCAATGTTCACAATGAGGAGACATTTTAACCCGGGTTCAGGCGCCAAAGTCTCCGAACCTACGAGCAACCAATGAGTGACTCTTCCCACAATGCCCCAGTCTATTCTTTGCTCATGTTATCGTTTTAAATAGTATTTTACCTATTCTACATTTATTGGTCTGTCATAAAATATTTACAAAAAAACACATTTTAGTCTGATTCGTATGACTAAAACTTGCTCTGGTCAAATTCTTGAGTTTAGTCGTAGTTTCAGTCAATGCATTAATAATTCTAAATATCGACTGTTTTTTTAGTCTTGAGCTGATAATCTTTGAATAAGTTGTCATTGTTTATTTATTGTGTTGATGGTGTCTTGTTAGTCCTCACATGGCAATAAAAGAATTCTGATTCAGGTTTTTAGTTTTGAAAATGCTCTGGCGGGATCGTGCAAAGTTACCCGCCAAAGGATCTTCCCCCATTGGTCCGTACACACTGGATTTCTGCTGCAGTCTTGTAAACAGTCACATAATTCAAAGTTTGACAAAAAGGGTTATCGGCATTACAGGGTATAAATGCAGTGCGGGAGGTCATAAACGTAAAAGCCCATTTCAAATATTTAATTATGATTTCAATTTAGCACAGTAAGTGAGTGTACAGGGAAGTTTGGGCATTAGACTGCTGCAGTTAAAGTCAAAATGGATAGATGGAAAATTCAGTACTATTTACCTGCTTCTTTAGTGGAATGTTTATAAAGTATTTGCTGTTGTCTGTGGCCTTTTAAAAGCTGTAAGTTTGTATATCAGTGTTTTGATGTAACTGGTCCATTCCTGCAGAAACCGTAACACTGAATCATTGGTTGAAAGTTGAAATGGAATCAGTATGGCATGACATTCTGAATCCATGTATGTAGTTAATTTGCAGATAACGAACAATGTATGTTTTATAGGTATGAGTATTAAGACCATGCTTAAGTAGCAGATTCCTAGTCATCCAATGAAAGTGATCAGATTCTGGCATCCATTCCGAGGAATGTTTTGAGATTACAACGGGTAGCACTGATAATTGCTTTGGGGCCGTCAACAAACCAAATTTTGTTGACAAAATTATCAAATTCTCAAAACTTGCATTACATCAAACATTCTGAAATGATTATGTCCAACTACCACAATCTCAGATTTCACAATCCAAGCCATAATTTACATGATTATTAAAAAATATGAACATTAGTCTTAAATTATTCTCTCTTTAATTATTCTCATCTGGCGAGTCAAAGAATCTTTAATACAACTGCCTCACACTATGTACAGTACATAACTCTGCACTACTACATGTATATATTTTTTGACTGGTATTGAAGCCTTTTCAGCATCTACAGCTAGTTATGTTAGTTAAGAAACATAGCTACTACTTATTTTGTATAGTTTGTGTGCTCTTACTACTGTCCTGTATGTGTGCTGCAACATCGAAATTTCCCCACTGTGGGACGAATAAAGGAACTCTTATCTTATCTATAGTGCTGCTCCATTACTTTCACTGTGTGCACAATGCTTCGGCCAAGGACTACAATTATTACCTCTGCGCTAAGCTCTGTAGTCAGTCCAGTGACCGAGGAGAGACCAGAGAAAATACAATGTTTGTGACTGACGCTGTACTTTTGTTTTTGTTGTCGCCAGATCTGGAGTGGAAAATCATCTATGTGGGATCAGCCGAGAGCGAGGAGTATGACCAGGTGCTGGACTCGGTGCTGGTCGGTCCTGTGCCGGCCGGCCGACACATGTTTGTGTTTCAGGTGTGTTATCACTCTGTTTTGAAAAACATACACCTAACCCTTTAGGCACCAGAGTTTTTTAGCTGTTTGATTTGAAACGGACAAAAACAAGAGCCCTGAAACTGTATAAGAGATGGAGGACTACTATCATCAATAACAGAAATAGGTGTGTTCACAGTAATATTAAATATCTGGGCTTTAAAAGGTTATAACTCAATATTCACTAACTCAAAATTACTAACATAGATTAAAGTTTTTAAACACGGACAGATCAAATGGGTATTGAGGATAAAATCAAAAGAAAAGATTGACAAATACATTTTTAGCAAAATTTTAAACAATCAAACCAGCCTCTGATTTTTATCATTCTACTGCGATGCCAGTTATTTAGAAAATATAGTAATATAAAGTTCATCAGTCTGAAAAGGCGCCTGCTGAAATTCCACAAGATTAACATGGCTAACACAACATGAGTAAATAACTTGATTTGAAAATAAATCATTAAAAACAAAGTCAATACAAATGTTAATGACCCTTGAAACATGTGTAGCGGACGATGATGGTTTCTGTCCATTTTTTCTATAGATTAAACTTGAGAAGAAAAAAAAAGATCTGGTTTAACATTAATGTATTCATATTGCCACTATAGGCAACATGGATAAAAAAAATGTTCAACTGTTATCTTCTCGCAACTTCTAATGGACAGGGAAGATATTTGGATAAATGAAAAACACAATATAAATTCTTATTATTTAAGATAAGATGTCCCCCCTGGACTGCCACCTTAACGTGGTGGGGGAGTTTGAGTACTCGGATGATCCTGGGAGCTATGCTGTCTGGGGCTTCATGCCCCTGGTAGGGCCTCCCATGACAGACAGGTCTCAGGTGACGAGTCAGACAAAGAGCAGTCCAGAAGACACCATGGACAGCACTAACACGAAAACAGTGACGTCGCCCGGCATGGCGCAGCCGGGGCCCCACCCTGGAGCCAGGCCTGGGGTCGGGGCCCGTATGCGAGCGCCTGGTGGCCGGGCCTTAGCCCACGGGGCCCGGCCGGGCTCAGCCCGAAGGGATGACGTGGGCAGTCCCTCCTGTGGGCCCACCACCTGCAGAGGGGTCCGTGGTGAAGCGGTGCAGAGAGGACTGGGCGGCAGTCGAAGGCGGAGACCTCGGCGACCCAGTCCGCACACACAACATCTGGCTCTTGGGACGTGGAACGTCACCTCACTGGGGGGGAAGGAGCCCGAGCTCGTGGGGGAGGTTGAGCGATACCGACTAGAGATAGTCGGCCTCACCTCCACACACAGCTTGGGCTCTGGAACCCAACTCCTTGAGAGGGGTTGGACGCTCCACTTTTCTGGAGTTTCCCGCGGGGAGAGGCGGCGAGCTGGGGTGGCCATTCTCATTGCCCCCCATCTCAGCCGCCACGTGTTGGAGTTCTCCCCGGTGAATGAGAGGGTCGCGTCCCTCCGCCTCCGGGTTTGGGACAAGTCTCTCATTGTTGTGACGGCCTACGGGCCTAACAGCAGTGTAGAGTACCCGGCCTTCTTGGAGTCCTTGGGAGGGGTACTGGACGGTGCACCGCCCGGGGACTCCGTTATTCTCCTGGGGGACTTCAACGCCCATGTGGGAAACGCCAGTGACACTTGGAGAGGGGTGATCGGGAAGAGCGGCCCCCCTGATCTGAACCCGAGCGGTGCTCAGTTGTTGGACTTCTGTGCCAGTCGCGGTTTGTCCATCACGAACACCATGTTCGAGCACAAGGGCGTCCACCAGTGCACGTGGCACCAGGACACCCTAGGCCGGAGGTCGATGATCGACTTTGTTGTCGTATCATCTGACCTTCGACCGCGTGTCTCGGACACTCGGGTAAAGAGAGGGGCGGAGCTGTCAACCGATCATCACCTGGTCGTGAGTTGGATCCGCTGGCAGGGGAAGAAGCCGGTCAGACCTGGCAGACCCAAGCGTATAGTGAGGGTCTGCTGGGAACGTCTCGCTGAGCCCCCTGTCAGACGGACTTTCAACTCACACCTCCGGGAGAGCTTCTCCCAGGTCCCGGCGGAGGAGGGGGACATGGAGTCCGAGTGGACCATGTTCTCTGCCTCAATCGCCGATGCGGCGGCTCGTAGCTGTGGTCGCAAGGTCTCTGGTGCTGGTCCCGGCGGCAACACCCGAACCCGGTGGTGGACACCGGCAGTAAGGGATGCTGTCAGGCTGAAGAAGGAGTCCTATCGAGCCATGATGGTTCGGGGGACTCCTGAGGCAGCTGTCCAGTACCGGCAGGCCAAGCGTGCCGCGGCCCGGGCTGTTGCAGAGGCAAAAACCCGGGACTGGGAGGAGTTCGGAGAGTCCATGGTGCATGACTATCGGTCGGCCTCGAAGAGATTCTGGCAAACCATCCGGCGCCTCAGGAGGGGGAAGCAGTTCTTTGCCAACACCATGTACGGTGCGGGTGGAGAGCTGCTGACCTCGACTGGGGATATTGTCGGGCGGTGGAAGGAATACTTTGAGGTTCTCCTCAATCCCCCCGTCACGTCCTCTGTTACAGAGGCAGAGGCTGAGGATGTTGGGGCGGATACATCCATCTCCCTGGCTGAGGTCACCAAGGTGGTTGGTAGCCTCCATGGTGGCAAGGCTCCGGGTGTGGATGAGATCCGCCCTGATTATCTAAAGTCTCTGGATGTTGTAGGACTGTCTTGGCTGACACGTCTCTGCAACATCGCGTGGCGATCGGGGGCAGTGCCAATGGAGTGGCAGACCGGGGTGGTGGTCCCTCTCTACAAGAAGGGGGACCGGAGGGTGTGTTCCAATTATCGTGGGATCACACTCCTCAGCCTCCCCGGTAAGGTCTACTCCAAGGTACTGGAGAGGAGGTTACGGCCGATGGTCGAATCTCGGATCCAGGAGGAGCAGTGTGATTTTCGTCCCGGTCGCGGAACACTGGACCAGCTCTATACTCTCCATCGGATACTCGAGGGTTCATGGGAGTTCGCCCAACCTGTCCACATGTGCTTTGTGGATTTGGAGAAGGCGTTCGACTGTGTTCCCCGGGGTGTCCTTTGGGGGGTTCTCCGGGAGTACGGGGTCGGAGGTCCTCTGCTGAGGGCCATCCGATCCCTGTATGACCGGAGCCAGAGCTGTGTTCGCATTGCCGGCAGTAAGTCAGACCTGTTCCCGGTGAATGTTGGCCTCCGACAGGGCTGCCCTTTGTCACCGGTTCTGTTCACTGTATTTATGGACAGAATATCTAGGCGCAGCCAGGGGTCGGAGGGGGTCCGGTTCGGAGACCACAGGATTTCATCTCTGCTGTTTGCGGACGATGTTGTCCTGTTGGCTCCAACGAACCAGGACCTGCAGCATGCACTGGGACGGTTTGCAGCCGAGTGTGAAGCGGCTGGGATGAGAATCAGCACCTCCAAATCCGAGGCCATGGTGCTCGACCGGAAAAAGGTGCCTTGCCCTCTGCAGGTGGGTGGAGAGGTCCTTCCTCAAGTGGAGGAGTTCAAGTATCTCGGGGTCTTGTTCACGAGTGAGGGAAGAATGGAGCGTGAGATTGACAGGCGGATCGGTGCAGCGTGCGCAGTTATGCGGTCGCTGTATCGGACCGTTGTGGTGAAGAGGGAGCTGAGCCGAAAGGCAAAGCTCTCGATTTACCTGTCAATCTTCGTTCCCTCCCTCACCTATGGTCATGAGCTTTGGGTAATGACCGAAAGAACGAGATCGCGGATACAAGCGGTCGAAATGAGCTTCCTCCGCAGAGTGGCTGGGCGCTCCCTTAGAGATAGGGTGAGGAGCTCAGTCACACGGGAGCAGCTCGGAGTAGAACCGCTGCTTCTCCACGTTGAGAGGAACCAGTTGAGGTGGCTCGGGCATCTGTTCAGGATGCCTCCTGGACGCCTCCCTGGGGAGGTGTTCCGGGCACGCCCCACCGGGAGGAGGCCCCGCGGAAGACCCAGGACACGCTGGAGGGACTATGTCTCTCAGCTGGCCTGGGAACGCCTTGGGGTCCCCCCGGACGAGCTGGAGGAAGTGTGTGTGGATAGGGAAGTCTGGGCGTCTCTGCTTAGACTGCTGCCCCCGCGACCCGGCAACGGATAAAGCGGAAGAAAATGGATGGATGGAAGATAAGATGTCTTTTGTACCCTCAAGTGTGAACAAGCTAAGATACATTTTTAAAAGTGTCAACATGGGAAATGTTTATGGAACCCCAGTATAGAAGGACTCAGGAGAAATTCTGATTCTGAACCTTTTGATATGCGTTTATGGAAAGTAAAAAGTTGGTAGATTACTTGACCAATCAAAGGTGACTGATTGCTCATTGTCTGACATGAGCGACTTTGTCTGGATTTTTTTTTTCTTTTGAGAAAAATAAGACTTTTTGTGTTTTCTAGGCTGACGCCCCCAACACTGGCCTCATCCCAGAGACCGATGCAGTCGGAGTGACTGTTGCTCTTATCACATGCACATACCATGGCCAAGAGTTCATCCGGATCGGCTACTATGTGAATAATGAATATACAGATGTTGAATTAAGAGAAAATCCACCTTTAAAACCAGATTATTCCCAGGTAAGACTTTCTGAATACACCAGCTTATAATAAGAATAATGGGGCATTCAGACCGCCAACGCTGAAACGCTGAAGCCCCGCTCACCAGACGCATTCTCTAGTTTTCAGACGCAGAGGACTTCACACCAGAATGTCCTGACGCGAGCCGGAAGTACCGGAAGTAGCCGGCCGTCTCTGATGCTAACAGAGCTATGCTAGCGGCTTCTTGTGTACAGATCTTCTCCAATATGCAGCTTTGCAGCGTGTCTTTGCTCACAGACTTTCCACGGGCTTTATACAACAGTAGTATGTGTTCACGGAGGTGCGCCATACGTTTTTTCATATTATTAAACGGAATTTCCGCATCGGCGAACACACTCGAAGCAGTTGCATAAGGTCACGGGAGCATGTCAACGCATATTTTCACAAGCACAGAGTCCCCCATTGTCAACCCTGGTTTGAGTTCTGGTGAAGCCTGGTGTGGGTCCAGTTTTGGCTGTTTATGAGTATTTTCAGTCTGCTCGCTCAGTCCGCTAATGTCCCCCTGACCACTTTGCTGCTCTCTGATTGGTTGTCGCACGAACGTCCCAAGGAAAGGATGAGCAGAATCCATCTCCTGTGGGCGTTGATTTTTCGCTCCTGCTCCTCCCTTTTCACTTTCCCGCCAAGTCCGTGCGTCATTATTGAACAGTCCGTTCGTGCGTGCCGAGAGGTCCGTGCGTTGTGACGGTCGAACGCGCGCCACCAAAGACTTTGCATTGAAACCCGACGCAACGCATGATCCGGTCTGAAAGCACCATAATACATCAAACTTGTATAGCGTTTTTAGTTTTTAATGGGCAGTGGGAGTGAGTGAGAGGAATGGGGCGGCAAAGGCTCTGTCCCCCAAGGTTTGGCAGTTAGTGCAGGTGATGGGAGTGAGGCAGCAGGTGGGTTAGTGTAGTAGGAACTCAGTAAGTTAGGTAGAGCAGGGCCAGGTTATGGAGCGACTTGTTGGGGAGGAGCTTGTATTGGAGGCTATTTTGAACAGGGAGCCAGTGGTGCTGCTGGAGGACGGGGTTGACCGGGTGTGGGTGAGGAGGCGGGCAGCAGAGTTCTGGATGTATTACAGTTTTGATACGGAGTGCGACTGAATCGATTAATCAAGTTAATACTGCATTTAATTTAACTTAAAGGTAGCATATTGCTTCATGTTTCGCGGTCCATCCTATGCACATGTGTGATAATAATTTGAGTGATACAGCAAACAACACTCAAAACCTGTGAGATTATATCAATCTTTTGCATAGAGGTGATGTCACCAACTCAAACAGGCTGATCCAGAGAGAAGTCTGCTCCTCTGCCCATGAGGTCACCTCCCGCACGGTGATGTAGCCTCAGGCGGCAGGTTGTTTATCTCCAAAGCAAACTCAGATTTGTCCGTACATGGTCATTTCACCTGAGAATAAACTTTTTTAGACAATGACAATCTGTCACATAGAGCCCTATCAGACCCTAAATATTTAGTTTACAGAAGTATACCGCGAGTTAGCAACTTACAGATCGGGGGTATGTGACAGCATCTTTTATCGTGGGAATAACACTGGTTTCCATGTGAGTTTTTGTCCAGTTCTATGGTAATGGTAACTGTAGTTCTGGAACAGTCTTAGTATTGCAAATTTCAGAGGCAGATCCCTGTGAAAGTGAAGCCCCCAGACTTATTCTAGATAGTGCATAACATATTTACAACCAGAAGCAGTTTCTCAAAGTTCACATGATCCTAACACTTTTTGTTGCTGACAAAATCTGAAAAACAGTATAGCTTCCTGTGGTGGATGTGGGACCGTACCATAGACATACTCTGGACTCGGGAGCTGGCTGCTATACCAGGTTTGAAATGAGGTTAAAGCCATTTTTCTACATGCCTCTGTTGAAACGAGAAGTGATGTTTTTGCTTTTTTTTTTTTTTTTTTTAATGTTTAGTATTGACCATCGTGAGACAGGTTAGTTTTACCGTACTGATGATGTGTTGTTGCAATAGTAATCCTGCTTTGTTTGTGAATCACCCCGCCATGGGTAGACTAGGGTTGTGTCTGGCACGGCGGAATGCTGTATTTCATGCACATGGAAGCTAGGATGAAGCATGCCTGTCTTGTTCAGGCAGAAGTATAAACCAGCATTAAAGTAGCCTTCAGAGATGTCTTCAGAGACTCTGAGGACTTTGGTTTGCAGTTTGGACTCGCTGGAGAAGGCGGTGAAAGACTCTGGTTAGGGGGGAGTCAAAAGCACAGCAGCCGACTCGTTGGCCACCAGAACAAACTCCACTCTAAAAACCTCGTTGCCATGGAGCCATACGTTTACATGTCAGGAGATGGCACTTGTTGTAGCAGGTGTGTGCGATCGTCTCCTGTTTACTTTAACTTTTGGATTCTACGCTTATTTCAACATTTCAGAATTGCCATGTTTTACAACTAGGATTGTTTAAACAAGGTTGTGTAATTGCAAAAAGTCCACTCTTGAGATAAAATGTATCTAGTTGGATCACTGTTACATCACTATTTATGAATATGAATAAGCGTTTTTCCTTGGACCTATTGATCAAACTGCTTTTGATCACAACTAATGAAAGATATGTTTTCCCTGCAGCTCCAGAGAAATATTTTGGCCTCCAATCCTCGTGTGACTCGCTTCCACATCAACTGGGATGGTTCAGCAGACAAGATGGAGAACAGTGAAAATGTGGACCCTTCTCCAAATATAAACTGCATGCTCCCTCCATCATGTGCCCCTGGAAAGGTGCATCCACTGGGACTGATTCCGGACAATTCTATGGACTGCATGTAAGAGCCCCCTGGCAAACATTGGACTTCCGCCTCCTGTGCTATTCCTGGCCTAAACCTCAAACACAACAGAAAAGAACTGGAAAACAAGTTATTATTTCACTATACCTGGCACTTATTCTAATATCTTCACTCGATAAGGTTCTTTCAGAATGCACTTAGTGGGGATTTGCATTCAAACTGGAGATGGTCAGCTCGTGAACTGTACTGTAAACGCTCACTAATGTCATACATGTTCATATCTTATATGAGGAACTTGATTGTACCCATTGATTAATTGGAAATATTTGATTATCCTGACTGGAGCTATATTCTGATGTAATTGTTGAATTGCCTCATGTTTGAACTTCTACCCACACAAAGCTGTTCTGTTAAATGAACAGGCTCCATTGTGTAATTTATGTTTTCTATGATTTGAGCAGAAAACTAACCTATTGATCAATTAATTGTAGATATAGGCTAAACCCACTGTCACTTGAAGCTATACCAGTGCATCCTTGTTTCCATCTATTCAATAATTATATGTCAAATAATTTACTGTAAATATTTTGTTATTGCTTTTTGTATCTGTACTTTGTTTAAATAAAATGTGTTATCAGTGCCCCCACCCCTCCTCAGCACAGAAGCACATGTGCGTGGCTAGGCCTATAGTGTCTCCTGCCTTTCCCCTCTTGATTTTCATTCATAAAACGCTGCAGCATCACTCCATTTTCCTCAGCTTCATGTTGCTAAGTAACTGCAGTACAATAGTGCGGACTGTCTGCTGTCGCCATCTGAGGGCAGCTATTCCTCGAACACTTGTTTTTACATTTTGGGATTTCTTTCTCATCTATGCTTAAGTATAGATTATGGAAAAATACAATTGGATTTGTATACAATTATAAACCAATACGGCAGTAATATGTTTTGTGTTAACTTGTAGCTTGATCAACTGCATAGAGAAACTGGAAGAATTGTCTCCTTGTTTGCAGTTTTCACGTGAATGTTCTTGACTACCTGTTTCACTGCAGAGACATAGTCTTTGTAGTGAATGTTTTCTTCGTAAACTATGTCCTTTTGTTTATAGTGGCCACAGTCTGCGCTGCGACGCCGTGCGTTAAATTCTAACCAGCATTACTAAAAATAGCCCCTGTTGACGTCACTCGACCAAACGTGTAGCTGTAGCTCGGGGGGTGAATGGATGGGAAAGCAGTTTTTTCTTCATCTTTTGCGGCTGTGCACCGCTGCAGACAGCCAATAGAATCAGCTGTTACCCTCGACTCGGACGCTGCGAGCCAATGGAGGAGAGAGACTAGAGAATGGGAGCGGTGCGTCCTCGGGAGCAGAGCCGTGACGCTCCCCTTGGTTAGTATGGAAGGAGGCGGGTGTCGCTGTTGTTGATGGACTGCGTGGACCAATCACAGAGCTGCTCTGGTCGGCGCCTGTGACATGCAGCCAATTCGTGCACTTGTCTCGGTGTTAATCAGCTGTGGGTCCGGAGAGTGGGCGGGAGACTGTGGACTGTAGTTCCGTCATCTTTCGAGGCTATACGGGGGCCGATGTTTGATTTCGGCAATTCCCCATCCTTATTCAACCTTCCTGGGATACTATGCATTCTCCTTTATTAGGTGTAAAGGAAGACTGGGCATTCACCAGCGGAGAGACCTCTCGGCTCTAGCGCGGTCTGGGGGCTCTGGAGAGCAGAGAGGAGGCTCTGTGGGCAGAGATAAGACTTCGACAGGGAACACAAGATTGTCCTAAGGATTTGAGTGCGCTCCATCCCCGTGTGGCAGCGGAGACGCACCAGCAGCCTCCCTGGTTCCACAGCATCTTGTGGGAGCTGATCCACCTGCATTCAGCCGCGGCTGTGTGGGGCTGCAGCGCGGCCGCCAAGCCACGGTCCGCCTGTTGACTTGTCATCATGGGCAACACGCCCACGGCCAGGAAGGGTAGCGAGATGGAAAGCGGTGGGTAGCTGACGGTATAAGTGGTCGATGTCTAAAATGGCAGTTGTAACGCTGGGTTGTGTCCATGTTACTATTGTAGACTAGATGCATCTCAGCCTAGCGCTGTGACCAATCCGCAAAACCAGCCTCGAGGTCTACATCTAGTCTTATGCATAATTTATCCTGCAATTCTTTCATCTCAAGGCGTGTGCTTCATACATACCTGTAATCCCCCTATTAATCCATCTAAGACAGCTACGAGAGACTGCTCCCCTGGAGATTTATTGTCAATATCACACTTTCTGTGTCTCACATTTCTCTGAACACTGTAGTATGTCGCCTACCATGAGCACGAGACCTTGTTTGGATCGTCTCTTAGTCATGTTTTACATTTGTGTATGATCCTCGTTCTTATGCTCGTCTGTCTTTTTTACAGTCAAAGAATTTCTTGCAAAAGCCAAAGAGGATTTCCTCAAGAAGTGGGAGAACCCTGCACAGGTTAGTTTGCAAGTCCTCATAATATTCAAAGCTGCATTACAAGGTGCACCTCACTCTAAAGCTGCTGCTTGTGCATATGAGAAGTGATCATTTTAGCCATTACACACGATGCATTTGCTAGTTTGCACGGTTATGCTCTCTCTCACCAAGAAGGTCCTGGGACTCATACCTGGACAGGAGCCATATTGAGTGGAGTTTGCATGTTCTCCCTATGTATCTGTAGGTTTCCTCTGGGCGCTCCAGTTTCCCCTTCCTTCAGAGGACATTATACAATAATGTGTCATTAAATGTGTATTGACTATTCAATAACTTAATGAATAGTAGTTTTCCTGTGGCTTTAGTGACACATTTATTTGAGACTGAATGCCACAGCGTATATTGCAGTGTAGGCCTATTCCATCCAATCCACTCGTCGTTTAAACATTTGCTTTTTTGTGTATTGTTTTGTAGAACACAGCGTGCTTGGAGCAGTTTGAGCGGTTGAAAACACTGGGCACCGGCTCGTTTGGTCGCGTGATGCTGGTACGGCACCGGGAAACTGGTCAACATTACGCCATGAAGATTCTCAACAAGCAGAAGGTCGGTCAGGGTTTATCACAGCTATCTGATAATACAGTGGCTAATACTGACAATAATAATGAAATCATGTCTAAGTTACACATTTAGGACTGTTATTGTAATGAATTGTATTGTTAGTAAGAGTACTTTTTACACAAAGTGCCTCTTTATCTAAACCAGGTCTACAATATAAATTTTAAAGGAGGGCTAAACCACCACTGTTGCCACTAGTTCTGTACGCAAGCACAAGGTCCGCTGAAGTCCTTAATATGGATTCACCGATTTGAGTCTGATGTCAGATATCTGTTTTATATTTATATTGGGGATTTAGTTAGCTGATATTCTGATAGTCTGTATCTTCATGATGTAAATTTCTCCATTGTGAGATCAATAAAGTTTATCTTATAGATTTTTATATTTGACTTAGGATAGGATAAATAGCAGGTAAATACTCAGCTGAGGTCATTTTTTAAATAAAATAACTGTATTTGAGGTGAGAAAAATACTGTTATATTGAGTATCGGCACACATTGGGATCGGACAAAAAAAGCTGAATCGGTGAATATAGTCCAGAATTTACTTTGAACCCAGCTACTATCAACTTTGTAGAGTCAAATATTTTCATTCTTAATCAAATTGCGTCTTCCAAACCACTTTTTTGCCATCCTAAATGTTGTTTTTGACAGACTATGGGAAACAAAAGATATGTGTGTATATTTCTGAAAGTGGTTCATTCTTATCTGAGAACCAAATAATCTTGCACAGAGGCAAGATAGTTGTTCACTAATCACTATATTATTCAATTTCTCTCGATTTCTAAATCAAGTATTGTGTGTTTCTGTTTTCAGGTGGTGAAGCTCAAGCAGATTGAGCACACACTGAATGAGAAGAGGATCCTACAGGCGGTTAGCTTTCCCTTCCTCGTCCGGCTTGAGTACTCCTTTAAGGTACGTTTTCTAATGTTACTCTATGAGAACATCCTCTAAACTAACTCGTCACAAACTGCTAAAAAAAAAGATCATTTATTTTTTGATTTTTAACATTTAAACTCAAGCCAAGTTTCAGTACATGGTTCTTTGCTCATGTTTCCAGAGACTTGAAATTGTGCACTTTACAAGGTTTCGTTGTTACATTTTGATCGTGGTTTGGAAGGAGCAGATGCATAAAGTCCCTGTAGATAAATACATCTTGTAAAAACAACACTTTCACAAATAAATACGGTATTGATCATTTCACTGATACAACAAGGCCACTGTCAAACATTAGAAATAAGTTTTAAGAACAGACCCATGTGTTATTTATGATGTTGTTGCCGTACCAGCAGTCACATGTCAGAACTGGGCCTTACTTCTGTCAGGATGCCCCACGGCAGCAGTGGCTACAGTAGCAGTTTACCAACAGTGTACACAGTGCGAGTGAATATTTCCATGTGAAGCATACCAATACATTACATTATTCCTACTTAAAATTATTATCATGTCAATATTATCATTAATAATTTGCACACAAAAAAGATGATAAAAGTAAGGGTTAGTAATGCGTCCCACATTTGCACATTGCCAATGGGGCCAATTAAGTTCTTACTTAGGTTAAGCTGTTTAGAAGCGCCTTGAATGCCCTGGGATTGAATATCCTGGCTACTTCTTCAAATAAACCTCTTAACCAAAAAGTCTGCACATGCGTTAGTTCTGTCCACAGACAAGAAAACAATGTAAAGCCGCAAGCTGTACCAAGTGGCCTCGAACTCTGCTGCATCTCCCAAAAGAGGTCATTGCGGCTCTCATAGAGGAAAAACTAATATGAATATGATCTGTGTAATGTCTCGCATGTGCAAACATCACACTTTAGCTCCCTCGGAAAGTGCACGGGCGCCTACTGTCCCTGTCCCTCCTGAAACCATAGGCCTTATGCCCTGTTGGGGTTCAGGCTTAATAAATAATCTACTAACTAATTAGGGAAAACATTATTTTCTAGTTCATAAGAAAACAGACAAAAAAGTGGGTACTTTAACCTTTGTTTTCTCTGTCGCTCATTATATTCCCCTATTATTGCATTCACGGATGAAGTGCTCACAACTGTTATTACTGTTGTTATTACCACTCGATTATTGCCAAAGTTGATTAGATAGAATATAGAAGATTTCCTTACGAAGAAAAATGGTTTAAAGAAATAAATGAGTCTGACTTGCTTTGCACCAAATATATATGGTGCCATGTATATTTTGGGTCAATATTTGTCATATGTATCACTTGTACAGGATCAATGTTTCATAGGGTTAGCATCAGAGTAGGGTTATGGCAAGGATTAGGATGAGGGTTATAAATCGACCTGTAGCAGCGATACTGGACAGTTAATTACTTGATGACATCAGATTGTGTTGGCTGAATACAGTTGTTTATGGCCATACAGTATATATCTTCTGTAGTAGTACGGTCATAAACAGGCCTAACTGTGCTCAACAATAAACATGCCATTGCACCCTGTGTCTCCCCAGGACAACACTAACCTCTACATGGTGATGGAGTATGTCCCGGGAGGAGAGATGTTCTCGCATTTGCGGCGAATCGGCCGATTTAGGTAACTTTATAACAGATAATCAAAATGTTGTAATGTTGCTTTGCTTTTTGGTCATTATCACCTGGTTTCTCTACAATGTCTTTAATATGACAACATCTATTGTCTGTCTTCTTTAGTGAGCCTCACGCACGGTTCTATGCGGCTCAAATTGTTTTGACCTTTGAATACTTACACGCTTTGGACCTCATATACAGAGACCTGAAACCCGAAAACCTACTCATCGATCAACAGGGCTACATCCAGGTAAAAAGATACACATGCTTGGATGTTCATTTTATATGGAAGAAATCTGTACTTGTATGACAGGGTCCTAAAGCTTCACAGTGCGCCCCAAAATAGTATTTATAAATGTTTAAATCAACTTGCAACGCTCACTGCTGACTCATATTTCATGTGTATTCATGTATATATTTATGTAAGGACTTTTGTTGTATCGCATTTCGCTTAATTTCCCACTTAGAGAAGTACAGATCAACAAAGATAGTTTTGTTTCTTTTGAATAATTGACCTATTGCTGCCCTCTAGTGGTCGCACAATGTTAATCCCATCACAAATGTGTTAATTCCTCATATAGGTCACAGACTTTGGCTTTGCTAAGCGTGTAAAGGGTCGGACATGGACCTTGTGTGGTACTCCTGAGTATTTGGCGCCAGAGATTATTCTGAGCAAGGTGAGTTTAAAGTGAAAACTTACGAAGCTCAAGTTGCAATAACCGAAGGCTGGTGTCTTCTCTCTAACAGGGATATAACAAAGCTGTGGACTGGTGGGCGCTCGGGGTCTTGGTTTATGAAATGGCCGCTGGGTACCCTCCTTTCTTCGCTGACCAGCCAATTCAGATATATGAAAAGATTGTATCTGGAAAGGTTAGTCTGATTGTGTAAAACTGCAAACATGAGTGTGTTATGAAATTCATCTGTGGTTAATATTTGTTTCTTCAGGTGCGTTTCCCCTCCCATTTTAGTTCAGACCTTAAGGATTTACTGAGGAACCTGCTACAGGTAAAGTAATGGACTATTTTATACCTTTTTATCTAGGATATTTTAGAAACAGAAATTGTGTGTTCAGGTGGATCTCACAAAACGTTATGGAAACCTGAAAAATGGCGTGAATGACATTAAAGGACACAAATGGTTTGCGACCACTGACTGGATCGCCATCTACCAGAAAAAGGTGTCTTTGAAAATATTGGAAATATTGATTGATAAATGATCTTCTCCATCATTGCACGAATGTAATGCAGTGATTTATTTTAGGTTGAAGCTCCCTTTGTTCCCAAGTTTAAAGGACCCGGCGACACCAGCAACTTTGATGACTATGAAGAGGAGGAGATCCGAGTGTCCTTCACAGAGAAATGTGGCACGGAGTTTGCCGAGTTCTAAAGTTTGAAGAGCGGCGAAAAGGAAAGGCAGAGTCCCAGTATCTGGCTGGTCAGGTGGAAGACTTGTGGAGAGAGCTCCCTCTCCGATCCACGCAGCACCAGCTTCAAACAGACCATTGGTCATTGAGAGGGCAAAGCAGCCAGGAGACCGATAACCAGCAGGGTTGCCTTTTCTGTTCAGCTTTGGTCGTCCATTTGTTTTTATTCTGGTTTATTTATGGATCCCTTTATTATGACAATTAGATTTGTGGACATTTGACAACATCTCTTATTCAGAGAAACCTCCACACACTTACAACACATTTCAAGATCTTCCGTCTCTTCCTGCCTGCGTTTCCAATAAAATGCGCCATGACTGAGGAATTCAATTATAATGACACTGGACAACGTTTTTCATGAGCCACAGTTAGATTTAGCTAACACTGGTTTCGTTCAATTTGTTGTTCTTTATGTTTTTATTTTCTGATATTTTGGTGCGATCCTTAACTAGTGGACTAAAGTTAGATATGTTTACCATATCATCTGTGCCCATGTGTCATCACGAGCAGACATTATGCATTACCGGTACTCCGTTTTCTGATGTTGTAAGAGTTGTGGCTCCAATGGTGTTGTGTCCAAGCTGGAAATGTGGTCCACCATCATACAAAAGTCTCTCAGGTCTGACAATATCATTTTTAGACTTAAGCTTAAAAGTCAAGAGAAACTATCCACATATGGGAGACTCAATAGGTGTTCGACTATTTTCCTTTCAACATTTTCAACAGTCATTCTTAGAATGTATTTGAGAATTTGACAATACAATCATTGATTCCTTTGGCTCGGTCAGCCTGATTTTATCTCCTTTTGTTACTCAGGAATCAGGATTATTTTATGACATTTTATGACAATTGACCATTAGTATAGCTTCTGGAAACTACAAAGGTGGTATGCATGGAGATTTGGCATTGAGAAATGGCAAGCTCATTTGTCATGGTCCCGATTCTTTGTTTTGAGTTATATCAAATCATTTGCCTTTATTTCAAGAAAGACGTTTTCACTTTTGTTCTGTTATACATTGGGTATCGCTCACATGTTGACCTATTGTTTGAGACATCTAGGGCATCAGATTTTTGGTCGAGAAGCAAAAATGATCAAAGAGTTGTAAGACAATAACACAAGTCATATTTATCCTCTACCAATTGCTTGACTAGGGGCAGTTTGAAAGTTGATATCCAAATGCATTTCACACGTTCACTCAACGTTAGCAGCTTTTGTTCCACAATGTACTCATGAACTCAGAGCGCGTGCTCATCTGAGAGCACACTCAAATTCTGACATGCACATTCCTTCAACCAATGGATTTGTCTTTACTCGTCAAGTGGACTTTTATCCTCACCAATGTTCTGTGTCTCCATGTTTTTGTGGTGACAACTTCCTCTGAATGCAGGCACAAAAATACTGACGCACTTTCAAGGGAAACAAGATTCCATTGTGAAATATGTAGGCTTAAACTCTCCACCACACAACACTGAGAAAGAGTGTCTTGGTCCTCATGACTTGAACACAAGTGTAAGAAGTGTAACATTTTGCCAAATGAGTGTCATTCCAATAAAGTTCAACTTCTGTCATTTATTGCAGAACAGTCTCACTTTAATCCTACATCGCCTCTTTATTTGAGCGTTCAAGAGACATTGAATTTGCATAGCCTGAACTTTGACCTTTTAGGCAATAGGTCTCGCATTTTTCCCTTTACACCGTACAACAGTGCTTCCAGTGCGTCAAGCGCTGAATGGTGGTTCCTCCAGGAGCTTCGGTGCTCTGATGTCCAATGGTCCCCAGGGTACATTTTTATCAGAAACAACGTAAATCTTCATAAAGAGCAGGGAAATAGTGACTTTGTAACCTTACTGAGACCCAAACCCATGGGAAGCTGCGACAAAGTGAGCCAGAGATCCAGAATCCCGTTTGCGGTGACCGCATATCCCTGCGCATGAGGCACACGGCCGGTCGGATGGCTGACCGCACATGAGCATCAGGGAATCAGTGAATAGCAGAGGTGGCAGATGAGGAGGGAATGGATAGAGGCATTTCAAGTTGTGGAGGGAACTTCGTTGCCATGGCAACATAAGTGGAGGCTGCTCAAGCAGAGCATGCAGGACTATACAGGCGAGTTGACCTTTGTAACCTATTGAAATATCGGTGTATGTTTTACTCATAAAATACCTTATAAAGTCTTATGTACACATCTATGTGCTATAAACAAGTATAGTCTAAAATACAACTTTAGAAAAAGTGAAAGTATAGTTCTGTTGTATGTTTTCTTGACCTTAGTAAAAGTAAAGAAGTGCAAACTTTTATGTATTAGTAAAATTAGTTAAAAAAAAATTGTTGGATAATTGACAGACTGGTAATCAATCCAGGCTGTGCACAGGTTGGTGTGTCATGACCAGCAGTCTTAGGCAACTGCTCTGTAAACCAGGAGCTGGTGTTTGGCTCCTCTGGTATCTCTAACAATGCCTACTGTGTTTTGCTCATGAATATTTCTATGTGTTGCCAAGAGACAGGTTATTGGCCGGTAGTTGGAGGGGACTGCACCCTTCACAGGGTCCTTCATGATCAGGACCGTTCGCCCTTCGGTTAGCCATTCTGGGTGAGTCCCATCTCTCAGCTGCTGGTTCATTTGTGCTGCTTGGTGCTCATGGAGTGATGTGAGTGTCCTTAGCCAGTAGGCATGGACCATATCAGGGCCAGGTGCTTTCCAGTTTTTCATACCTGAGACTCTTTCTCAGATGTCTGCCTCTGTTCTGCACTGGGAGGCGGCTGTCCAGCGATGGTGTCACGCAGAAGTTTGGGGCCAAGTAAGATTAGTTATGTTTTTTCCGGGTTGAGGAGTAGGTTGTTTAGTCCTCCACTAAAGGGACTAAGCCTTCTAATTGATCTGATTTCAAACAGCTCAGTTTCATACATAGGTAAAGCTTGAAATGTGAAGAAAATTGGGTCGAGTACCGATCCTTGTGGCACACCCAATTTTACATGAGAGTGGGATAGGGAGTTTTGGTTCACGTTAGAAATAAAGAAATTGGGTTAAAATGAGCCAAGTGCTGTTCCTCTGAGACCATTTTCACATTCAAGCCACTGCAGTAGAGTTTTTAAATGGTCTGTAATTTGTTATCAAATCGGAAACAAGATTTGGCAGATGGAGCATCTTCATGCTCATGTTAGTTTACTCAATAAAAATTCATGTATTTTTTTTAAGAAAGTCTAAAATTGTCAAAATGTTGAAACTCTAACATAATCGAAATAACTATTTCAATAATCATCTGTATCCTACTGTCATTCAGAATCTCATACACACACAACACATTATCTCTGTCTAACCTTTCCTACCTTTTCACACCTGATCAAAGTTTAACAGCTCCATGTCCCTTTAACTGAAGAGATCAACATGTGTTTAAAAAAAGATCTTATGCAGACGAGGGAGTGGGTCAGACCTGCTCTGATAAACAAGCACAAACATGGAATTGCACCCAGCAAAGGATCAAGGCTAAATCTTTTTTGCAGAACATTTCTAAAGTAGATGTAGATGTTGGCACATCTTATTTGATTCATAAAAGTTGAACCTAAAGAAGACAGAAGCTATGCCAGGACCTGGAGCCACGGAGTGAGTGCAACAACTGTTTTCATGCATATTTGGGAATTATTTAGATTTATTTCTCAGTTGAACTGTTTTAATGGTTAGGTAGTTGCATGTTGCTATACGGTTGCAAGTGCCAAGTCTATATTGGGCTCAGAGTCACATGAAGAAATGAGAGCTTCACTAGTGCTATGTCTTGTGTTGAAGCTCGAAGGGGGAGGACTTCTCCACTGCCATCCTCAAGCAGAAACACAGACCCAACAGGCTGGTGGTGGACGAGGCCATCAATGAAGACAGCAGCATTGTCTGCCTCTCACCGGTCTGTGCCTTTCTGTGGAAAGCATTTTCAGAGCAAAATGAGACATTACGACACATCTTTATGAAGTCTCTCACGGCATACAAAGAACAGACAATTCAAAGTGAAATTCACAGATTCAAACATAAGTAGATAGTCACTTTTTAATTGACTTTGACTTAACTTTTCAGTAGCAATGTGGTGAATATTAAATCATAACTACTGTATTGACGACATTTACTGTACCTGACAAGATAAGGGCATGTTCACTCTGGTCTGGTTCACTTTAACTGGACTAATTCTGGTTCACTTGGGGCCAACATGCTTTGTTTGTGGATGTCAATTAAGCCACCGAAGAAGTGAACATGTGTCCAATGGTGACACATTTTACCCCAATTGAACTAGAACTGGTCCAGTTAAAGTGAAACAGATCAGCGTGAATGAGCTAAGAAAACAGTAGAGAATGGGGCCACAACGTTTGGTGATAATAAACTGCAACATTTATGGTCTGCCTCCATCAGCACAAGACGGAGGAGCTACAGTTCTTCAGAGGGGACTCAGTGGTTCTGAGAGGCAGGAAGCGACGGCAGACGGTGTGCATCGTGCTCACCGATGACACTTGTGGAGTCGACCGCATCCGCATCAACCGTGTCACCAGGAGCAACCTGCGGGTCCGCCTGGGTGATGTCGTCAGGTCTGAGGTCCCATTCATGTAAAAGAAAAATAAATGGAATGAACAGTATGTGTCATTTGATGCTGTTTGTGTTAAAAAAAAGTGCTGGTTTTAAATGATAGAGGATAGAAGCAACATTATTGAACTGTCAAGTCAATTAAAAGTAATTATATCGTTAGATGTAATTGACTTTATCAAGTAAATCCATCATAACAGAGGTATGTGGAGGAGGCTGCTTGACTTTACTTAGCTTTATCAATAGTGTGTGGTGGTTCTCAAACTATTCCAGGGCCCCTCACCACCATCGGCGTGAATGTATAATGTGCATAATGACTGAGGAAAAGCATGTAACTTTATGCATTGTCATTATTGTAACAGTATAAATGCTTGTCCGGACATCAAGTATGGAAAAAAGGTTCATGTACTTCCCATAGACGACACAGTGGAGGGCCTGACTGGAAGCCTGTTTGATGTCTTCCTTAAACCCTACTTTCTGGAGGCTTACCGGCCTTTGCACAAAGGTATTTCTAATCATTTCATACTTGAAGCGGGTCAATAGCACCATGACAGTTGCATGACTGTCAGCCTGCCTATGTGGTTGTAAATTAGACATATTGAGTAACTTGTCCAGGAAAGGACAGTATTCAGGGCTTGTGTCCCAACAGGTGATATCTTCCTGGTGCGAGGGAGCATGCGTGCCGTGGAGTTTAAAGTGGTGGAGACAGACCCCAGCCCACACTGCATTGTTGCTCCAGATACAGTGCTGTACTGCGATGGAGAACCAATTAAAAGAGAGGTACATATATAATGGATACAAAATGTAAAGAAAGGTAGTTAATACTTTTATAATTCAGCTGTTTTAGGTACCTGGTTAACTTGGGGCAAAACTGCTTTATTTATGTATGTAGAACCACATGTGTCCACTAGTCACATATGTCAGTGTAAATATTTCAAACAGGGTTATCTGTGAAGTTAGAATGAACCAGACAAAGGAATGGCAATGTTCTCCTTAAACTAATGTCTACAAAACAATGTTTTTCTGTTCATATTTTAATTTTTAAGGATGAGGAGGAAACTCTCAACGATGTGGGCTATGATGACATTGGTGGCTGCAGGAAGCAGCTCGCACAGATCAAAGAGATGGTGGAACTTCCATTAAGGCACCCTGGACTATTCAAAGCCATTGGCGTCAAGGTGCAGTCCATACTGTATATATCATTCATCATATTGAGTGTTTTGGAATTGGGAAATGGAATTGGAAATTCTTCTCAGTTGAAATAATAAAAAGTGTTGTGCTATAGAGAAAAAACCTGTTTCATATTCCAAAGTTGGGGAACACTGTGGCTCGGGGAAAGAGGAGGCCACGTGGGGTGCAGAGATTTCTGGCCCACCCCATTTGTACCAGGGGGCAGTGGTTGCAAACTGTGCCTCGGCAAAACTGCTCCTCACCCAGCCACAGTGCATCACGACTCCGGAGGTTTAGCTATTTGAAGTCTGGGTTCCTGCAGAGTTTTTTTTCTCTCCTTCATTTTTAGTGTACTTCCATCTCCAAGTTTTAGGGCTCCTTTTTTCTCCTTCATAATAAATAACAATATTCAAAGATGGGACGAATAAAGGATGTCTTTATCTCTTTAGCTGTTATTCATGTCATCTCTGCCCACAGCCTCCCAGGGGCATTCTGCTCTATGGACCAGCGGGCACAGGGAAAACCCTTGTGGCCCGCGCCGTCGCCAATGAAACTGGAGCTTTCTTTTTCCTGATAAACGGTGAGGCAGTGATGTTCTATCCACAGCAGTAGAGCAGAGTAGATGCTGTGGATGAATGTTATTGTTTTATGATTTATTTTGCATAGGACCTGAGATTATGAGTAAACTGGCGGGAGAGTCAGAAAGCAACCTCAGAAAAGCATTTGAAGAGGCAGAAAACAATGCACCTGCCATTATTTTTATCGACGAGTTGGACGCAATTGCACCAAAAAGAGAAAAGGTGAACATGAGTTGCATATTGCCTACATATCACTATACCTAAGAATTACGCATAATTACAAACACTTTTTAAAGCTTTGTATTCTGAATGTTGTCTTCCCTGCAGTAGATGAAAACTTTAAAGGAACATTCATTTTGTTTCATACATGAGCAATCTTTATATCATACAAAGAGGGGGCAAAAAGTCGCAAAAAATCACTACTATAGTTTTGAAGTTAATGAGCCAGTTTGTTGAAGCTGGGGTAAGTCACAGTCAAACCAAGTATGCAATTAATTAAACATAAGTAACTATAGTTCGGTTATAGATTCACAGGCATGTATTTTTGGCTTCTGTCACATCTTTCGATCAGCTTTTTCAGTCAGACTAGTGAAAAAAAACAGGACCACTCTCAATCAATTAATCAATCTTTTTTATTTCGAACTTCGTTGTCAAATCCAGTGTCATGGCAGTTCATAATACATTTTATTTTAAAAGCTTCTTTGTACACTCTGTACTTCTATGCTCATTAAAATAACAAAAAAGAAAAAAGAAACAAAGAAAAGCAATACAAAATCACAACAACAAAAAATATACAAGGAAATACAAAAAAAAAATGACAAGAAAGTTTGAAGGGGAGTGGGAAGACGTAAATACTTTTTAAATCCCATCCCCAGTGCATAAATGTTTAGTGGTTGCTTAATGTATAGTAGATAAACCCTTTTTAAACCCTATTTTACCACATCGATATATTTACAATTCTAATAACTTATCAGTATACTTTGTTGTTCATGTACGGACTCGAGAGTACGTTTTGCACATTTCATCACTCATCGATTTAATACAGGTACTACATGATCTAGTAGAGAATCAACATAGAATGCAAAACCTCTCTCTCTCTCACTCTCGCTCATCCAATCAGCTCTCAGCCCGAAATCTTCAAATAGTGACTCACAAGGCTCAATTTCTTAGTGGTATGTGGTCTGACATTACATACACCCCAAAATGCATTAAACCAGATTAGTGCCCCCTCCCCATCCCCTGCCTGCTTTATTTTATTCCTTATTGGTATGACTCTTATGTACACACTGATTATTATTGTTTCTGTATAATGCAATTTCTATTTCCTTGCTTGATGCTTCCAAAAAAAGAAGATTTAAGAAAAAAAAAAAAGTTAATTCATTGTGTTCTTCTATTCTTCTCTTTCTGATAAATGTTTTAAGACCCATGGGGAAGTGGAAAGGAGAATTGTGTCACAGCTCCTCACCCTGATGGATGGCCTGAAGCAGCGGGTTCATGTGGTAGTCATGGCGGCCACCAACCGTCCCAACAGCATCGACGCGGCCTTACGTAGATTCGGTGATGACATTTTGGATGAACCGTCGGGTAGCAGAAAAAACATACAACAATTCCCATATTGACGGAGACTATGGTTTGCAGGTCGGTTTGATCGGGAAATTGACATCGGTATCCCAGACTCCACTGGACGACTGGAGATCCTACAAATCCACACCAAAAACATGAAACTGGCTGATGATGTTGATCTGGAAAAGGTGAATCTATGCATACATGTTTAAGACAATCCCTCAAGTTCAAAATGCAGTTAAAGCCTGGGTATTCATACATGAACATGAAAAGAAGAAAGTTTTGTTTTTCCCAACAGACGTATAATCATGTTAATAAATGCTTCAGCAACAGGCTGTCTTCATCTAAAAATTACAAGAGAAGTGAGTGCTTACTTACGGGGATGCACTCACTTCAGTAGAAAACAAAGGAAAAAGTCTGAGGCACTCTGACTTAACTTAAAAATCCTTGATTGTTGAAGGGACATTGCCCATGCTATCTTCATAAATAAACAGGTTTTCTTTTGCACACATATAAGAAAGACCCAAGTTAGTCACTATTTGACTCTTTGGGGTTTAAGCTGTGAATTAACAAACATGTTTGGAGAGAGCTTGTTAGATGGATATTGTTTTGGGTGGGAGTCAACATATTAATCGCAAATCTTAATAAACTATTATCTTTACATCTTTTAAAACCTGGTGTGATGTTTTAAAACAGGTTTTTCGGCAAATTAAAGCATGAATATAGTGTAATAATTAAGGCCAGAAATTATATAAGTGGCCTCGCCCTCAACTCAAATAAGGATGCATTCCCCGATGGTTTCTCCCACTGGTTTCCACATACATTTATTTTTGGCCTCTCTCACATGTGTTTTGGCTTAAATTGAAAAAGAGAGAACCACCCTCACTCAGCCAATCAGCTCTCTTTTGATTTTTTTCATGTGAAAGATAACTTGTTTTCTTATAAGATAAAAAACAAAAACTGCATTGTCCTCAACATTACACCTTTTTGATACTTGTTTTGCTCACAGCTTTAATCAGTGTTTCTTTACTAAACTAGTTTTCGTCTAGTGTATTGTATTTTTGTTGGAACACTGTAACATTGCAAACTGGCTCTAACCTTTACAGTGTGAGTGATCACTTAATCTCCAGTGGGGTATAAGAAACATAATCTTATCTTTATCAATTGTGAGAAAGGTGGCATCAGAGACCCATGGCCACGTCGGTGCTGATTTGGCAGCTCTGTGCTCGGAGGCTGCTCTACAAACCATTCGCAAGAAGATGACTCTCATTGACCTGGAGGATGAAACAATTGATGCAGATTTGCTCAACTCTCTAGCCGTCACTATGGACGATTTTCAGGTCAACTATACAGATTTATTGACTCCTCCTTTGAGATCATCCGATTGAAACTAAACATATGTATGTATTAGTGGGCCCTGAGTCAGAGCAACCCATCCGCCCTGAGAGAGACCGTAGCCGAGGTGCCACAGGTGAGCTGGGACGACATCGGAGGACTGGATAGGGTCAAGACGGAACTGCAGGAGCTTGTTCAGGTACTGTTAAATAAACATATTCCATGTCACAATTTTCATTCAGCCAACACCATTTTGCTTTTTACATCACTCACTATAGACAGTCCAGTCTTACCTCACAGTAAAAGGAGTTGATTTCTTTTAGATTTTGTGACAAGTAGAGCTGCGTTGGCTTGAGACAAACACGTAGATAAAGAACCATATTGTGTTGATGGGTGACTGAAAAGTGAAATGTGTGGAAAAAAGTAGAATTGTGAACTAACAGGTATTTGACAATATCTTATTAAAAAAGGACAGTTTGACTCAACATTTTATGATGATAGAGGGATCTTTTTTTGTTTGTTGGGTCTTAATATTGTTATGACTTCCCTCAGTATCCAGTGGAATACCCAGACAAGTTTCTGAAGTTTGGGATGACCCCTTCACGGGGAGTGCTGTTCTATGGACCTCCAGGATGTGGGAAAACCCTGTTGGCAAAGGCCATTGCCAATGAGTGTCAAGCCAATTTTGTTTCCATCAAAGGTCCTGAGATGCTCACCATGTGGTTTGGTGAATCCGAAGCCAACGTCAGAGATGTCTTTGATAAGGTATTTATACAGGGCTGTGAAAAGGCTGGGAGTCAATATTGCAACAACACATTATCAGTAGGGAAAAACTAACCTTCACGGTGAACAGTGCAATGCTTGGTGGATTCTGCTTCACAGTGTGATTGAACATGATTGTCATATTCTCCGACCTGATGGCGAATCCTCGGAGATAAGTGCTGTTGTGATTTAGGGCTATACAGAAATACATTTCATTTAATCTAATTTAATGGGTGATCATTTGCCAAGCCCTATAAGTAAAATAAGTAACCTACTGTACCACTGTATCATTTTTCTAGATGGTTTCAATAGCTATATGTAGGGTCATAGTGATTGAGTACCAAGCTTCTGATGTGCTTCTGAACATATTTGTTACTAATTTCACCAGGCACGACAAGCGGCCCCTTGCATCCTATTTTTTGATGAGTTGGATTCTATTGCCAAATCTAGAGGAGGAGGTGCAGGTGATGCAGGAGGTGCAGCAGATAGAGTTATCAACCAGATTCTCACAGAGATGGACGGCATGTCTGACAAAAAAAATGTCTTCATCATTGGTGCCACCAATAGGTTTGTATTTTAATTTCCAACCAATATAAAAAGTAAAAGGTGTTGCTAATTCAGTTCTTCTTTTCACAAGACCCGACATTATAGACTCTGCTATTCTGAGACCAGGACGTCTGGACCAGCTCATCTATATCCCACTCCCAGACAAACCTTCACGCATTGCCATCCTCCGTGCAAACCTTAGAAAATCTCCCATAGCTCGAGTTAGTTTAATAGATCTTGTGTCTGCAGCTCTTTATGTTTTGACTTGTGTATATATACTGTATTTAAAAATGAAGCCACCTGTATGTGGCCTGATCCCGTCCATTCTCAGAGGCTGAGAGGGCAGGGTCAGGTGAGTTCTGTGATGGGAGACCTCTGGGTAAAGTAGAATGGTGGTGTTCAGAGAAGTCAATTAGTAGTCTTGCTTCTGTCGGGCTACCAAAGGGAAGCTGTGGCTATAGCTATTTAGTTTATGAATGAATTATGTCATGTAGTTCATATTTGTAACTATTATAATCATAATTTAATTCATATTTTATATATTTGATATGTTTCTTAGGATGTGGACATAGATTACATGGCGGGCATCACAGAGGGCTTTTCAGGAGCAGACCTGACAGAAATATGCCAGCGGGCCTGTAAACTTGCCATACGTGAAGCAATTGAGGCAGAGATCAAAGCTGAACAGCAGAGGCAAAACAGACCAGACCTCGCCATGGTGAGCATATTTCTAACCTGCAGTGCTACTCCACACCTCTGCTCTAGCATGAGCAGTGAGCAAGTGGTTGTTACTTTGTTTAAGTGACATTTAGATATATTCTACTGCAGAATGAAGACTATGACCCAGTACCAGAGATCAGGAGGGATCACTTTGAAGAGGCTATGAGATTTGCTCGCCGGTCTGTCAGTGATAATGACATTCGAAAATATGAGATGTTTTCTCAAACCCTTCAACAAAGCAGAGGATTTGGAAACTTTCGGTACCTCAACCTCCCCTTATTTAATCCCCTTTTAGATCACAATACATTAATTCTGTCGTTTCACAGGTTTCCATCAAGTACAGGTACACAAAGCCAGGGATCAGGATCTGGTCCAGCCAGGCCTGGGCTTTACAGAGAAGAAGGCAACGATGATCTCTATCAATAGAAACTATTAATTTGCAAAAGATTAAAGATCTCAGTAGCCAAAAAGGTTTTTAATAAACCCTGATAACAATGTTTTATTTTTCCAATTGCAACATTCACTCAAATTACGTAGTATGTCAATTATTATAAATAAATGTGACACAACACTCCATAGAATGTCCTGTTTCCTCAATGTACAGCATTATAATATAATTAATGCATGAGTCTTTCTCAGTCATTTAAACTGAAAAAGAGATTGATGCAAAATCAAGCCACAAACAACAACAGGAGTTTTTTGCATGTTTTTTGCGACATATCGTAAAGTAGTTCATTTCCGGTGAAAGGAGGAAGTCGCTCCATACTGTTTGTGGAGGTGACCGAATGGCAATTTGTGAAATATTTTAGCAAATATCCCAACAATTATTGTTGAAGACCTTTATTGTAGTGTGGTAATCCCAAAGGAGTTGCTGCAGTCATGGGTGCCCACTTGGCCCGACGCTACATCACTGAAACGGACACAGAGCCAGATCCTGCAAAGAAATTCGAGTTTGACCCTACCTTTGGTTTTCCCGAGAGGAAAGAAAGAGGTTTGTATTATACTTGTATGGTGTGTAGAGCTATTTGTTTAAGATACTTCAGTGCGTCTTATCACTAGTTTAAATGCAATAACTATATGTTAGCCAAGTTAGCATAGCGAACTAAATGTTTCTCATCAAAACAAACACGTAAACTGAGCTAACGCTACATAAACTATTTAATTGAAGATGTGTTACCTTTGTCTTTTGCTACGTGTTTTCATTCATTTCATCATTTGATTTATGGTTGGTATTCCGTTATTGACATTCAATTGTATATAGGTAAATAAAATGAACATAATATTGTACATTATCATGGTTAAATATCCATCAACAGATTAGTCTATAGACCATTTGATTTGGTACAAGACATCTTTTCTTTCTTGGTCAATGTTGCGTTGTACAGTCTTCTTGTTCAAATAAAGACCTAACATTTGTCAATTTTATCAATTCATTAGTGTTCATTTTGAGTGAAATTGTGGTTTCTTTCTGCAGAGATGACTGCAACACAGGAGCAGATGAACTTGGCCCAAGTCCCTGTGGAGCAGCGAGACTACTGCGCACACCACCTCCTCACACTCATGAAGTGCAAGAGGGACAACTGGCCTAACTTCCTGGCCTGCAAACATGAAAAGCATGACTGGGACTACTGCGAGCACCAAGAGTAGGTTTTACATTAGAGATATATGCACTGTGTTCATTTCATTGACCTTTTTCTACTCTGCCCATAGTTATGTAATGCGTATGAAGGAGTATGAGAGAGAACGGAGGCTCCAACTGAGGAAGAAGAGAATAGAGGCCAAAACTGAAGCTGAAGCTGCATAATTTAAACCGTGTCCTTGTTCTCTGTAAATATACAATAAATCCTATTGTTTCAGCTCCTTGATTGTCTTGATATGTCATTGTAAAAACTGTCATTGTTTTTAATAATTTTATTAATAAATTACATCAAATCAACAAAATTAAAAAGATTGTTGTAAACTATACATTTAAACAGAACTTATGTTAGGCGCCCATGTTTTTTTTGCCTGCAATAGTCAATGCACAGACTTGAATCCCTCTTAAACAATACACATTTTGTATCAATTTTAGTAGAAAGTGAACAGCGTTAACCAGTCTGAATTATTCCAGTGTACAAGCAAAATGCGACAAGCCTGACGAGATGCAATGAAACGCACTGAAGTTGTCTTTTTTACAAAACAAAGGGGAGGATGGGTGAGCGGAGAGGGGGGTAATCGCGAAACTCTTTCAGGTAGCTCTTGTGCTTCCCTTTGGCCCACACGGTCATCTGGATAAATCCCACAATCGTGAAGAATGCCACGGGTGCGCATTGTGTCATCAGAGTGAAGCCAAGCCAGGAGCCCAGCTGTAGAAGCGCAGACACAGTTATACCACCAGATGGCAGCGAAAGAAGACAAACCAAAAGTACAATCTTTACCTCATAGGTGTAGTTGGGACAAGAGACCAAGACGAATATCCAGGTGAAGGGATTTTTTGTTGGGTAGGGAATCTTTCTAGTCTTTGAGCCTATACAAATGCAGGGAAACGGGAGCAAAAATTAAAAATTATAAAATCTGTCTCTCCCCGATGTCTCCCATGCACAGCAATCAATTGTGTTAGGCATCCTAATTAAACATTTATACTTTATGAATGTGTTTTGTCAATTTTCAAAAGCGATCAACTCATGTGGTGGTTTTTAATCCCCATAACATGACTTTGTACATACCTGGTGGGCGAAGGTTCCTTAGAGCAATATGGATGGAAAAGTTGCCAATCTGACAGAACTAGAAGAGTATAATTGTCACTATCACAGCATTTAAATAATTGGAGGTAAAAACTTCAGGATGCATACCAAGAACAAGATGAGAGCCAGTCGTATTTGCTGCTCCCCATAGACTGAAAGAGAAAACATTTTATAGTGTAAGAGGAAAAATAAATAAATATAAATATATATATTATAAAAATTCTACAGGAATAAACATTTCTGCCCTTACTGGGTGGGGTGTACAATGGATGATTGATGTAGTAGGCCATCCACGCCGCAAAGCCCCAATAATACGTACAATTCTTAAAAGAATAAAAAAGGACAATATAATACTGTATATAGTGATATCCTCCACTATTGGTTTCATGCCTTACTTTAAAAATGTTGCGTAAAGGCATGGTTCCATGAGAAAAGCGATGGACAAAAAGAGTTTCAAGCAGTCTTTTCATGTAGTGGAAAGAGTGACACATACAGGCCAAGCTGGAAACAAAGATTATATATCAAGACATGATTTACTCAGTATGCATTGTTAATTCAGTATATATTCCCAAAACCAAATGCAGCTATGGTAGAAGTTGATTAAATGATAATAAAATATCAGAGTTAAAAGGTTAATGTTTAGATTAACATTAGATCAACACTTACTGTACAACCCAATGTTTACTGGTGGTGAAGTCATACTTGGGTGCATAAATAAAGGGAACTCTGAAGTAGAACATAAGATAAATGACCAGTGGCCCGGTGTACTCAGTAAGGAAGACCTGCAATCACAAAACAAAATATTTTAAATCTTAGCTGGTGGAGCCACAACTGATATCATCGTACACAAAGCCTCTGAATATAGCTCGAGTTGATCCATTGCACTGTGATGTATTGTGCTTGTGTGGACGCGGGGAGCACAATGGGCCTCATTCACGAATAACTTCGTGAGAAACTACTCAACTTTCTTCTCAAGTTGTCCTTAAGTAGATTTCTAAGAAGTCCCCACGTGGGATTCATCAACGCACTCGTAAGCCGCTGAATTGTTCGCAGCTGTTCTCTCAGATTGATGAATCCCATTTCCTCTAAGTACAGCGCGCGTGCCAGGTGCTTCATTAGCATAGGTACTTAGCATAAGTAACCGCCCACTAATGCCCATATAAGGGACTGCAGGGCCGTGTGCAGACGCAGAGGAAACAGCAACAAGCCACGGAGCAAAAGAGTCACCCTTTTTTCTTCTTTTACCAGACTGAGAATAAAGTTATAAAATGTTGACTTAAAAGTCAAAATATTATGATAATAAAGTCGAACTAGCAAAATTATGAGATTAATCTAAGAATATGATGAGATTAATCTCAAAATGTTATGAGCTTAATTTAAAAATATATTATGTATTATTTTAAAGATGAATCTCAAAATGTTTTGAGATTAATCTCAAAATATTTTGGACCCTGGGAGGAGATCCAGCGCGGACCAGCGCTGAGACCAATGCAGACCCGAGGAGAGACTGGAGTGACCAGCACACAGAAACCAGCGCGGACCTATAGGAGAGACCGCATAGACTGTAGTGACCTGACTGGAGAGACCGGTGCGCAGAGACCAGCGCGGACCGAAGATAGACCGCATAGACCAGACTTGAGAGACCAGCGCGGACCCGTATGGATCCAGGAGCATGCAGCACGGACCCGTATGGAGAGAGACCAGTGCAGACCCGTATATGGGAGAGACCAGTGCAGACCCGTCTAGATCCATGGGAGAGACCAGTGCAGACCAGTATAGATCCATGGGAGAGACCAGTGCAGACCCGTATAGATCCATGGGAGACCAGTGCAGACCTGTATAGATCCATGGGAGAGACCAGTGCAGACCCGTATAGATCCATGGGAGAGACCAGTGCAGACCCGTATAGATCCATGGGAGAGACCAGTGCAGACCCGTATAGATCCATGGGAGAGACCAGTGCAGACCCGTATAGATCCATAGGAGAGACCAGCGCAGAGACTCAGCGCGGACCCAGTAACCTCCTGCAGCAGCAGTATATATGCCGTTGTTCTGTGGCCCGTGGATAAAGAAATGCCCCCTATAAATAGGAAGGGGTCACTAATACACGGAAAGATTTCCAATGTATTTGATAAAGCGTTGGCACATTTCATTTCAAAATGAATTAAAAAGTAGGCCAGATCTGCAGTGAAAAAGGCGGTATATAAATAAAGATTACTAATAAAGATTACTACAAATAAATAAATACATACATCGATATGACGGACATATCACTGGAATGTTGTATTTTTATTCAACTTCACCAAAGAGGACAACCCCGGCGTGTGAACATGTCGGCACTGAATGCGTACGAGTGCTCCTGAGGACTCGTAGGATTTGTACTTGCCCAAGAGAAATTCTGGTTACGAGAAATATTCGTGAATGCCACTTTCTTCGTAAAAAACGCGTAAGTAGGATTTACGTACACATCTGTTCCTAAGAACCGTTCGTGAATGAGGCCCAATGTTCCTATGTGACTCACTGTGACCCAGCTGATCTGAGCCCCCAGGTCTCTGAAGTAGAACGTGGCCGTTGTTCCCACAGGCAGGTGCTGCAGGACGTCCTCATCCTTCAGAGACTTCCCCTCTGACAAACGCAAGCCAACACTCATCATCTTGTTAGCATATGACAACAGTTTTCATCTAGTCTATGAATTAGTAATAAGTGCTATTGCAGTTTAGGACAAGTTTACAATTACAATTTTGATCAAAATTTTACATTAAATATATATACACGTGTTTATTTCGGGTCACTCACTGGGGTCAAGTCGAATGGACTGTCTGGCTGGGTAGAACTGAGGATCTGCAACACAAAAGATAAAAGGCATGGATAAAGACAATACGTGAATGAATCTTGTGAGGTTATTAAGATTTGAACTCACGGCTCTTGTTGAACATAGACTTAATCTCCCCAATCGTGGCATTTGGCTCCACCTACAAACACCAACAAAACAAATACAGTAAACACAGAGCAACATATCACTTGCAATTGCAACAGTGATTCAAGATAAATTTAGCTCAAAGACTCATGCCACGGACGATAGACATTTAGCAGCTGCTGATGTGACAACACCAAGGACCCACCATTGTGTCCCACAGAGAAGCAATGATCTTCATTAGTTTGATTGTTTATCATGCTGGGTAACAATAAGTTACATTTATCGAATAACAGAATTAAGGAAGTATCGCCCTCTCAAACAATCCAGTCAATTAATGTTAGGTAATCAAATTAAATTAAACGATCTCAATACTTTCATCAAAACAGCTCTTGTAAATTCATAAGGAAAAAAAAACAGCTTCAGTGATTTGAGTTTGTGAAAATGCTGCAACAAGCTCTCAGAATAACTGACTGCATGTTTTACTTTAATTAGAAAGTAATCCGACACATTCAGTGTCTGGATGTTTGATTGCATTTCCAAAGGGTGCAAGTCTGGTGACTCTGGTCCTACGTGACATAGCTTCTGTGCGTTTCCCTTAAAGGGCCGAGGGCCGTATGCAGCACGATGACCTCATCGAGTGACCCTTTACTGACCTGTGTTTGCACATTTAAACTTTTGACTCAGTCTGCAGTACCATATTGCAGAATTTTTAGTAGTATTATCCCACATGTGAAATGGATGCAGCTCAGACTGCCACCCCCCCGACCCAGAAATGGATTAAGGGGAAGAAATTTGATGGATGGGTGGATATTATCCCACTACAACGTTTCAATCTCAAAACGAAGGAATAGAATAAAGACTCAACTGCAAGAAAAGATAAAAAGATGCAGGTTTTTTTTTAAAGAAATGAAGGTATAATAGTACATTTTATAATAGTTCAAATTATACTATTACATTGTACATTTCTGATATAGATAAAAATAATTCTAAAACTGCAGAGATAAACAGTCCATATTGTTCCAAAACTACTTTTTAAGATCAATTAGTGTCGGATTATCAACCATTTTGAAACTCATTTCAGGTTCCAATTAGATTCTTGAACAGGGACATTTCCTTTTGAGAAGTGTATCACCATGGAAACCAGCAGAAGCTAAAGCTAAAACTACAAACTAGGGCTGGGCAATAAATCGAATTTAGGCAATTAATTGACTTTTGAAAAAAATCGTAGTTGTGAAAAATTTGAAAATTGTGAAATCGAATGACGGATATTTTGAGAGTTCCAGCAGCACATGAATTATACTTCCATTATCAGCACAGTCTGTACAAGACTTTTATAATACGTATTGGGGAAAACAAATTAAAATTATGAAACTTGAATATTGAGCGGAAAGATAAAAATATGTGTTTAAGGGCAAAGTCTGTCTTCGGTGACTTGAATGAAAATCTATTTAAAATCGAAATCGCCCGAAGCAGGAAATAAAAATCGAGATTTTTCTGTTTTGCCATATTGCCCAGCCCTACTACAAACTACACGTGGTAATGTACTGCAAACGCCAAGCATACACAAACCAACACAATAAACCTCCCAAAGCCAAAATTATAAGGAGAGATCTAAACAAACAACAGAGAAGAGGCTTAGAATAGTTATTTGATATCCAGCCCCGATCTGCACTATGGCAGACTGGTCCAAAATACCACTGTGCAAAAAACTGGTTTGACTCAGAGAGCAAATATCCAAATGTTAATTTCAAATATATAGTCTAACATGGATGCAATGTGTTCCAATCTATTTTCATCTCTTGTTACAGATTACTAAGTGAAAATAAAATATACGGAATCTTACCTTGTCCAGGAAGCAGAGCTTGTCCTTAGTCTTGGCATCCAGTATCTCCACCTCAAAAAAAACAACAGCCTTTTTAGTTTTTTTTGCAGCTTTGCGTTTTCCAGGTACTGCAGGTCCTGGTGGTGCCATGGACGCTCCATTGGGTGACCTCTTTCCGCTTGCTTCTAGCGCTAGAGCATCCATATCCTCAATCCTCCCCTGCCCTGTAATTCCCTTCTTGTCCTCACTTTTGCCTCTGTTCAATCGTCACCGTCCTCTTCTCAAATGTCTGCTACAGATACACGTTTTAGGAGAGGGTGGACACTCAGCTGCGGGCATAAATCTGCCGGCCCCTCCTTTCTCCTTCTGTCCGTCAATCCCTCACTCGCCAAACTCATTCTTCCACGCTGCTTTATTTAACTGCAGCCGGCCATTGAAGCACAGACATATCACATTTGCGACATGTGTGGACATTAGCGAGGGAGCAGGTTTTTGGCTCCACCCTGTTGGTTTTGAAAAGTGACTCCAAGTTCTAGCCCTCCTGATGACCTCTGACATCATAGCTGTGAAAAGGCAGGCATCATGCCACAGTGGTCTTCAACCAATTATAAACTAATGCCAACTTTGTATTCACCATTCATAGCCCACCACCCAACTAGTCTATAATAGTGATCTCAGAGGTGTTGCGTAAACATTAAACAGTGCTGCAGGTGCCACTCTCGTGAAAAAAATGGGCTCTGAATTTGGGAGGCCTATAGAAGGGTAGTGGTAGGGTTGCTATTACACTGGGCTTAGCTGGGGCATTTCCCTTGGTGGTACCCTCTTGGTTAATGACGGGCCAGGAGCGGTCCAATTTCCACAGTGAATGAAAGACATGTGGTCACAAGTGGGAAGGTGAGAAGGGGTGGTAATAATAAGAGGTTTGGTGATATGCCAAAGAATTCATGCCACAGTTGTAGGGATGGACCTGAATATCCATACTTGGTTAGATCTGCTTATTGAAACGAGAATAATGTTGCCAAATCTGTGCCCTGTGCCAGAGAAGCATGCTGACCAACAACATAACCTCCCTTGAGGCTCTAGAGTCTACAATACTTAAGTCTGAAGAAGTGTATTCTCCAATCCAGTATCCGTCCAGTCAGAGGGAAAGGGGACGGGAGGCAAAGCAACACAGATTTGCATCACTATCTTAAAAGGTTGGGAGGTTTATGTATGGTATTTGTTTGAATGTTAGAAGTAATAATAGTTACATAAATTCAAACTTAAATAAAAGTTTATGTCACTAGGTCGTCCTATTGGCACAGCAATATTTAAGACACACAACTTTAAACATATATAATGTTGTGTCTTGGTCATATTGGATGAGCTGAATCATAAAGCCATGCTTTATCATGAAGCGCAGATTAGTGGAGCCAAAAGCATACATAGACCGTTCGTCTATTGGCCAAAGCTTTCCAAATTCCCAGTAACAAAGAACAATGCTAGTACTTCATGATTGTCGAACGAAAATGCATTGATTTGGTTTCAATCTGAATGAAATAGTACATATATGAAGGTATGATTAGTGATCACAGATATTGCTAATCTGGATCACAATATGAACTAGATAAGCCAGGACATGAGGCACTAATCAGAAAATGCCTTTGTCTTGATTTAACATGGACACATCTTTATTTAGGAGCAGTGCGCGGATAAGAATCAACTCCTACAAGAAATGTACGTATCTATGTTCGTAACTTCACCATTGTTTGACCGCATAATGGCCTTTATTATTGGAATGTTGCGAAATGCAGCCATAACCTCGGCTGGGTGCTCATGACAGGCTGTGCTGCGGACGCGTCTATGGTCCTGTCCTCATTCTGACTCTAAACGCTGTGTAGGCACAGCTTTTCATCGCCAAAAGCCTCGTACGGGTCTGTTGATAAGACAGAGGCCTGCATGTTGCATCCCATTGAGGGTTTAGAGTTTCAGGGACATTACTTACCTCGTAGTGCTTCATCTTGGCAGACCCGAGGCTCTTCCTTAATAGGATGTTGAGAGACAGGACAGCCGCCAATCTCTGCGCAAGTGTCCAAGCGCCATATCCGCAGTGGGCGGGAATAAAGAGCTAATGAACCAATCAGAATCTATTATACAAGGAAATACCGTCCGGAAGATACACGCTTCAGCCAATAACCTCTGAGGATCAACGGATACGATGTAAACATGTAATAGGATTTATATGAACCCCCAAAAAGAAGAAGGAATTTAGGACCTATATAAACTAGTGCCGTCCCCGTATCTGTATGTATTCACATGGCCAAATATGGACGTATTTGAAAGTTGGATGTAAAATTATGTGTTTATTTCTTTACATCACACCATTTTGAAGTGGTAACGATTAAAACATTCAAGACAACATGGCCAGCATGAAGATAATATACAGTTAAAAGTAAATTATAAGCCAATTAGAAAAATAACATTAATAGAATAATACAGCAGAATAAATCAGACATTTTGGCACAGACTTAAGTTATCATAATGATGAAAAGAAGCCATTCTGCAGGTATAGTAAACCTGGTGTACATACCCAAAGTGTTAACCAATGCCTATGGAACTGAAATACATACTATAAATTATAAATCCAAAAATATACAGAGCATATCATTTTGTAGGTGTAACTATTCAGAAATGTCACAAATTGGTTTTATTGTCTGTGCAGGACCCACAATTCAGGATCCATGATGCATTTCAATCATATTTGAATGCATGGTGAATGTGCGATGCAATGTAACATAGGCCTATATGATTGACTTCAAACCATAGATTCGATCAGTCCATGTCCAACAGTCCATGTGTCAAAGACTATGCATGCTCACGGTAGGGCATAGGACATTACCCATTGAGTGCAACTATTATGAACAAAATACAAAACTTTTATTTTTTAAACCTACAGAAAATATATATACAACACAAACAGGCCTATCCACACATACACAAGGAATGTCAGTGGTCTGAAAACACCGAGACACACCTTGGAACAAACTGGTTTTGCCTGAACATGCTTTCCTTCATGCGTTTTTTTTAGTCTGAGATTTGTGTTACAGGCATCAGTCTTTGGGGTGGGTCAAGAAAACCTGCCAAAGCTGGAACTATGCACTTTGTCCTGAAGATCAAGTGGCCCAGCGTTTATCTGTTCAAGTCAGTAACTTGGGACACACCTTGTAGTAAAGGCATACATTGCATTAGGCCTCTTTAGCAGTAGACCATAATATAAAACTGAAGTAGAATGTATTAGAAAAAAGAAATGCTATCATTTATTATGCTGTGGGCTCCATTACTTCAGCAGGGACAAGGGAGCATGTCAGACTGAGTAATGAGAAGGTGGATGGAGTAAAATGCTGGACAATCTGCAAGAACAACTTTTAGACACTAGAGATTACCAACATTCAGGCTGATTTCCCTTAACATATATGGGAATGGTTTAAAACAAAACATATCCATGTGAAGTCAAAGGTCATAGGGTCAGACCTGTCTAAAAGTTGTTGCTTTATAATGTAAAAACTTAGTTTTTTGGTATGACAAATAAATGTTTTTTTATTTTTTTATTTTTTTAAAGGACGTTGATATAAAGATAATTTGAATTAATAAAATATGCTCCTGGGGGTGGGGTATCGATTGTGAATGGATTGTATGTGATTATGTTCGTGTTATGTTATTATACCGAAGGGGGCACGGGAAAACAGGATTGAGAAGCATCTGCCCTATATCTCTCTTTACAGACACAAGGATATGTTTTCTCATGTATTCAGTCTCCAGACGTGTGATAAGTTAAATTCATAGAGCGTATGGATTTTGCAGTGTGTGAGATAGATCTCCAAAAGGCAGCTCCCCCTGACGCAGCCTGACGCACGGGGGCGTGGCCTGGAGCTGCACGAGCTGATTGTTCGGGTTTATATGAGAACAGTCTGGAAGTTTCCACTGTGTTTATATAGAAAAGCGCCGAGCCTGTGACTCGTCTACTAACGGGACAGAGACAGCGAGACGACATTGGGGGACACCATGGGTAAAGACTACTATGACATATTGGGAATCAAGAAAGGGGCAACTGAAGACGAGATCAAGAAAGCGTATCGAAAACAGGCTCTGAAATATCACCCGGACAAAAATAAGTCACCAGGAGCAGAAGACAAATTCAAAGAAATCGCCGAAGCCTACGATGTTTTGAGTGACCCCAAGAAAAAAGACATCTACGACCGTTTTGGCGAAGAAGGTAAGGGGGAAATTCTCCAGTCTGAGCAAAGCCAAAACAAAGTTTAGAGATTAGCAAAATAATGATGCGGTGCGTGAGCTGTAATGGCGCAGTAACGTTACTATGTCCTTCATTTAGGACCAAGTCAGTCATGACAGCTACTGTTATATAACAGTGAGTAGTTTACAGGTCGTGCTACACAACTAACTTCACCAGGCTAAAATTAAATATTGAAAACAAAAAAAAGTTGTACAAAGCTAAAGTTAGCATAGCGTTCAGTCTGTTTTTGACATCGCGAATAGGATTAAACCCCGTGCCCACATTTGGCATGATCATAACATGGCGTCATTTGAGTATTTTGATCTGTAATCTTGAAATGAAATGAAATGAAATGACTCCTTAAAGTAGGATTTTTTTGCTTGATGATTTTTTTTTCTTATTAACAAACATACAGTTTTCTGTCCATACATTAACGTCACTGATGTTGACAGAGGCAGAAGCGTTACCATGGCAACTTCCTGGTTCATCAATATAACCCCTCACATAATGGCAAAATCTTGAAATACTTTGCAAAGGGTTCTGCATCTGCACTGGGCAGGCACAAAATGGTCTCAACCATTGCAACATAATGTAAACTGGAATAACATATTATACATTATTATTATTATACAAATATTTATACTTTTTATATGCTAGATTCCTTTATATAGGGTAGGTCTTACCCATGGGTCTTACCCACACAATCTAATCCAATTGTTGCTCATCTGACAAATAATAGTTTAATTAATTTGATTTGCTATTCAAAGATTATTTAGTTGATTGTATACAGCAGGTATACAATCACTCAGACACCGGCGGCACGGTGGCTGAGTGGATAGCACTCTCGCCTCTCAGCAAGAAGGTCCTGGGTTCGAATCCCGGCCGGACCAGGGCCTTTCTGAGTGGAGTTTGCATGTTCTCCCCGTGTCTGCGTAGGTTTCCTCCGGGTACTCCGGTTTCCCCTACCACTAAAAATATGTCCAATAGTTCTGGCATGTGCCTCCTGTACTGGCCCCGCTCCCATCTCTGTGTGGAGTGAGAGACAAATGCCCAAAATTAACAATTGTAAACCGCTTTGAGACTCAGATCTGCAGTGAAAAGGCGGTATATAAATAATAACTTACTTACTTACTTACTTACAGCCGGCTCTAATTAGAGGATGTTATCGATGTGGCAGTTAAAGAAAATCAAGTGTTTGAGATCGAGATTAAAAAAAGACTATTTAAACAATAATAAATAAGCAGATGGCTGTTCTAAGTCAATGAACCCTAAAGCCATAAGATTATGTAATTTTCATGCTTGTTGTTTTCTCCTTTTAGGCCTAAAGGGTGGTGGACCCACAGAGGGCAGTGCAGGTCCAGGCAATTTCAGCTATTCTTTCCAGGGAGACCCTCATGTCATCTTTTCAGAGTTCTTCGGGGGACGTAACCCTTTTGATCAGTTCTTTGGTGCTCGAAATGGTGGCATGGATGAGAACATGGACACTGATGATCCATTCAGCCGCTTTGGGATGGGTGGCATGAGTGGAATGGGGGGGATGGGAAGTGGGGGAATGGGGGGATTCCCACGCTCCTTCAGCAGCGGCATGGGCGGTCACACTAGTGTTGTGAAGAAACACCAGGACCCTGCTGTAGTCCATGACCTACACGTCTCTCTGGAGGAAGTGCTGTCCGGTTGTACAAAAAAAATGAAAATCACTCGTAAAAGAATGAACCCTGATGGCCGAACAGTGAGGAAGGAAGACAAAATCCTGGAAGTGCAGATCAAGAAGGGCTGGAAAGAAGGCACAAAAATCACCTTTCCCAAAGAAGGGGATGAGACTCCAACCAACATTCCTGCAGACATAGTGTTTGTGTTAAAGGACAAACCTCACCCACTGTTCAAAAGGAACAACTCTGACATCGTCTACTCTGCCAAAATCTCACTTCGAGACGTAAGTGAAGTTCCACAACTTTGTTCTCTTAATGGTTAGCAGAATGTGTCTCATGTGTTTATGTTTTTTCCAGGCCCTTTGCGGCTGCACAGTCAGTGCTCCCACGCTTGACGGTAGACAAGTTCCTGTAACAAACACCGACATTGTGCATCCCGGAATGAAGCGGCGCATCACTGGTGAGGGTCTGCCTTATCCCAAACGGCCAGAGCGGCGAGGAGACCTAATTGTGGAGTACGATGTGAAGTTCCCTGAAAGACTCAGCCAGGGCGCCCGGGACACCATTGCACAGGTGCTTCCCCGATCCTAAAGACTTGGTTTACATTAAGCTGCCAGCGGTTTTTCTACATGTCATTCAAATTAAAAGACTCTTTAATGAACTGCAATTGTACATATGACCAATAGGGGTCTGTATAAAGATAATATATGTTTTCAAGAATGGTTCCGTCATTTTTATTTTTTGTCTTTTGGTTTTCTTTTGAATGACAGTATTTGATATTTTAAGGGGAACAACCTCAATTTTTTGCATTAAAATGTTTGATATTATTCAGTCAGTCAGTCTTTTTTTCTCACAAATATCAATATCTTCATCCCTTCAGATTTAGCTCTTTAAAATGAGATACTTAACTGTTTCATAGCATTTCATGGGGATACAAGTTTACATAGACAAAATGAATGAATGCCTTTATTAGTCAGAGTGGAGAAATTGCAGAACACAGCAACACTTGATTGTCTCATGGCTGAACTCGCACACGGACCATATTTCTCAGACATTGTTTACAAATGTTTCTAATGCTGTTTTCATATGCAGCACCCAAAAAACAATCCAGAATATTGTATACCAGATCATTCCTGTGACTCAAGTCATTGAGAGAGGTGACAGGTTGAGCGCTGGAATCAGCATAGATCTTCAAATGTGTCGAATGGACCATCAGCACCACCCAGAGGCAATGTGGAGGACTGTGGACTGTGAGCAGAACACTAATCAGTAGCGATTCTACAGTTATGTGAGACAAAAATCCAGACGCATGAGATGACATCATGCATCAATTCAGAACGTAGTTTTGTCTTCAATTTTAGCCAAATGTGCAGTTTGTAATTAAACTAAACACATAATTCATAATAAAATGAAAATGCAGGGAAGAAACATGCAGGTTTGCAAATAATGTGTTTGAAACACACAGTGCCTCTCAAAAGTACTAATAAACCTTGAACTTTTGAACATTTATACATGATTCTGTCATTTTCCAAATAATATAAAACGGCGGGTGATGATCCCACAGGATCTTGGAGGTCTTGCTCTGGTCCTGCTCTGGACCTGTTATATTCCTGCACTAGTGTGGCTCCACATGCTGGATGTACTGCGGTATTGTGTGGTAAAACTGAATATTGTAGAGGCGTGGCATGCTTAAGGAATTTGAGGAGGGATGAATTGTCACGGCAAAGGAGATGTGCTCACACAACACAGATTTAAATTATTTGAGGAAAAGGCTCTTTTCAGTATTGTAGATAAAATACATGTTTTGGATCTTTGAGTTCAGCTCATGAAAAGTAAAATAAAAATGTTTGATTTATATTTAGTCCATGGCATTTTTATGACAACCATGATCCATTTAGTTTCATCCAAATTGCTATCTCTTAAGGCTATTTTTCAGTGCCTTATAAACAGACACCCGTGACAATGTCAGCAGACTGAGCTGGATGCCCTGCAGCCTTATGAACTGTAAATGTGCAGTATGTTTAGAAACAACAGGCTGTATGCTGCAGTAGCAACTCTATCATTCTCTGATTTCACCTGCTCAAGACTAACTTCCACCGCAACACTGCATTTTATGGATCGACATTAGATAAGCCATTCAAGATAGACCACAGACTTTTCAGAGCGCTGCTGATCTCTTACTGCTTTGCTCATGTATTTTGAAAAAATGAAGATTTTTTTGGTGCTTGTGAGTTTCTTCGTTTCAGGTGAGTGACGTACTGAAATGTTACACTGAAGATTACAGTAGTTTTTCAGATTATTCAAAGACGATGGATAATGTTGACGCTATTAAAGTTTTATCTTTTTAAGTGTTTGGACAAATGTGATGATGGTCCTGTGCTGTACATCTCAGCAGTTTCCCTTTTTGATGATTTCTTTCAGAATGTATTTTTTGTGAAAATGTGTGTGTATGTATTTGTAGACTTTCCACATCTGAGTTTGACAATCACAGATTTCCTTCTTGCCTCGGTTTGGTTCCTAAACACAGGCTGTATGTAAAAGAAAACATAAAAGTAACCAGCTCCACTGTATTCATTAGATACAATGCTTAAGAAATAGTCATTGTGCTCTGTACACTGTTTGAAAGTCTTACTTTGTTTTCATGTGCATGCACATGCTTACAGTATCTTGTGGCTATAACTAACTAGTATTTAAATTATTCTCTCTTGATTAAGTGATTAGTTTTTGAAAAATATAACATTTCATTTCAGTTTGACCCACTGAAGTGAAGCCACTTCTTATGGACAGATGGTTTCTGATTATTGTCCATGTAATTACTGCTGTTTAAGCACTAATCACACCTGTCAGCACATTTAGGTTTAGTTAGTTAGTAATAATACATACCAAAGCAGTTCTCAACTTTTGGAAAAAGGTGATTAGTTGTGCTTGAACCGTTTATTGTTTAGTCTGGAGACACAGATAAACGTCGGAACGGCTTTAAAATCAAACAAACTGTGCCTTTAAAAATAATATATTATTATTTGTTTTGTAATTTACATTGCCTTTTTGGAATTTATTGTCAATTGAAAGGTGTTTTTCAACAGAAAATATTTTTACTATTACTAAGTAATCCTAATAACCTAAACCTCAACTGGTCAGAATTGAACTAAGTCTATTAGAAACTTCTAGATGATGTAAATCAAACTGGTGAAAGGTAAGGATAATTATCATTTCATATCTATTTAGTGTTTATTCACCAGGGACACAAAAGCGCAACAGTCTGGTGGTTCACACAGCCGGAACCACCCGGCCCTCCTACCCCGACCCACTCACTACACCATGCTGTCTTTCATTCAATGCAGATTGCTGCAGTTATTTCCAAATGATCTGCTTGTTTTGATGTAATCAATGCAATGTTAATTATATACTGTGTGGTGACAATAGGATTCTTTCAGAGCAGTTATTTCTAACAAATATCATAATGTTGATTTTGTTCTGTGTTTTGTTTCATTGACAACATTAGGTTTGTCCAGTGCCCCTGATGAGGGGCCCAGATAATATCCCTAATAATGAAATCTGTGACAATTAAACAAGGAGCAGTGCAGGGATGTTGCCTGCAAATTAATTCAACATGGCTGACAAATATATGATATTGCATATTGGCATTTAAATGTAGCTTTATAATACATAGTGTAAGTTGCTTTTTATGACATGATAATTACCTCTGTTTATCTGTGAGAAACAAACCTTAAAACGTGATGGGATTTGGACAAAACCTTTTGAAAACCAGAGCAATAGCCCAGTGATTGATATTATGTTCTCTTCTGGCATATCACTTCTTTGTGAAGGTTCACCTGCTCCGCATGGGCCAGTTTCTTCTCCTCCCACTGTACAAAGTGCAACGCTGTCCCAGGTTGATCTTGCATTCAGCACTTTGCCAACACTACAGCCCACGTCAGAATCACACAAGGAATCGGCAAAAAGCCTGACAGGTAAATGGTTTATGAAGCAAATAAGTCTGAGTAACATTAGGTAATTTCAAAAATAGAAAAAAAAAACATAGTCAATTGCTCGCTACTGTTTAGAGAGCAGTTTTCACATGGACTCACTGGATGAAATAACAAAACAAGGGCCACCATAGACCCTCTGCACTTTAAACTTTTTTTCTCCAGCAAACAGAGCCATCAAACTTCTAGAAATGTGAACAATCAAAATAAAGATCTTGAAAGTTGCAAGTTACAATATTCAACATTTAGTTTTATGCAGTACATTTTTTATAACTTTTTCAAGAACGGGTGGATTTGAGTTGTATTGCAATAACACATAACTGGCTTTTTCCCCTTTTTTAAAATGCCTTTTAGGTGTTTTTCTAATGACACTTGTCTGTTTTTGCAAATTAAGAAATTATATTCAAAGTCCAAATGACAGATTAATCAGAACCTGTTTGAACCAAAACCCAGGCCTCAGCTTCCAGCCTTTTGTTTTCCCAATGGCTGCTAAAAAGTAAATATAGTTTGACTTCTTAGATTTTCTTCAGTTATTATTATTGGGTTAAATATCTCACTTCAGCAGCTTCAAACATGTCAAACAGTCAATGGTCAATATATTAAGCTGTAAATTGTGTTTTTATTCCTCACATGAAAATCAATCTATCCATCTTTAATGAAAAAGTCAATATTTCTTTATTGATCCATCTTTCAATCCATTTTCTTCTGCTTTATCCGTCACCCACACCATTCCCAGGCCAGCTGAGTGGCATGAGCTTCTCCTGGGACAATGGGAGGCACCAGGAGGCACCAGGGGGCATAAAAAGGCATCCGAGACAGATGCCTGAGCCACCGCTACAACTCCTCTCAATGTGGAGAAGCAGCGGCTCTACTCTAAGCTCCTCCCATGTCTCTGAAGCTCCTCATCAATCCCAGGGGACGTCAAGCAACTGCAGATTAAGATTAAGATTAGATGAAGAGATCCTTTATTTGTCCCACAGTGGGGAAATGTCAGCGTTGAATCACTAGCTACAGAACAGTAGGAATGAGTAGCACACAGCACAAGATACATGGACAATAACTCTATACTAAATAAAATAAAACAAAAAACTCTAACTCTAGCATGAAGAAGAAACACGTATAAAATCTCTATCTTTAGTATAATCAATACAAATGTCTGACTTCAGCAAAATAAAGAAGTATAAAATCTCTACCTTTGGCAAAATAAGCAAGTATAAAGTACTGTATATTCTAGTGCAAATAATATATACAGTATCTGTACATGTTAGCAGCATGAGGGTCTGGGACATGAGGTTCTATATTGCACATTGTGACATTTTTAAAGTTATTATTGCACAGATGAGTAAGTAAAATAAAGTAAAATCACCTTGAAGTCATAACACAAAGCGCATGACCACAGGTGAGGGTGGAACGTAGATTGAGCTGCAAAATGAAAGCTTTACCTTCGGATTCAGCCCACTCTTCACCATAACAGTCTGATCACAATCTTCAGTCATGATCCTTGATACTGTGCGTAGCAAAGGCCCTTGGAACGTGCAAGCACACAAACTCCCACCACTCAGGTCCATGATAATAAATGAGTAATGTGAATGTATCTGTGCCTGTTAGATACCATCATTGTGATCATTGTGTCGGTCTCTCTGGCACTGCTCGTCTGTGCCATCATCCCACTGATATTCTATGGACACTGGCGCAGCTCCGGAGGTAACATGACAAACACGCATTACGCAAAGTCAAAGTCATTTACCCAAATACATTTCCCATTTATTGCTTTCTTTTAGAGGAGTCGATCCACAACAACGCCGGGGGTAACACGTATGTGGTGAGTAGATGATGGGGTATGGCTCAATGGTCAAATATGTTCAAACATGAAAGAATAAACAAGATATGAATCTGTTGATCTTGTTCTCATAAAGCCGTTGGCTCGTCACATGCATGACCTTATTACCCACCAGCTCCAGAGCGGTTAAAATGGGAATCTGTCTGTCTTAATTCGTCAATCAGCTCTCACAAGATCAGTTCAATCCTGCCTTTATCTAGAATGTAAAAAAGTAAAAGATTCCTTTCTTGAGTACATTTTACAGTTGATTCTTAATACTTTTTCTTCACTGAATTTCAAATCTATACTCTTTATGTCATATTTTGGTGTTGCAACACACAGGAAGCAAGGATTACATCTCATGATATTAAAACGATAGACATAATACCACACTATTCAAAGTTCCATTCCATTCCATTTTCTTCCTCTTAATTTGTTGCCGGTCGCAGGGGCAGACACACACTTCCTCCAGCTTACCCGGGGGGATTGCCCGGGTTTTCTTCCGTTGGGACGTGCCCAGAACACCTCCCTCGAGAGTCGTCCAGGAGGCATCCGGAACAGATGCCCCTTTGTATCTTCAATCTCGTTCTTTCGGTCATTATCCAAAGCTCATGACCATAGGTGAGGGAGGGAACGAAGATTGACTGGTAAATTGAGAGCTTTGCCTTTCGGCTCAGCTCCCTCTTTACCACAACGGTCCGATACAACGACCGCATCACTGCGCACGCTGCACTTGTCAATCTCATGCTCCATCCTTCCCTCACTTGTGAACAAGACCCCGATTTACTTGAACTCTTCCACTTGAGGAAGGACCACTCCACCCACCTGGAGAGGGCAAGACACCATTTTCCAGCTGAGTACCATGGCCTTGGATTTGGAGATGTTGATTCTTGCTGAAAACCGTCCCAGTGCATGTTGCAGGTCCTGGTTTGTTGGAGCCAACAGGATAACATTGTCAGCAAATAGCAGAGATTAAATCCTGTCGTCTCCGACCTGGACATCCTCCGGCCCCTGGAGATTCTGTCCATAAAGACGTGAACAGAACCGCTGACAAAAGGGCAGCCTTGGCAGAGGCCAACATGCACCGGGAACATGTCTGACTTACTGCTGGCGATGCGAACACAGCTCTGACTCCGGTCATACATGGACCGGACGGCCCTCAGCAGAGGACCCCGGATCCCGTACTCCTGAAGAACCCTCCAAAGGACACCCCGGGGAACACGGTCAAAAGCTTTCTCCAAATCTACAAAGCACATGTGGACAGGTTGGGCTAACTCCCATGAACCCTAGCGTATCCGATGGAGAGTATAGAGCTGGTCCAGTGTTCCGTGGCCGGGACGAAACCGCACTGCTCCTCCTGAAGTCTCGAAGTCTCCTCTTCAGTACCTTGGAGTAGACCTTACCGTGAGGCTGAAGAGTGTGTTCCCACAATAATTGGAACACACCTTCCGGTCCCCCTTCTTGTAGAGAGGGACCACCACCCCGGTCTGCCACTCCATTGGTACCACCCCCGAGCGCCACGCGATGTTGCAGAACAGTGTCAGCCAAGACAGTCCTACAACACCCAGAGACTTTAGATAGTCAGGGCGGATCTCATCCACTCCCGGAGCCTTGTCACCAAGGAGGCTGCCAACCACCTTGGTGACCTCAGCCAGGGAGATGGAAGTATCCGCCCGAACATCCTCTGCCTCTGCCTCCGGAACGGAAGACATGCCAGGGGGATTGAGGAGAACCTCGATGTGCAAATGAGACAAGCATGGCCCTGTTTTGCTTTGTGGTTGCTCTCACATCTGCTGCTCATGTCAAAGGAAGTATAATTAATTAAACCAAACTTTAAAAACTAGGGGAAATATGCAGGTTTGCGAGTCAAACACTGTAGGCCTAAACTGGAATTTTCCCAGTTTTTGTTTTCTTATTCTTAAACAGTCAAATAACCAGAAACCTTTGTGCCCAGGCGGAGTACATTGACGAGCACACGGACATCCCGCTGGTTCAGAGCTCTGTGGCCCTTCAGACAGATCTTGAGACCGAGGCTCCAGACCTGGCTAATTATGCCTCTACCTACCAGGCCCTGGACCCACAATCGCTGGACTAATATAGTATTTATTTCATATTGATGTGGTGGGTGTAACTTTAGGATTTTATTTTTGGAGACTTTCAATATCAGTGATTCATGACTGGAGATATGAAGGGGCAGTCTGTTCAGATCTGGAAGAAAATTCGACGTTCAAATTCCCCTGGGAGTTTGACGACACAACGCTGGTAACTACTTTTCAGCCAAAACAAAAATCACAATTAAAACCTAAAATATGAGAAACATGTTCACAATGTTTCAGGTTTTTATTTTGTGTATCAAAATTAAAAACCTGAAACAAAAAAAAGGCAGAAAAAGCCCACAGACAGAACATGTGTGTTAATATCTGTGTGGTGTTCTGAATCTGTTGACCAGTGTCCAGTCAGAAAGCAGACTCAGCCTCACTGGTTGAATACATCGGTGTCATGCAAAAATCTAGTAGCTTTGATACATGTACATCATCGTCATTACACTGTCCACATTCTGGGCTAAAACCTAAACAGAGTATACAGTATGTATCTTGTATGCACTGTTGCATGTTTTGGCCACAAGAGAATCCTTGAGTTATCCTTTGTGAGACTCTCTCCTCACAGTGTATTTATTTAATTGTTATAATTAACAAATATAATGTTCCGAGATGAGCACAACACAATAACAATAAAATGAGCAGTTACATCTTTGTAACTTTTTTTAATATCTATAATACTGTCTTGAAGGGATGTGATGTCCATATTGACTGTGTTGCTGTGTGTTACTGTTTGATTCTCTGATCTGTTGTTGGAAAATTAACCACTTTGTTAAGTCCATGGATCTACTGCTGATGTGATTTAGAGCTATATGAAAAGATGTTGAATTGAATTGACTTCATGGCCAATATAGATTAAGGTATTCTATTACATTTATGTATTTATTACATACACTTAGTTTAAATGTCAAACAGGCCAAACATTAGTACTGCTATTTAAATGTTTAAACAATACACATAATATTACTGGGTGAGAGTAGGTAAGAACCCCGTCCCTAACCGCTGCGACAGGAAGAGCGCCCACGTTTTGTTCAGCTTTCATGCTGCTGTATCAGATCTGTCATGTGACTGGCAGAATGCAGATATTTTCAGCAACTTCTTACATCTATTGCCTTTTTTTAGGTAAGTTTTCCATGGATTCACAATACTGTCGATTATGTGACTAATTAAAACATAAAGCATGTTTCAACCAGATCTGATGTTTTTTTTTGTTAATTTGTTATTGCTAATAACAATAATACAGCAGTGAATGGGACAGACATTGACATCAGAGGAAGAGAAGGAGGTGAAGTCTCACTTCTGTGCACCCATACGTTTGCACAGTATAACGACACGTACTTCTGCAGAGATCCATGCAGCTCTGAGGAGCATATTATGGCCCAGGTGAGACCAAGAAGCATGACAGCGTCTGAGAGTGTGAGCTTGTGGGACCATGGTAATGGGTCCTTCACGGTGACCCTGTCCCATCTGAAGACCTCAGACTCCGGGACATATTGGTGCGGCGCGTCTCGTCCACTAAAGGACACATTCGTCACAGTGCATCTGAACATTATTAAAGGCAAGTCACATGTTAAATAATCCAAAACTATACCAATAAAAAGTTTTGTTTTGTTTTTAATTCAAAGTCTAAAAAACCAAATAGGAAACTGAGATGAAATTCAATATGAAAAGTGTTTTTTTTTTATCTGTGGAATGTCCATTTGTACTTCACTGTATAATAATTTCAATGACTTTACCAATGTGTATTTCTCTGGTTTATAGGTTTTCCATTTGCAACTACCGAACATGCTGAGGGTTCTACAATAACTGAAGTTACAAGCCTTCATGCATACAGGACCATCACCAACCCAACAGAAGAGCCACTTCAGACAGACAGCACCACTAACAGCTCGAAAGGAAATAAAGGTCTGTTTCAAATAAAACCAAGAGACAAGTTTGCAGGCCATGTGAGGACCCTGAAGTTTAAACCGCATAACAATTGGTACCTACAATTGCATACATTTGATTGAATATAATACCTTTTTTAGTATTAGTTATGTTTTAATACAAGATTAGAGAAATAATGCCATGATCAAAAATTAAAATGCCTGACACAGAATGTGAATTGGTTTTGGGACATTTTGGATGTACAACTCCAAGCCAATCATGCTGCACAGATGCTAAAATAGCACCTCTTTGTTCATATAATACATATACAAATGTTGAGGCTTTACCAACCTCTTTTCACATGCGCAGCTTTTGGTCATTGAAGAGAAAAGTGAAAAAGAGAGGACCATTCTTGCTCAGTCAATCAACTCTAAAAGCATCAAATATGCAAAAGATAAAAAGTTTTTCAATCACCTTATCTATAAAGCACATTTTATCCACAAACAGTGATCAAAGGGCTGCACTTAGACAAGTTATGTGGACACCGTAAAAAGCAACCCACCCAATAATATCAATTGTGCATGTGTGTCTGTGTGAGAGAGTGAGTGTGTGGCCAAATGGTCTGCTATACTTCAGCAAGAGGGTCAGAACAGGGCCTTTCTGAGTAGGTTTCCTCCGTGTGCTCCACTTTACCCTGCCACTAAAAACATACACAATAGGTATACATGTAATGAGTGAGTGAATATTTGCTGTTGGTTGGGGCTTTGATGCGACACTGTGTTCGGCGACTCGCTTCCGTCATCACCGTGTGTGGAATGATTGGAACATCATCTGAACTCTGAACATTGTAAAAGCGCTTTGGGTGACCTTGGTCTGTAAAATGCATGTCACTATTGCCAGTGACATGCATGAATCAAACAAAACACCTTTGACTGTCTTTATAAAGATGTCTAATTCAAACATGCAAACTAATTATCAAAATAGCAAATTATTTGGTATTTATTTAAAGTATAGGAGTTGCATTCTGCAGGTCCCTCATTGAAATAGAGTTGAAAAGCCCTACAGCGTAAGAAATGGTAGTATGTGGTAGAGATGTTATAGTTGTATGCACCCCTGGGATTCCTCATGTTTTCTAAATGTCATGATACGACATGTGACATATAACAGAATGCACTTATGTCAGTTGCAGGTTTGGATGTATACTTGCCAGTGGGTGTGGCCATGATCACCGTCATCGTGGTTTTGGTCTTGTGCCTCAGGAAACGGGAAAAGAAGACACGACCTCATGAGCAGCCTCTGAACCTTATCTCCCATCTGCACCAGGTCACTCTGCTCCACCCCCGGTTTCACATGTGCAAGACTGTTGTGTTCAGTTCCCTGAGAAAATGCAAGTTACGAATGAAGAAGGCCATGTCATTTGAATGTGATTTAAAACCTTCACATTCACATTTTCTTTGCTTCTTGAAATCAATTTGTTCAAACAGCTGGAATTGATCTTTATTGATATTAGCTTCTCCCTTCTCTCTGTTCACACTTTGTATTGTGTGTACAAACTAGCAATAGGTGTGTTCAGAAAAAACTATTTTATCCTACTAGGATTGTTAGTTAGCTCATTAGTTGTCTCTTGATTCAAAGCAATTATGAAATCAGGCTCGTGGTTGGCTGGCCATAGTGGTGCATTCAAGGGCGATCGTAAAAATGTATGCTTTTGCTATGTTCCTTTTCGATTAGGTTAATATCAATACAATGTTTATATATTGACATCCATACAGTAGGACGACAGTAGCTCAGTTGGTAGAGCATTGGCCTTTGGGCCTGAAGGTTGTGGGTTCGAGCCCACCGTAAGACCTACTTCACGACTCCCACTGATGACCGCTGTCGTTGTGTCCTTGGGCAAGACACTTAACCCCACTTTGCCCAAAGCCCCCACTGAAAGATCTCAGCTCCTGTGGACTCACCACCTGCAGGAGGATCAGTGAGGGGCTGGTGCTATGTGTACTGGGTGCAGCTCTGACTGCCATCCCGACCCAGAAATGGATTAAGGGGAAGAAAATGGATGGATGGATGGCTGGATCCATATTGATGTATCTTTTGTGTGTGTGCGTGCTTACTGTGTTACTAATACCAAATCAAGATTAGGAAATTTATTCATCCCACACCAGTTACAATTAGGAATGAGGAGCACACAGCACAATAAATCTATACAAAATGAAACACAAATCTCTAACTCTAGCATGAAGAAGAAACAAGTATAACATCTCTTTCTTTAGCATAATGAGTACACAAAAGATTAAGATGAATGTTTATTGTGTGTTGGTTCGTGGTTTATTATTTATTAAGAGTTATTGTAACTTTTGTCTCATCATATTCTCAGATTCAGATTCATTTATTTGCCATTTGCAGTAAAACCACATTGGAAAAACTGTGCAAGACTACCCCGGTGTGCACCAGACAGAGAAGACGACTCACACCAGAGCTCTTGCCACGGCGCCATCTTTACGGCGCCATGCGACAAACAGTAGAATAAACAGCAGAGAGCAATAACATACAGTTTCACAGACAGTTGGATAGACACATTGTGCTTTGTATAAAGCACGGATTTTTTTCTCGGGATGAGCACCTCCGACTGCCGGCCCAATGTGGCTGTCAGAGGGGGGCGGGGTCAGGGAGGGGGTGAGTCGGAAACACAGTGAGGAGTGGAGGGGAGGGAGGGAGCAAGATGGATAGGTAGAGGGAGGCGGGGGAACGGGATCCGAGCTGGACTTAACTGAAATAGTGTGAGATTGTTGTAGATTCGGACCTTTGTTATTATGGCCTTGGCCGAGGAATGTGAGATAAGAGTGGAGAGAAGACACAGCAGGAGAAAACACATCGCCTCAGGGGGACAATATTAAATGCAATGTAGCAGTCAAAAGCAGGCAGATATTCTATTAAATCCAATTAATCCGAATTGCGGCGCCCTTAGACCCCGTACACAGGGGCAAATCCAAGCCGGGTCAGAGAGTTCAAGCCTGGCAAACGATGTCATTCAATCTCAACTCCAGAGTTTTATTCCCTTCGAGTGAACGAGCTGCGAGATCTTTTATCAACTGTTCCACCAAAACCACTCTCCTTTGTCCAGACACGGCGCTCTCAACCACGACTCGGCTTAGCTCCATCAATTTTGTCGGCCAGCAGGTCGTGAATCTTGCGAACTGCCATGCCTCCGAATTTGCGATGGAAGAGAACCGCTCCAAACCCAAACAGGAGGATCCCCACCACCAAAATGCCAAAGATATATACGTCTTCCGAATCTTCAATAGACAGGGTCGACAGACAGAGGGGCTGAAACTTGTTCCAGCTGTCAAGAGTATACCCCGCCGGTGAAGTCCCGTCCGGACACACAGGCTCTCCAGACCCACGCTTACGTGTTGAAAAGATAGAATCAATTGCGTCGAGGGACCAGTTAATCATTTCCATTCTTGTTAAAGTTGTCTGTGGCAAAACTCCAGGAAAAAGACAAAACAGGAGATAGCAAGTAGTCAGAAGCAGGAGCGGTCTTGAGACACGTCTTTGCTCGACGGAGGCGGAAGAGAAAATATCTATCATGAATATCTTTTCACTATACTACATATTTCAAGAGTATGCTATATCATATAGTGTATTCTGCAGTATCTTGTAAACTGTGAATGTCCCACAGGTGGGGAGCGAGGAGCCGACAGAAAGTGAACCCACAGACCGACACATCTATGAAAACATCCACCTGCACTCCAAAGTCTCACGCAACAACCACTTTCCCACCTACGTCCAACCACTGCCCGCTCTGCCCAAACGTGTGGAGCGGATTTATTCATGAATGTAAACCCCATGAACCTAATGCTTTAAAATAAAGTCTCCCACTTCTGCAAAATGATGTTGAAACCAAATGGTCAAAGTCAAGGAATTATTTTATTTCAAAGAAAATGTTTGAAGTCTTGGAATGTGCAAATGGACACAATAAATGTGCACTTATTATCTTAATCGCTAACATAAACTGTTAAAAAAACATCTATGGTACTCAAATATTGTAATTCTTTAACATTGAGCGATGAATATAACTACACAAAACTGAAAGGATATTATTATTATTATTATCATTATCATTAATGAAAACATTTACCCTGCATAGCTTTAATGAGAAAACCATAAATATCAATGACTTGATACTACTACTCATTGAGGTTTTGCAGTGAAAGAGGAAGTGATTTCTCTCAGAACACCTGCTGGGAAAACAGTGTCAGGAAGTCATCAGTTAAAGTCAGAACTGGAGCTATGGGACGACGAATCAGAACAGCTATTTCAGTACTCATGCTTCACCAAGGTAAAACAATTCTTATTCTTATATATATATATATATATATATATATATATATATATATATATATATATATATATATATATATATATATATATATTTAATATTTTGGTATATAATAAATACATCTTATTATTTTTTTACCCTCTTAGAGAGGGTGAGAAGACACACATTCTAATTCAAGTTTTTTATTTCATGACTATGAAAATTATAGAATCACACTGAAGGCATCAAAACTATGAATTAACTCATGTTGAAATATGTACGTACTGAAAAAAAAAGTATGAAACAACTGAAAATATGTTTTATATTCTAGGTTCTTCAAAGTAGCACCTTTTGCTCTAATTACTGCTTCACACACTCTTGGCATTCTCTTGATGAGCTTCAAGAGGTAGTGACCTGAAATGGTCTTCAACAGTCTTGAAGGAGTTCCCAGAGATGCTTGGTACTTGTTGGCCCTTTGCCTTCACTCTGTGGTCCAGCTCACCCCAAAACCTTCTGGACTGGGTTCAGGTCCAGTGACTGTGGAGGCCAGGTCATCTGGCCCAGCACCCATCACACAGCCTGGGTGTGAATCAACAGTCAATAGTTATGAAAATAAAGGACACTCATTGAATGAGAAAGTGTGTCCAAACTTTTAGTCTGTACTGTATATAAATTAAAGCAACCTTAACACACACAGAAGTACAACATATCTCTCATTAGTAAATTGATGGTCAAACTTGGCAGAATAGGAAATGCATCAGACTATAAAAGGCTTACTGCAAAAGTGTTTAACGTACCACATTGGTTACATATAGTAGCCATTATCCAAGAGAGACTTAAATAATCTTGTTTCTTTCAACATTATCCTGAAGGCCCTCAGATGGGAGTTTGGGACAGTCGCTCTATAGCAGGGATGGGGCTTTGTATGATCTTATGACTCAAGTTTATTGAAATATATTCTTTCTTCACAGTGGCACTTATAATATGCCTCAAACCAATGCCAGCAAAGGAAGGTGGCAGTGTGGATTTTAAGTGTGAATATCCTGCTGGCATACAGAACAACTCCAAATTCTTCTGCCGGGCCACGCCCATGTGCAGGGCCTACCTGATCGCCACTGTGCCCCCCGACCGCAGGGAGGAAATCGGGAAATTCACCCTCCAGGACAACTATACTTTTGGATACTTTGTGGTGCACATGGACGCACTGGACCCCGAGGACAGCGGCACCTACTGGTGCGGTGTCAAAATGACAGAAAACCCTGATATAATTACTATATTCCAACTCAACGTTGCTGCACAAACATGTAAGTGCAGATTATAAATACAGAAACATTGTCGTTCTTCTAAGTTTGTTTTTCTCCTAACGTAACGTTCACATTTTTAATAGATCTGAATGTTACTTTAAGATTAAATAAGATATTTTAATTTAAGACTTCTCTTTTCTTCCCGACAGCAACCACAAGAACTGTAGAAACTCTGACACATCAGAGTAAGTACATTTATTCTGTTTTCATTGGGCTCATGGCAGTATTTCATGGAATAATGCAGGTATTTAGGATAATTCTGCTGAAAGTCCCACCTGTGTGAAACTGAACCAGGTTTATGGTTTTTGTTCATGGAGCCAGGGCCTGCACCAGGGAAGTGCTTCTGTCCCCACCGCTGCAGGGAAGCACATACACTCAAAGGTTGAATTTCAGTTCAACATCTAGCCCTCCTTCTTCATTTGGTGGGAAATAAGCGTCTTAAAAGTGTGTTTCTTGAAAATATATCTATCAAGTTATATTGATGTTTCCTAAGCATTCTTTTCTTCCATTCTTTGTAACTGTATTCACAAACCAAATATGAAATAATTAAACCAATCAATCTGTAGATGTCCAAAGTCAATTTAGGGGCATTTATTTATGTGTTCCATTCCATCAAAGAAAACGTTGATTAATTGCTTTCATAGAGGAAACCGCATTCAGATGAATGCACATTCAAAAGTGTAAATGGTTAAATATTCATCAGATTGATCCACTGAGGATGACATAGAATGAATCTGCAGTTTAACCAAAGATTTTGTGATAATGTGTGTGTTGTTTAGGCCCTGGAGTGTCCTCCCGCTCCAGCATCCCTGTGGACAGTAAGCGAACACTGCCTCATGTTGTGGATGGACAGGAAGTTGTGCCTAAGCCTGCTCTGTTTTTTCCAGAGCGTCACCTGCCCATGTTTGTGACGGTGGTGTCGTGTCTGTCTTCGCTCCTCATCGTGTTTCTGTTTACACTCTGCCTCATTTTCATCATTCGAAACTGGAAATACTCCCAACAAAGAGAACAGGCCCGAGAGGTTAGTTTTATAACTTCTGTACACATTCTGTGTATATTTCTTTTAGAGAATTTTCAACTGAAAAATGAGCTGTGGTTGACTGAAGACATAACTTCAGTGTTAAAGGGGAGGCTGGTATTATCCTAAGAGTATGTCACGAGTAACGGACCAAAATCACTGCCAACATGTGAAACAATTTATTTGTTGAAAATAATACAAACGTTTCCAACTAAACACATTCAACATTTATCAATAAATTGTTCACAATGTCTTCTTTACACAATGGAATTCCACTGTAGAATTGAGTGTCATCTGCATAAATGTGATTTGAAATGATGCTACTGCATATTCACCGGCCTAACAGCAGCATTTAGAACAAACCTATGGTTCGGGAGACACCAGCAGCTCGCCATCTCCTTCCAAGTGGCACCCTAAAGGATTTAGAAATTCCTCAATATTTCAATTCATGTCACCATTAAATAGTATTGAGTATTTTAAACTGCAAAGTAGAAGCTGCTTTTTTTTTGTTGGAGACCCCTGATGTAGTGGTTCAACAAAGAAGTCCAGGAATTGACCCCTGCGGCGCTCCGCTATAGTCAGAGCCATATTATCTGAGACACACGTTCAAATTCCACCAAAGTACTTCCTGTCAGCTAGATATGACTTGAATCAACGTAGGGCCTCATTAGTGATCGATAAAAGAGTGATTAGCTGCACTTAAAATGTGTGTATATATCATGCATATGTTCTATACAATGAAACCTTTACTAAAACCTTACTCACAGTTTAGCTGGATTATAAATAAGGCCCCGGCGGTACCATCTAGGATAAGTGTAGGCATAATGACTGCTGTTATTAGTCGCAATGCATGAGTCTCCTTCCCTTCCTGCCAAAACCCAACCAAACTGGCCCGTTTGATTCCCTGCCCCAGTCAAATACATATTCAATAAATCCTTTGCATCAGGAGTGCCAAACCGGAAGGGCCGGTGTGGCTGCAGGTTTTAGTTCAAGCCTGAGCAGGGGCACCAGACTCCACCCTTACTAATATCTTTATGTTAAAACTGGACTCACCTGAGGAAATGGGTGGAGTCTGGAGTGCTCCTGCTCAGGTTAGAACTAAAAGCTGCAGCCACACTGGCCCTTTCTGAAACCTGTTTGACACCCCTGCTTTACATCTTTCTTGACCACACAGATGTCTGCAGTCTATGAGGTTATGAAGTCTGGCGTTCTGCCTATAACCTCCCGTGATCCAGGCTGTGAGACGTTTTCAAACAGCCCACAGGATCCACCAACAGAGGCCAAATGCTGTCCTGATCAAAGACAACCCAAACAGACTGAATCCACTGCTCAGAAAGCTCACACGGATCTGGAGGACCCCGGTTGCCTCAGCCTGTACCAGGACTTGGACCTGAGCTCAGTTGAGGAACACATCTATCACCGCATCAGCTCCATGTCTTAGCCCACGTGTCAAAGACTGAAAACAGAGACGTTGGACCTGCGTGTCAACATGGTGTGCACCCAAAACGTTGCACCATCTGATATTTGTTAACAGAGAGATAGATAGATAGACAGAAACTTTAGTGATCCAAAGATAAACCAAAGATAAAAAATAAAATGTATCATTCATTGAAGTGATATTTTTCCAGAATATTGTGGGAAAACGTCCCTAAACCCTAAAAGTAGTCAAGTTATCATGTGTTTTCAAATAGTAATGGAATTGACCAGATGCCTATAGTCTCCAAGAACTAATAAAACATATTTTGAAGCGGACCGATAAAAATAAACCAATGGGATTTGTTCATCCCCAACGAACCAATGGGATGAGTTTACCCCCTTCATCCTCTTCCTGTTTCTCGCACATGCGGGAACCTGAGTTATCACATTTTCAAAAATCTAAAATGGCTGAACAGAAAATGCCAATTTCACGTTTGCCACCCACTCTCCCTGTTGTGACAAAGAAAAGAAAATGCTGGATGTTTGGTTTGGTGGAGAGGCGAGGGGGGGGGGAGGGGGGAGTAGTTTAGAGTTGGTGCTACTGCTAAGCTAACAAAATTGCTTACTGCATCTATGAACGTTGGTGGCATACGCTTGGGCGAGAGGTGGCATATTCTGACCTGTATCACACGAGATGTCATTAGCGTGATCTTTTAACCAAATTATGTTACATTATCATCACAGAAAGATTTTCTCGGGAGGTTGGCCTGGGTCAGACCTGGCTCACATGAGAGGGGAGGAGTGGGGTGAGCTGTGAGGCCTGCACAGGGGTCGACAGGACCAGGGGACTGACCGTGAGCAAAGTAGTTTTCCTGTGCAGTTTGTTCTTGTTTGAAGTGTGCAGGATCCAGTACCTCTCGATCATGTGTACCATCCATGCACCATCGTTCATGTTGATACAATCCAGAATACACAGCGTTTCGGGTGCACACACACATCTGTCCTTAAATCTGCACAGCTTTCATTAATTAGAGCCAAGGCACTAAAACTTCTGATTTATTATTTTCAAAGCAAAATTTCACGTATTTTCAACGTAAAAGTAAAAAAAAACTAAAATAATCAATCAAACCCCATTTATTTAAATATAAATACTTTTCTTATAACTGTTCTATACTGTGCACACAAGTGAGGGATTTTACATTTTTATCTTTCTTTTTAATGTACTGTGATTATGATTTTAATGCTATCTTATTTTGTCCAGCACTTTGAGTTGCCTGTGTATGAATTGTGCTATAGAAAATAAACTTGCCTTGCCTACTATGCTTACAGCAAAGTACTAGAGGTGTAGGATAGCACTTCTCTCTTTCGCTATGTTTATTTTACACTGTCCTTGCAGAAATAAAAATCCTTCCAGACTATATTTTGTTTGTGTGTTTTTCTTTTCACAAGGTTTGTACACATAACATTTCAGTGAATGCATTAGATTTTGCCACTAGACCAAATGTCATCTGTTTTGTTTGTTTTGTTGCTCAGTATAGAATTATAAACACGTCTGTACTAAAAAAGGCTATTTACTGCACACGGATTCTCGAGTACGGGCTTATTTATTGACCTTACAAGTGTCATAAATATCTTTTAACGCCGTGAAAACTACAGGACAAAATAAAATATGCAATTAAACACAACTATACAAAACTAAACTTAAATGAGCAACCTCGTGGCCGCCTGTCATGTTGGAGGTCTTTAGAGTAACTTGAAAAGCAATATCTGCGTTTCAGCTCTACACAACATATAATACAATTAAAAACACAAAGGTAAAAATGTACAAACAGATACCTCATACAGTTGCTTTCTCACGGTGAAAGTGGCTCTCGCTCTGATGCCTTTGAGCACGAGAGAGCGTCTGCCTGTCTACCTGAGGGCCCCTTGCAATCCCCAGTTCTTGCAGATTCTCGCGATAAAAAAATTACGAAACAAAACCAATGTATAAAAGTGTAATAACAAATACTTTCTTTTGGAGAAAACAGAAATATAACTATTGTAATTTGTAATTCTAAAACAAATAAATAGAAAAGCAATTTTTTTTTTTTTTAAGAAACCTATATGGCAACACTTATTGAAAGAAATATTGATACAGTATGCAATAAAATGCTATACACCAGGAAATAGGTCTAGGTATCTTCCAGAGCCTGCCAATACACATGATTACACAAATAGATTGTTCAGTCCAAAATCTCTGCTATTTGGCCCCAAAGCCTCCACTACATTTGAAGAAATACAACAAAACTGATGCATTTAAATAAATAAAACAACAACAAAATATTGAAAATAACAACTGTGGGCGGCACCGTGGCTGAGTGGATAGAACTCTCGCCTCTCAGCAAGAATCTCGGTCAGACCAGGATCTTTCTGAGTTGAGTTTGCATGTTCTCCCCGTGCCTGCGTAGGTTTCCTCCGGGTACTCCGGTTTCCCTTACCTCTAAAAACATGCTCACTTGGTTAAATCCTCCAGCTCTGGTAGTCCTGACCAAGCCGAGCATCAACATCTGGAGATGGGTTCCCAGGCGCTGTTACTACTGCGACCACTGCTCCTGACGTAAGCCTTAGAGGAGGACCCATCAGGATGGGTCAAATGCAGAAGATTGAATTGCCCTACGGGGATCAATAAAATGCACCATTACCTTTACCTTTAAAACTAAACAAAAATAACTATATTGTATGTAGTTTAAAAATGTATTTGTATTGTTATGCCCTTAACAGGGAACGGGCGGCACGGTGGCTGAGTGGCTAGCACTCTCGCCTCTCAGCAAGAAGGTCCTGGGTTCGAATCCCGGTCAGACCAGGGCCTTTCTGAGTGGAGTTTGCATGTTCTCCCCGTGTCTGCGTAGGTTTCCTCCGGGTACTCCGGTTTCCCCTACCACTAAAAATATGTACAATAGGTCTGGCATGCGCCTCCTGTTCGGCGACCCCGCTCCCATCTCTGTGAGAGTAAGAGGACAAATGCCCCAAAAAAAAAAAAAATAGTATCATTGTAAACAGCTTTGTGCCTGTGAAAAGCGGTATATAAATAAACATTACTTACTTACTTTCTTTAGGGCTCAGGGGACAGACAAAATTACATAACACACCTTTATGAAATTCAAGAATAGCCTGTTGAAAATCATGACAAATCCTGTTCAAATGTGCAAATCGACACATGGTCATCTGACGGGAAATGGAGGGTCAAAAAAGAGGAAGAACCATTGCGTTGAAATAGTTCAGAAGGTGTTTGAACATAGACATTGACATTCTCGACAATGACTCGTGAACGTCTGTATTTAATTTTTATTCTAGGAGGTAAGTCAAAGAGATTTCACTTCCTTGTGTATTTTTGGATGTTCTAGCTGTACCAATATCATTTAAATATGTGCCTTTTTGTTAGGTTTGTGAGTTTAGGCTCTTCAACCCTTTTCTCCCAGATAGCTATACTTGCATTTTGTAAACAGTTGTCAATCTATTGTTTTTTAAGATTAACACACAGGACAGTAACAAATGGAAGTGAATGGTCCAGATCTTTCTGAGTGGAGTCTGAATTTCATCCCTCTCTACTGCTTTTCTTTCTGTTTTGAGCTTAAACCCGGACTTATAACTAGTAAAACGTCACCTTTATGAGTTAAAGTACTTTTGTTGAAGGTTGTAAGGGGGAAACTTGTGGCTTGCTTTTGTAATTCACAGCGTGTTGTTCCCGAGTGCGTTCAGATGTCCTTTACACTGCATTTACCTGTGTCCACCTCAGGGGTTTGGGCTGTGGGAGTGGAGGCTTTGCAGCTCTCAGCAGAGGAGGACACAGATCTGGAGATCCAGTGCACACACACTTATGCTCAGGGAAACATAAAATACTTCTGCAAAGTGCCATGCACTGACAGAGATGTGCTAATAAGCAGCAAACAGAAGGAGAAGAACAGCAGGTACAGCATAAGAGACACTGGAAACACATTCTACGTGACCATCTCAGGCCTGACACAGGCCGACACTGGGAAGTACTGGTGTGGAGTGGAGCGAGTGGCCAAAGACACATACAGCCAAGTGTACATCACAGTCACACCAAGTGAGTTCAACAAGGACTTATATACTAATATAAACAATATTATCATTTTAAGTGTAATACTTATGTTAGAATAATGACCCTATTCATTTTCCCATTACATGCTTTCTAAAATAAAAAACCAATTACTACCACTGCTGCTACTACTACTACTACTATACTAACTACAAAGTAAGTAACTTTGTGGTAAATGTAATCTTTTTCCCCTCTTTCAGAAAAAGTTGTGCACTGGCCACCAAATGCTTCCCTGCAGAACGAATCACTTGGTAATTATGATGGTTGATCCTGAATATGACAATAAACATATTTTATAACAAAAATCATAATGTTTGCAGATAAGCTGCTGTACATTGGAGTGGGGCTGGGTGCTCTTCTGTGTATATTGTTCATTGTTGTAACAATATTCATCAAACATAGACATAGAAACATCCCTAAAGCATTTGGTAAGTGAAAAACAAAGTATTTTTTACTGAAGAGGAATAGTGTTAAAGTTATCTTTGCAGCAGGAGACAACGTACCAATGAAAGCCGTGCATCACAGCTGCATCATCCAGGATCCCAGCGACATTTATGTCAATGTTGAAACACATGAGAATTACTCCTCTGTCCACTTCAGCAAACGCAGAGCGGACAGTGTCGCTCACACAGAGCCTGACCTTTCTGTGTACAGTCTGGTGAGGACATGAGTTCTACTGTATACCTCTCAGCCCAGTCTGCTGCCATCCAGGACTTCTGAAACTGCAGCAAATCTCCAGACCATCAGTCTCTATCAGAGCTCCTGTCTTTAAACAGAGAACAATTATAATGATACATTCCATTTGAATAGTACCTTTCATGATATCCATTATTTATTACTAAAACAGTGATGTACAGTAAGCTTCTGCTGTACCCCATAGACCGTATATTATATAAAAAAGTCTATGTCTATATACAGTCTATGGTCTATGGTCTCAACTGTACCCACAAATGTCATTAGATACACAGACAGTAGTTATTTATTTTTTTAGTTGTTTATTTTATTATATTATTATATTATTATGTATTATCCTAAATAATAGATTATGTTATTGCAACCTAGTAGTAGTATCCATCCATCCATTTTCTTCCCCTTAATCCATTTCTGGGTTGGGGGGGTGGCAGTCAGAGCTGCACCCAGTACACTTAGCACCAGCCCCTCACTGATCCTCCTGCAGGTGGTGAGTCCACAGGAGCTGAGATCTTTCAGCGGGAGCTTCAGGCAAAGTGGGGTTAAGTGTCTTGCCCAAGGACACAACGACAGCAGTCATCAGTGGGAGTCGTGAAGTAGGTCTTATGGTGGGCTTGAACCCACAACCTTCAGGCCCAAAGGCCAATGAGCTACTGTCACCCCCCTAGTAGTAGTAGTAATCTTTATTTATATACCGCCTTTTCACTGCACATCGGAGTCTCAAAGCGTTTTACAATTGTTAACCTGAGTGATCTTATTTTCTTTCTATGCTGTAATGTGCACAATGTGTAACAATGACATTGACATTTTTTATCTTGTGTCAAATGTAATGTAATGTACACCTGTTGCAATTAAACATTAAACTCTTCAGTTTGAATATAGATATTAGTCCATTGAAATAATACATTCGTATATTTCACAAACATAATTTAACTGTTCAATGTTTACTTCTTTTTCACCTCCAAAATACCATTTACTCCTTGTCTCCTTTCCTAGATTTGCTGAAAATGTCGTAAAAGTCGGCCCATAAAGTTGTGAGCTATGGTGCTAACTAAAACACACAAACGCCTATCAAAACATCACCTCTTGATAAATGGAATCCGTGCATGTCGTGGTTGTGTATCCAGGGCGCCCTCTAGTGGTTGAATATATGCACACAGTACCAAAACAGAAAAAGGGAAGGGAACGCTTTGCAAGCCGTCCCAAGAGGGGCCATTTAAGTGTTAACCGAGCCAGCACGAAGTCACTAGGCAGACATATCCTCCAGAAGTCGAGTGTGGCTCATTGCGTGGCTCTGCGGAGAAAAGCTTTTGGTGAAAGTTTGACTGACAGCAGCTTTGTCCAATGGAGAGACAGAGCCGCGGTGGGGGCGGGTCCTGTGTCTGTGTCGCCTGACCGGATGATGACAGGACACTAGTTTTTCACTCACTTTTATCATGTACTCTCATTAAAGGAACGCCAGTAGTAATCACTCCTATATTTTGCTTTTTCCCCTTTTCAAGATCATAAGATATTTGAAGATGGATTCATAGCATATGTCGAAAAGTTTTTTTTTATCTTTTTGGAGGGATTACAACTCCGCGTCTAGCCAGTGTCTGAGTGGAGGGTCTCAGGGGGAAATTCCCGCTGTGCAGAGAAAAAGAGCAGAGCCATGGGTAACCGGGGGATGGAGGACCTTATTCCCCTGATCAACAAGCTGCAGGACGCGTTCAGCTCCATCGGGCAGAGCTGCAACCTGGACCTGCCTCAGATAGCGGTGGTGGGTGGCCAGAGTGCGGGGAAGAGCTCCGTGCTGGAAAACTTCGTTGGAAGGTTGTACAAATCACGATATCATTACGTTTCTGAACAGTGATCATTCATAAGAGCCATGTCATGTTCGTATGCAGGCGCTAAGACTGTCAACTAAGCACTTTTTTATTGTGTCACTTTGTTTCTAACATTTTCCAGATGCTTTTTTCCCCTTTCCTCTCTCTCTTGTGTTTCCACCGAATATAAAGCGTTGAGTGCAACTCATAATTTAAAAGAAATATATGTTTATGCTGCTGCTGTAGATGTGTTTTTTACATTGTTAGACTATAAAGTCTTGTCAATCATTGTTCAAGGCTGTTGTTCCTTGAGATTGCTTGATCCTCACATGACTAAGGACTGATAATGTTACCTTGGATTGTGAGACAATTTGGCACTTCCCTGCGTTAGCCACAGAGAAGTCCTGAAAATGCTGTTTTGGTAGCAGTTGAAAATGGCAGAACAGTGTGCACTCTGAATGCTAATTATTTGTATGAAATGTGATTGGACTAGACTCAAAGAGCAGATCACATCCTGGATCCAAAATGTTCCCTCACTGTAGCCTATTGCAGTTACTCTCTCCTTTGTAATAAGTTGTCCATCCAACAATTGTCTTCCTCTTAATCCATAGCTGGGTCGAGGGTGGCTGTCAGAGCTGCACCCATTTCCCAGAGCACCAGCCCCTCACTGATCCTCCTGCAGGTGGTGAGTCCACAGGAGGACGTCTTAGGACAGCATAGCTTGATCTGGTAATATTTTCAATAAATAAATTGACTTATATTCAATTCAATTTATCTTTGTAAAACCATAAATTACAACAGTTGTCAACTTGGACTTTGCAAAGTTGTTGATTTCCCACAGATCAGAGAATCAAACCATTCAAAAACAGGAAATGCAATGATAACAAACACATAGGAGCCATTGGTCCATAGAGGGTGGATGACCATAGTCCATAAATTACTTTAAATGTCCTGGATTATCACCACTGTCTTGATCCTGATTGTACAGTAGTACTTTGAATTAAAAAAGTATATGAACAAAAAAATTCAAGATGACGTTTAGGGGTTGAACATTTAGATTTTGTGAAACAAAAATCACAAGACAATAGACAGTAGCATTAAAAACATGAGACATATATGAGATGACACATGACACTTATATAAAAATGAGATATGGTGCTTTCCATTTCAAATCATTATCATAACTTGATATAGGAAAAAGCTAAATGTAAGTGTTTAACTCTTGACTAGCACTTTAATGCACCATTTTATGCTCAAAAGGTTGTCAGAAGTAGTCATCTGGGCACGTCCTCTATACACAGACTTTGAATGACTTCACTTGCCAATGACTTGTAGATTGTTGATTGGGCAGTCTCCTTTTTTTGCCTTTTGTCTGCGCGTCCCAAGCAGCGGTGTCAGGACAGAGGGGCCATTGATGGTGGTTTGTGGGGTCAACAGTGATGTCACCAGCTGGATATGACACACGGTCTCTCGCTGTTTTCATGTTAGTCAATGAGCCCTTCTGACACGTCCCACAATGTCACACTATGTTTTGATCAGACTATTAGTCCGTGTCTAAAGGCTGTGCCATCAGATTCATAACCATGGTTTCAACTATTGCTCAAGTCTGTTTTAGACCTGTTGTAATCCTATATACACATACATTAAAAGATTAAAGAGTTTGCTCCTAGAGGAAGGCGGTGCTGGACCAAAACACACATTTTAAATATGGCCATGTTTTATACTGGCCTTTTTAATCTAATTTAATAGAAAAGCATGAGTGCCAGCCTGGTCTTACCACACCATAGCACTGATTTCATTTCGTACATGTAGGGAAATAATAATCTATATGTTTACAGATAGCTAAGGCCAGGCTATGAGTGCCATGGATATAGGTTGTCTTTTTGTCTTGCCTTTATGCTTTGACTTTTTCTTTCTTTTCACACATGTGCCTCAAAACGTTACTTTACTAATACTTTTCTTTCTTTGCAAGTATATTACAATAGCTTGAAGTAATCTTATTAAATTATTCCATTACACTCTGGGGAACTGATGCAATACTGGTATAGGATATGGGTGGCAATAATGGGAAATGATATTGGTTGGATGAGATGAGAGTGGCCTTTCATTATGTAATGAGACGTGCTGGTATTACATCGTCATAGTTTTACTCATACTGTTCTTCTGCTGTAACATCAGGATAAATAACATTAAAAACACTATACATATTAAAGGTATATAGAAGGATTTTGCCATTTTTTTTTCTTAAAGAACTCTCCACTTTTTAAACCAAACTTTCTGGTCTTAGTTGACAAGCACGTATCACCAGAATGATTGACAATTGGGAATAAAATCCTCCTATATACCTTTAAGTGAGCAGTAAAACAGACTAATACAGGTTCACAGTTAAAACTTAAACAGAGTCGAATCTAAAAAATATTAGAAAAATGAAAAGCTAAACAGAGCAGTTTTCAATCTGGATTTAAGCCTTGTCAAAGTCACAGCGGAGCCTCCCATTCAAAAAGTACAGCACAATCTACATAGTTGTGAAGAAGATGACAAAGTCTGGGATCGCGTCTTTCATTCAGACAGAAGACATGTTTTATTGTCAATGGTAGAGACAGCACGATCAAAGCACACGATCACAGATACAAGAGAATGCAAGTGTATTATACAGAGCGGAGGCATGGAGACCTCCAATCAGCAGCTTCCATGGTGTGCTTGTAGCTTGGCCTTCAGATAGACAAAACAAGGGAAAAGTACTGGCTTCTGCACATTGATAGAATGATGAGTTTAACTTTAACAAAAGTTGCTTAAAAGTGTTATGAAATCTCACATTCCCCCCCTCTGGTCATACATTCACGTGTGACCATCAGGATCGATAAACAGCAACATAACATCATAACTCAATACTTCAAAACTCATACTTCACTCGGTACTTCAAAAAACTCAGAACTCGGAATACTTCAAAAACTCAGAAAACTCATAAAACATGTTCAGATCTTTCATAAAACTTGTCAACAATCTTCAGTAAAATACCAAACTTCATCAGTCGATGGTGGTTCCAGATATTGCTTTGAAAACAGTCTCTCCCACTTCTCCGTGTTGGTTTCTTCAGGCTGCATTTGTGTCGAGCCATGAATTCTTCTGTGACGTGTCTTTCAATCACACGTTTCAGCTTCAGTGTCCAGATTCAGCAATTCAATTCAGTCCAAATTATGTCCAAATTCAGAAATCCAGATTGTTCCAAATTATGTCCTTGCAAAAGAGGACGATGGTGTTGTCCATGTCTCAGCAGCTCACAGCCTGACTGGAATCAGGGGCTGTGCAGATTGTCCATGTGCTGGTCCAGATGCATTGTTTCTCTTGAGGTTTTTCAGTTTTGGCTTAAAAAAAAACACTTTTTTGTGTAAAAAAAAAAAGTAGTCTCCTGTTCTCTAGATGTTACAGACAATGCCCGCATCCTTCCACCACCTGAAGAAGATGTACCAAGTCTGGGATCGCGTCTTTCATTCAGACAGAAGACATGTTTTATTGTCAATGGTAGAGACAGCACGAACAAAGCACACGATCACAGAAACAATAGAATGCAAGTGTATTATACAGAGCGGAGGCATGGAGACCTCCAATCAGCAGCTTCCACGGTGTGCTTGTAGCTTGGCCTTCAGATAGACAAAACAAGGGAAAAGTACTGGCTTCTGCACATTGATAGAATGATGAGTTTAACTTTAACAAAAGTTGCTTAAAAGTGTTATGAAATCTCACAGTTGCTTTGTCTATTCTAAACAAAGACAGCCCAAAAGATGACAAAAAATATGGATGTTTCTTGATATTGTATCTCTTTCTAATGTATTATTAGCCAGTTTTAATACAGCCTACATTGTTGTCATCACATCTACTCATATATTGATGCAATCTCGTGCCTGTTGCTCTGTCCAGTGCTGAGCGAGCAGGATGTTGCACAACAGGGATCTTCTCTTCCTGTGACTTGTGACTGCTTACACACTGGCTGAAGCTTTAACTTTCTCAGGTTGTGCTGCGTTTATTATTTGTAATCGAGCGTCTGTCTGGGTGTCTGGAAAACACGGGGCAGTTATTGTTGCACTCAGATCGCCCAGGGCTCTGTGCAGGCAGTGACCCGGTAATTATCAGCGCTGTATTGACCTGGAGTTTCCATTTGGACTCGTGCAGTGAGGAGGTTCCACCAGAACTATGCATTATGAATAAGGACGTGAGCTGCTCCGTCTTCCCGTTAATAATGCAGCTTGGTCCCAGAGCTCCGTGCACAGACACAGACACTACATGTGACACAGGTTCATCCAGTAGAGTTTCTGTGTAGATAGTATAGATCAGCCATTCCCAAACTCAGTAACACCGAGGCCCCCTTAAAAATCTAACGGGTCTGCGTGGCCCCCCAAAATAATAACCAAGAAGACAACATTAAGAATAGGCTCTTCTGGTTATTTTATTTTGGGGAAATAGCCTCTGCTACAAACATTGTAATACAAAAATGATTACAGTGGATTATTCAAGTCAAATAATGAACACACATATTTTAATATTACAAACAAAACATTATAAATTTAACATTAAATCATTATATTATTTTTTAATTTTTTTATGACCTCCCGCGGCCCCCCTGCAGTACCCTCGCGGCCCACCAGGGGGCCGCGGACCCCACTTTGGGAGACACTGGTATAGATCATGTTTGTATGTATGGACCATAGACTGTAAATATAGACTTATAGATGAGACATTGAAAGAAAACAATAACATGATGATCACACATTTTATTATGCTTTTTTTATATTGTTTAACCCAGCTCTCTTAGTTATATAGTCCTTTTTTCTGAGGTTACTGATTTAGGAGAGGAGGAGATTGTTAAATGTCTGAGAATTTAACAAATATTATTTACTATATTAGTGTTCAGCCAATTTTAGAATAACATTGCATCACAGAGCGAGGGCTGACTGTAAAGATTCATTTTTGTGTCACATGTATTTATTTGGATATTTGTTAGCTGCCACAAAGTGCTATCAATACATAATATTATATTATTAAAATGTACTCAATTCAATCGTAAAAAAAACAAACACATGTTTTTGTAGCGTTTATTAAGCAACTTTCTTTTCACAAAACGTTGACAATGATTTTCTATTTAAGTGATAAATCTTTACCATATTTCATGCAAATAATTATACTTCCTCTTTGTAGATGTGGATATCATTGATTTCAAAAAGCAACTGTGTAATAAATTGGGACTCCTTCAATGTACAGAGAAAATGTGTTGTGACAAACTAATTTATAAGAATCAAATTATTTATGAAATATTTTAAGCATCAAATAATTAGTTTTGACAAACTTCATGATGAACTATGAACGTCTCTCGTGTGATGTCATCAGTTCCAGAACGCTTCTCTTCTTCCTGTATGTCAAAAAGAAATACATTTCTTCACAAACTGCAAGTATTTATTTTTGAAGCTGATGTTATTCCACCTGAAAAGTAAAACATAGAAAATCAGAACCATCTTTCAAACGCACAGAGTGAAAAGTGAATGTTTGTGTCGTTCTGTCAGAGACTTTCTGCCGCGAGGATCTGGCATCGTCACTCGTCGGCCGCTCATCCTGCAGCTGGTCAACAATAAAGCCGGTAAGTTTTATTTTCATAGTTATCATCAACGTCACTCTTTGGGCAGTGTGTGTATTCTGAACTGAAGTGTTTATTCTGCAGAGTATGCTGAGTTTCTTCATTGTAAAGGACGGAAGTTTGTGGATTTTGAAGAGGTCCGACTGGAGATCGAGGCCGAGACCGATCGCATCACGGGGTCCAACAAGGGCATCTCTCCTGTTCCCATCAACCTGAGGGTCTACTCCCCTCACGGTAAAGACCAAAACAATTATTGTAAAGAAAATCAATATTAATAAATAAAGTAAAAAAATAAGATAATTAAAAAGCTTTTTACTCAATTCTTGAACTTATTCACAATATTATAAATACTTTCATATACAGTATCTGCATTTGAATTGAATTGAATTGATAGAAATTGACACAATGCCAATTTCTACATAATTAGAATAATTCCTTAAATGTGTGTTGTTTGGCAGCACAGCTACACTATAAGCTACATTAAACCAGAAAATCCAAACTTTTTAGTCCAAGGGCCAACATCACGGACTGAAAAACTGTTTTGACTGGCATAACACGGCGGAAGTTGGCTGAATGACAAATGTTTACTCACCAGCTACAGTTTATGCAAATAAAGTCAAAGACGTACTGGGATTTAGAACAAGGTCTATATTGGCTGAGCTGAAGTTGGATGGATGACAAAGTGAACTTGTGTTTATGATCTCAAAGACTACTTTGGGTTAGCAAGACAGAGGGTCGCAATTGGCCCCTGGGCCTGAGTTTAGACATGCCTGCATGTCTAAACTCAGGGGCCAGTTTAGACATGCCTGCATTAAACAGAAAATTCAGAAAATGTGGACATATTTTGATTCATCTCAAAGTTGTGGTACCTTACGTTTAAACAGTCAGTGAGAAATCAAAGTTTTAAACGTGAGTTTGGTGACCAGGCTAATGTCTCGTGTGGCCGTGTGCAGTGTTGAACCTGACTCTCATCGACCTCCCGGGGATGACGAAGGTCGCCGTGGGAGACCAGCCCGTGGACATCGAGCACCAGATCCGGGACATGCTGATGCAGTTCATCACCAAGGAGAGCTGCCTGATCCTGGCTGTGACGCCTGCCAACACTGACCTAGCCAACTCTGACGCCCTCAAAATCTCCAAAGAGGTCGACCCTCAAGGTGCTGTATTACCTTTGTGTATACAGATTATTTCCCCTGTGATTTTGTATTAACTGTAACTAGATTTGTTCTCATTTCTCACCTGGGTAATTACCTATAGTCCCATTTATCTCTCAGCCAATCTTCGTCCCTGTGGAGCCGCTCCTCAGCAGAATAATTACTACTTGCATCATTGATAGACTCGCTGACAAAGATGAATTCAAGCTCACAATATTTGCTCTACATTATGTGTAACTAGATATCAGTACACCCAAAACACCCAAAACACCCAAAACACCCAAAATACTGTCTTATGAATCACGACCTGAAGCAAGGGGACCCATATAACCTTTTTCTAGTTATTAATATTACATGTTGTTCTTCCCATCAGAAAGAAAGTCTTGGTGAATGTTTTGACTAATCACATTCTGACATTCTAACAGACTGTCTTTGTTGTGTATTATAAAACACTGTAAAAAAGCACAATGAGTTATTGACTGTGATGGGGTCCTCTCTTTATCACTTTTCTGATCTTAATTAAAAATAGTGACAGAACCAATGGAATATCAACATGGATTTTATTTTTTCATCTTTTGTGCTTTGAAAGTTAGGTCTCGCAGCTTTAAGTCTTAGTTTTGACTTTGTATGTAATAAAAAGTGTGTTTAGGATTATTCAGTAAATTCATTTTTTGGAACTGGCTTTTATGTGTACTATTTTTCATTGTATGTTTCGCTTTGTGATTCTGGTTGTAGGGCTGCACGATTTATGGAAAAAATATTGTTATCGCAATATTGGTGCGTGCAATATCCATATCGAAAATATCCGCAATAAAAAATTAGATTACTTTTTTCTTTCTTTATTAAAGACAACAAAACAGACAGACACGTCAACATTTAACAAGAATACAATTTAAAAAAAAAAAGTTAATACAGTGCCTTGCGAAAGTATTCGGCCCCCTTGAACCTTTCAACATTTTGCCACATTTCAGTCTTCAAACATAAAGATATAAAATTAAAAAAAAAAAATCATGAATCAACAACAAGTGGGACACAATCGTGAAGTGGAACGAAATTTATTGGATAATTTAAACTTTAAAAAAAAATAAAACACTGAAAAGTGGGGCGTGCAATATTATTCGGCCCCTTTACTTTCAGTGCAGCAAACTTACTCCAGAAGTTCAGTGAGGATCTTTGAATGATCCAATGTTGTCCTAAATGACTGATGATGATAAATAGAATGCACCTGTGTGTAATCAAGTCTCCGTATAAATGCACCTGCTCTTTGATAGTCTCAGGGTTCTGTTTAAAGCGCAGAGAGAACCATGAAGACAAAGGAACACACCAGGCAGGTCCGAGATACTGTTGTAGATACATTTCTCAAAGATATCCAATAAAAGTCTCTTAAAGTTTGCCACAAGCCACCTGGGAGACACACCAAACATGTGGAAGAAGGTGCTCTGGTCAGATAAAACCAAAATCAAACTTTTTGGCCACAATGCAAAACGATATGTTTGGCATAAAAGCAACACAGCTCATCACCTTGAACACACCATCCGCACCTCAGCTGTAGTTATCTGCAGTTCATCCAGAGCGATCATGGACCTCTTGGCTGCATCTCTGATCAGTCTTCTCCTTGTTTGAGATGAAAGTTTGGAGGGACGGCCGGGTCTTGGTAGATTTGCAGTGGTCTGATACTCCTTCCATTTCAATATAATTGCTTGCACAGTGCTCCTTGAGATGTTTAAAGCTTGGGAAATCTTTTTGTATCCAAATCCGGCTTTAAACTTCTCCACAACAGTATCTCGGACCTGCCTGGTGTGTTCCTTTGTCTTCATGGTTCTCTCTGCGCTTTAAACAGAACCCTGAGACTATCAAAGAGCAGGTGCATTTATACGGAGACTTGATTACACACAGGGTCATTCTATTTATCATCATCAGTCATTTAGGACAACATTGGATCATTCAAAGATCCTCACTGAACTTCTGGAGTGAGTTTGCTGCACTGAAATTAAAGGGGCCGAATAATATTGCACGCCCCACTTTTCAGTTTTTTATTTGTTAAAAAAGTTTAAATTATTCAATAAATTTCGTTCCACTTCACGATTGTGTCCCACTTGTTGTTGATTCATGACAAAAAATTAAAATTTTATATCTTTATGTTTGAAGCCTGAAATGTGGCGAAATGTTGAAAGGTTCAAGGGGGCCGAATACTTTCACAAGGCACTGTACATATATGCATTTGAAGGTCATTAATGTTGTGCTTATTTTTTTTATTTGTCTCTTGCGTTTCAATGCAGATTGAAATTTTAGGTAAATGACAAAAATATCGCAATAGTATCGTAATCGCAATACTAAACACTCATATCAAATATCGCATTAATTTCCAATATCGTGCAGCCCTACTGGTCTGTGAAAAGTGCAATATAAATAAACTTTACTTCCTCACTTACTCCCAGGACTGCGGACTATAGGTGTGATCACAAAACTGGATTTGATGGATGAAGGGACAGACGCTCGGGACATCTTTGAAAACAAGCTGTTGCCCCTTCGCAGAGGTAAATGTTAACGCAAATGGACGTGATCTGGATATCTGGATTCTCACACACTGGTTCTTGTGACGGGCAGGCTACATCGGCGTGGTGAACCGCAGTCAGAAGGACATCGATGGGAAGAAAGACATCTGCGCCGCTCTGGCCGCCGAGAGGAAGTTTTTTCTCTCCCATCCGTCCTACAGACACATGGCCGAACGCATGGGCACACCGCACCTGCAGAAGTCACTGAACCAGGTCCACACACATCACCATCTTCTGCTTCTTTAGGTTTCTTTAAGTCAGGGGTCTCCAACCTGGGGCTCGGGAGCTTGCCAGCCCCTTTCAGGTAGCTCCCCAAAGGATTTAGAATTTAACTAAATGATCTTGAATGAATACATGAGTAATTTCATATCTATTATAAGGATAAATATAGGGTTTTACAGTATCATGGTATCTATGTGTTCTCGATGTTTTGTCGTAATTATCGATTTTTAAATACGTCTGCAAAAAGTAGTAGCTCTCTGCCTCTTTTGGTGCATAAAAGTAGCTCTCTGTTTGAAAAAGGTTGGAGCCCCTTCTTTGGGTGATTGGACTTTTGGGATCAGGATAAAGGATAATCTCAGAACCATAAGAAAAAGTCATGCTTATAATCTGGCTGTTTACTTGATTTTTATCTGGCTGGTTAACCCCATTGTCATTAAGGTGCTAACAAGAAAGAGCGACACATTTGTTCCTACTATAAGCATAAAACATAGACCATAGAGAAAAAGGGATTTGTATTATAACTTGTATTCAGAAGAAAGGGGTGGGATTATATAAGTGTTTACTTCCCCCACTCTTTTTCAGACAGACTTAGTTGCCTCATTCTAGGCAGACGAGGTCATACAGTCAATGTTGGTTGTTTGTTTTTATGCACTTCATTTTTCTTTTATTAAGTTGCCTTTACTTTAATTGTTCTATTGCCGTCTGAATAAATAAATAAATTGGTTAGAACTTACAATGGGCCTCATTCACGAATGGTTCTTAGGAACAGATTTGTACGTAAATCCTACTTACGCGGTTTTTACGAAGAAAGTGGCATTCACGAATATTTCTCGTAACCAGAATTTCTCTTGGGCAAGTACAAATCCTACGAGTCCTCAGGAGCACTCGTATGCATTCAGTGCCGACATGTTCACACGCCGGGGTTGTCCTCTTTGGTGAAGTTGAATAAAAATACAACATTCCAGTGATATGTCCGTCATATCGATGTATGTATTTATTTATTTGTAGTAATCTTTATTAGTAATCTTTATTTATATACCGCCTTTTTCACTGCAGATCTGGCCTACTTTTTAATTCATTTTGAAATGAAATGTGCCAACGCTTTATCAAATACATTGGAAATCTTGCCGTGTATTAGTGACCCCTTCCTATTTATAGGGGGCATTTCTTTATCCACGGGCCACAGAACAACGGCATATATACTGCTGCTGCAGGAGGTTACTGGGTCCGCGCTGAGTCTCTGCGCTGGTCTCTCCTATGGATCTATACGGGTCTGCACTGGTCTCTCCCATATACGGGTCTGCACTGGTCTCTCCCATGGATCTAGACGGGTCTGCACTGGTCTCTCCCATGGATCTAGACGGGTCTGCACTGGTCTCTCCCATATACGGGTCTGCACTGGTCTCTCTCCATACGGGTCCGTGCTGCATGCTCCTGGATCCATACGGGTCCGCGCTGGTCTCTCAAGTCTGGTCTATGCGGTCTATCTTTGGTCCGCGCTGGTCTCTGCGCACCGGTCTCTCCAGTCAGGTCACTCCAGTCTATGCGGTCTCTCCTATAGGTCCGCGCTGGTTTCTGTGTGCTGGTCACTCCAGTCTCTCCTCGGGTCTGCATTGGTCTCAGCGCTGGTCCGCGCTGGATCTCCTCCCAGGGTCCAAAATATTTTGAGATTAATCTCAAAACATTTTGAGATTCATCTTTAAAATAATACATAATATATTTTTAAATTAAGCTCATAACATTTTGAGATTAATCTCATCATATTCTTAGATTAATCTCATAATTTTGCTAGTTCGACTTTATTATCATAATATTTCGACTTTTAAGTCAACATTTTATAACTTTATTCTCAGTCTGGTAAAAGAAGAAAAAAGGGTGACTCTTTTGCTCTGTGTAACTTTTTGCTTTAGGCCTGTTGCTGTTTCCTCAGCCGTCTGCACACGGCCCTGCAGTCCCTTATATGGGCATTAGTGGGCGGTTACTTATGCTAAGTACCTATGCTAATGAAGCACCTGGCACGCGCGCTGTGCTTACGAGGAAATGGGATTCATCAATCTGAGAGAACAGCTGCGAACAATTCAGCGGCTTACGAGTGCGTTGATGAATCCCACGTGGGGACTTCTTAGAAATCTACTTAAGGACAACTTGAGAAGAAAGTTGAGTAGTTTCTTACGAAGTTATTCGTGAATGAGGCCCATTGTTCTTACACAAACAAACAATCCTCTTTTGTTCTAGTCTGAGCTCTACATTAAAGTGCTATCAAATTTCAAAATATTGAAAACTGTAAAAATAAACTATCCATCTCATGTTGAAGCAAACCAAACGTTCTGAGTTGAAGTAAGAACAGGTTGTACATGAGTGGAAATAGGCCTGAAGGGTATGAGGGTTTAATGGTTAACATTTACTTTATTCACCTCCATAGGATTAGTGTAATTTGTCCTCTGCATGTCACGGGGTGAAATGAAGAAATGAACTCAAAATGAAGGACTGAAAATAAAGTTTAGTTTAATAAAATAAATCCAAGGTGAGGACAAAACACAAAAATCCAGAACTAAAAACAAGCCAGGAACAAATGTGGTAAAGACAATGGACGGACAACAAGTCTTCATCTTCTTCTATAATCTTTCCATTAGTGTTGCATTATTTAGGTAGTGAAAAATAACACTGAGAATTTTCTTAGAAGGATTTTCTTTGAAGGATTTCGAAGTTTGTGGATTTGGAGAAGGCGTTCGACCATGTTCCCCGGGGTGTCCTTTGGGGGTCCTCCGGGAGTACGGGGTCCGGGGTCCTCTGCTCAGGGCCGTCTGGTCCCTGTATGACCGGAGCCAGAGCTGTGTTCGCATCGCCGGCAGTAAGTCAGACCTGTTCCCGGTGCATGTTGGCCTCCGCCAGGGCTGCCCTTTGTCACCGGTTCTGTTCACGCCTTTATGGACAGAATTTCTAGGCGCAGCCAGGGGTCGGAGGGGGTCCGGTTCAGGGACCTCAGGATTTCATCTCTGCTGTTTGCGGACGATGTTGTCCTGTTGGCTCCAACGAACCAGGACCTGCAACATGCACTAGGACGGTTTGCAGCCGAGTGTGAAGCGGCTGGGATGAGAATCAGCACCTCCAAATCCGAGGCCATGGTGCTCGACCGGAAAAAGGTGCCTTGCCCGCTCCGGGTGGGTGGAGAGGTCCTTCCTCAAGTGGAGGAGTTCAAGTATCTCGGGGTCTTGTTCACGAGTGAGGGAAGAATGGAGCGTGAGATTGACAGGCGGATCGGTGCAGCGTGCGCAGTGATGCGGTCGCTGTATCGGACCGTTGTGGTAAAGAGGGAGCTGAGCCGAAAGGCAAAGCTCTCAATTTACCGGTCAATCTTCGTTCCCTCCCTCACCTATGGTCATGAGCTTTGGGTAATGACCGAAAGAACGAGATCGCGGATACAAGCGGTCAAAATGAGCTTCCTCCGCAGAGTGGCTGGGCGCTCCCTTAGAGATAGGGTGAGGAGCTCAGTCACACGGGAGGAGCTCAGAGTAGAGCCGCTGCTTCTCCACGTCGAGAGGAACCAGTTGAGGTGGCTCGGGCATCTGTTCCGGATGCCTCCTGGGCGCCTCCCTGGGGAGGTGTTCTGGGCACGTCCCACCGGGAGGAGGCCCTGGAGGGATTATGTCTCTCAGCTGGCCGGAAACGCCTTGGGGTCCCCCCGGATGAGCGGGAGGAAGTGTGTGCGGATAGGGAAGTCATGGGTGTCTCTGCTTAGACTGCTGCCCCCGCGACCCGGCAACGGATAAAGCGGAAGAAAATGGATGGATGAATTTCAAAGTAGATTCCCTAATGTGTATTTTCTCGACACCACTGGGTTAACTCAGCTCTCTCTTGCTCGTAGTGCATGAACAACAAGTGAGGCAAAGCACAGGGAATAAAAACAGACAGGGAGGCACAGGTGAATCACATTAGGGCAGAGAAAACAATCGACAGGACCAAAAGGAAGCAAACTCAAACTACAAGAAAACAAATATAAAGCAAAATAAAATCAAAAGTCCACATAATGACACTGCATTGCACTCATCCTTCAAATGCCACTAGGAGGGCCCCTGTCAGCAGCAGGGGTCGCCTCCGCTTGGTCAGGACCGGAGATGGAGGATGCACTACAAATAAAACGTTTTATCTTGTTCGTAGCAACTCACCAACCACATCCGGGACACTTTGCCGGGGCTGCGCAGTAAGCTGCAGAGCCAGCTCCTGTCTCTGGAGAAAGACGTGGAAGAGTTCAAGAACTTCCGTCCCGACGATCCGACGCGAAAGACCAAGGCTTTACTCCAGTCAGTGTCACACTAAGCTTTTTGGGTTACAAAAGCAAAAAGGTGTTTTGGTGTTATGGAGATAATAGAGTCAAAGATATTTGGTGGATCATGACAACTCTCACAAATACACACATTTCCTGTTTATGGCAGCTCTTGGCTCAAACAATGGCATTTTTGTCAATGTAAACTGGACAGTACATAGAGTATATGTTGAAGTGAGATACAGTAAATTATCTTAAATTAGAAATAAGTTTGTGTAAGCTCTCAGTCATACAGGGATTAGTCAAAGCAAAGGATCTGTACTTCTTAGCAGGTTTTCCCAGGTGAGAAACCTTAATTTCCTTAAATTACAAACATATTTTAATCTAGTAGGAAGATAATGTTATTTTTACTTAATTGAATTATTAAAGGTGTTTACTCATAAATTAAGATCACAATGTCTTTACTTTATTGTGATTACTTTAACAAAGATCTATTTCAATAAAAAAATAAGTAAAGTTATTTCTGCTACTTTTGGCTACCCTTTGTGAAGGTCTGACGGTGGATTCATTCAATACAAATCAAATGTGAAGTTTTATGGATTGGGATGACGTCTAAATTGTGATCAGTTTCAAACAACAGAGTGACTTTCCTTTTTGGCATGTCTCCGTCTAACATCAGTTCTCACTTGGTGTAAATGTGTTTCCCTTGCTGATCAGGATGGTTCAGCAGTTTGGGGTGGACTTTGAGAAGTGCATAGAAGGATCCGGCGATCAGGTGGACACGTCACACTTGTCGGGTGGAGCCAAGATCAACCGCATCTTCCACGAACGCTTTCCATTCGAACTGGTCAAGGTAATAACCACCACATTCAGATGAAGTGGCATAGAGTTTGTTGCCCTGTGTATCTCCTCACCAGGGCAGGGCCAGGGCACATTCCCCTGCTGTTTAGGGGACTGTATGTACCCCAGGGGTCAAACACAGGGCCACTACTGTTTGTTATGGTTTACTTTCATATGACTTTCAAGCCATATTTTTAATCTGATTATTTTATTTTTCACTTGAAGTTTTTCATTATGCAGGTATTTTGATATAATGTTCGCTTTAATTACAGTGACTTTACATTTCTGTGAACAAACTTTGATTGGACCAAAAAGCCTAAGAATGACTTGCCTTCCTTACTTGACCAATTATTATTTTCTATTTTAAATTAATCCAGGGTTAACTAAACAGTCCAGAAAGGGCCGGTGTGACTGCAGGTTTCTATCAGACAAAAAAGACGCAGAGCAGACTACACACATTTCTTCAAGTAAGTTCAGTCTAACCTGAAGATTTGAGCTGGCTACATTTCAGGTACCCCCTGTGGACCCCTGAGGGGCTGTGTACATAGCTCGCATAGAGCAGTAACATTAAGATTGTACCGTGACAGTGTTGGCCATTGCCTCATTCCCACTGCGCTCCACCACCACTTCTGCAGAAAATTCTTATTAAAATATTAATATTATATTACACATGTCAAAAAACACAGCGTTACGTTGGGAGAAAATTACACTTTATTCTGTAGATGTAGCTTGCCAGGTCAAAAGTGTTTGTGTTTTTGGTATTTGTAAGACTTTGCAAATACACTTTACATGAAAGAAAAACAAAAAATGAGGAAGGGAAGGGTTTTTCTCTATAGGTGAGTAAATAATCCAAAAGGATTCCTGTAATCTACTTAAGTAAGAGGGATTCTATGTGGTGTTGCATTACCGTTTATGGATCAATACAATCCGTACTATTTGCTCCTTGGCAGAATGGGCATAATCAATCAATCAATCAATCAATCTTTATTTATAGGGCGCTTTTCCTGCACAGGGCAACACAAAGCGCCTCACAGTCCACACCACACAATGCACAAATCATCACCATTAAAATACAATTAAAAACACATATGTAATTAAAAAGCATTAAAATCACATAAGTAATTTAAAAACATAAAAATCACACAAGTAATTAAAAACAATAAAATAGTTAAAAACACAAAAAGTTACAACAATAAATAACAAGGTGTGTTAAAAAGATAAAATTCTCTAGTTGTATGCACGGGAAAAAAGAAAAGTCTTTAACATGGATTTGAACATTGACAGAGAGGCAGCCAGTCTCACATCCTCAGGAAGACCGTTCCAGACTCCAGCTGCATAAATCTGAAAAGCAGCCTCCCCCTGTCTAGTCCTGACTCTGGGCACTAACAGGAGTCCCGTCCCTGCGCTCCTCAGAGTCCGGGCTGGTTCATATGGGACTAGCATATCATGGATGTACTTTGGTGCAAGGCCATGGAGAGACTTGTACACCAGGAGAGCTGCTTTAAAGTCTATCCTCTGGGCCACGGGAAGCCAGTGCAGAGACCTGAGGACCGGACTAATGTGGTCGTACTTCCTGGTTCTAGTCAGGACTCGGGCTGCAGCATTTTGAATATACTGCAACTGTCTTACTGCATGTTTGGAGATACCTGTGAGCAGGCCATTGCAGTAATCCAGCCTACTGGAAACAAAAGAATGGATAAGAATCTCCAAGTCTGCCCTGGACACAATATTTTTAATTTTGGCAATATTTTTCAGATGATAAAAAGCTGCTGATGTTACCGATCCAATGTGGCTATTGAAGTTTAAGTCAGAGTCCATTATTACTCCCAGATTTCTGACCTTATTTAAGGGCCTTAGGGAGAGAGACTGAAGGTGACAAATGACGGTCTCTCTTTGTTTCTCGGGACCAAAGACAATCATTTCGGTTTTGTCCGCATTTAGCTGGAGAAAATTGCATTGCATCCACTCACTGATCCGCTGGATACAGCGAAGGAGTGAGTCCACCGGCCCATGCTCTCCTGCAGTCAGTGAGACATAGATCTGAGTGTCATCAGCGTAATTGTGGTAGGACACTTTCATACTTTGAATTAACTGACCTAATGGCAGCATGTAAATATTGAACAGGAGAGGTCCCAGAATCGACCCCTGTGGCACTCCGCAGGTCAGGGCCATATTATCTGAGACATAGTTTCCAATCTCCACACAATACTTCCTTTCTTCTAGATAGGACCTAAACCAGCTTAGGGCGGTACCAGCAACACCAACCCAGTCCTCCAGTCTCTGCATGAGAATCTCATGGTCAACGGTGTCGAAAGCGGCACTCAGATCTAACATGACTAAAACAGAGACTTTTCCTGCATCAGTGTTAAGCCGAATATCATTTGTTACCTTGACTAGAGCGGTCTCAGTTACTGTGGTGTGGTCTAAAGCCAGACTGAAACATGTCAAATGAGTCATTAGATATTAAAAATTCAGTAAGTTGTTGGTAGGCAACTTTTTCAAGAATTTTTCCCATGAAAGGCAGATTTGAGATGGGACGGTAATTTTCAAGTACCGCAGCATCCAAACTGCTCTTTTTTAGGAGGGGCCTAATGACTGCCTTTTTCAGGGCCATTGGAAATGTTCCAGATAAAAAAGACATGTTTAATAAGTGTGTTGTGTACACACAGATGGAGTTTGATGAGAAGGAGCTGAGGAAAGAGATCAGTTACGCCATAAAGAACATCCATGGAGTCAGGCAAGTCCCAGCAACAACATTATACTGTGGATATACTGTGTTTGTGTGTGTGTGTGTGTCTGTGCGTTTGTCTGTGTTTGTCTGTGTTTGTGTGTGGCTCATGTTCAACCTCACCCTCATGTGGACTTCTGTTCTAAGCACCTATCCTCATTTAGTGGCACAAGTAAAATATTTTAAACAGAGAAAATAGAGAGGTGTATTCAGATATAAGGCGAGGTGTGAATAGTCAAAGACAGCAGTACTCGTCCTTAGCAAACAACTATTACAATTATGTTTTTAAAGGTCTAGAACAGGCTTGTCCAAACATTTTGCCCGTGGGAAAAATGCGACCCGCTGTGTCATTTTATGTGGCCCTCTTCTTGTAAAGCTCAGAAACTTTGGAATCCAGACGTTAACTCTATTTGAATATAGTGACATTTGTTTTTGATTGTGTCACAAAATCAAAATATATGTATATATATATATATTTATGTGCCCTCATAGAAAAAGATTGATCATATATTGATACCCAGACTTTGTTACTGTCCCTGTAGGACCCTGGTGTGTTCTGTTCTCATGTCTATGTCTTTGTATGAACCTGTTGTGTCTCTGTCTGTCTGATTTGTACCCCCCTCAGGACTGGGCTGTTCACCCCAGACCTGGCGTTTGAAGCCATAGTGAAAAAGCAGATCATAAAGCTGAAAGAGCCCTGTCTGAAATGCATCGACTTGGTCATCCAGGAGCTCATCAACACAGTCAGACAATGCACCAATAAGGTATTACAGGCGGTGACCACCAGCTCCTGGGTGTAGTGTGTAGTTTCACCACAAGTTGTAGAATGTGTAGGGCCATTCATGCAAAAGCCCCTGTCTCACTAATGTCGGTAAATACAGAAGTGGCTAAATCCATCTGAATCCTTGGCACGAAATGTTGTCATTTAAAAAACTAAGTCTGCAATAAAAGTATGAATCTCTCAGTGTGTATGGTACACACAGAGGATCATACGAGATCTTTGTCCAATTGTTTTGCTTGAATTGAATTGTGAAATACAAAAGTGCTTCAGATGTTCTGGCTGCACCTGTATATACTGTAAGGATTCTGCATTTTTTTATACAAAATTTTATAACTTTTGAACTTTTTGAATCTTTTTTTCATCTTTGCATCCATTTCTCTGGGTCTTGTATAATCCCACACCACACTACTTGGTCCACTCTGCGCACCATCCCAGGACAGGGCTGTTCACCCCAGACCTGGCGTTTGAGGCCATAGTGAAAAAGCAGATCATAAAGCTGAAAGACCCCTGTCTGAAATGTGTCGACCTCGTCGTCACCGAGGTCGTGGCCCTGATCAGGAAGTGCACTGAGAAGGTAAACAGGAAACGAAATGGACCGACAAAACATATAACAAACAGCAAATCAGCAAGAAAACAACAATTACCTCTAAGCAATGGATATGTTGATTGTGATGTGTGTTATCCTAAATTAACCCAACAATGTGACCCTATCACTAAATCATCAACATTAAGTACCCATTTTGATCCCAAAGTTGTACTCCCTTTCACTTAATGATATAACGGTCCACGCTTCACCCTGACCACATCTTTAATGAAATTCCCTTTTTCCCATTAAGACACTTCCTTGACCCTGCCCAAGTACTGCCCCCTCTGCACTCCTCCTGACACCATTAACAACAAACCCTTGTTATCAGCTTTAATTTGACACTTTCGCTTGAATGTTTCATTCTGCTGTTTTACTTTCTAATGCACTGCTGATTAGATGTGTAGCCAACACTGTGCACAGGTTTTAGTGTCTTGAACTGTTAAAAACTCTTGTAATACTGGTTGAAATACAGATTATGTTTCTGAGTTTGTGTTTTGACTTTTGCTTGATTGGAAGATTTTTTCTCTCATACAAAATTCCCTTCAACTTAAGAAAATTATAAGAAAAAGGGAAACTGTTCCTATGTTGTGAGGGGCGGATTCCTCCAGAGTGGCTGGGCACTTCCATAGAGGGGGGTAATGGTCACACAGGAGGAGGAGCTCGGAGTAGAGCCAGCGAGATGACTCGGGCATCTTTCTCCTGGATACTTCCTGGATGACTTCCTGGATGACTTCCTGGGGATGTGTTCAGGGAATGTCCCACTGGGAGGCCCCCGGGGAAGACCCAGGACATGTCTCTCAGCTGTTCTGGGAAATTGACCATAGCAATAAAGACTTTTGCACAGTACTGGTTATTTTCCTGAACCTGCGTGGCAGTAAGATGCACTTTTTCCGTGTGTTTTATTGGGATTTCCAATAAAACAGTGTAATGCAGCATTGTGCTCGTGTTTGCAGCTCGGCTCATACCCACGCCTGCGCGAGGAGACCGAGCGCATCGTCACCACCTACGTCCGGGAGAGGGACAGCAAGACCAAAGACCAGGTCTACATTCCCACAATACATATGAACTACTTTTAGTCAATTACAATATTTACAAATGATAACTTCGTGGGACCTGTGCAGACTGTACAGGGTTTCCTCAGGACGCTTCGGTTTCCACCACCTCCGAAAACAGCCTGTAAAGTCCTTCATAAGATAAGATAACCCTTTATTCACCCCTCAGTGGGGAAATGTCAGTGTCACTGTTGTGCACATTACAGCAGAATAAAAGAAGGAATCAAAGCACTCAGGTACTTGAACTCATTTAAAGTAATGTTTGGGCAACTTAAAATAGTCTGAAGTCTAAAAGTTCAACAGCAGGTGGCGCTCTAGCTGCAATGTTGAGTCCTTGTTCTGAGTTCTCATTTGTGAGTATGTTGTGATGGTTGTTATGTTTCATGAAATACTCAGTTGGTTTGCATATAAATAATACAGTGTGAGGTATTTGTCATAACAGTGGTACTGTTTTTCCCCAGGTGCTGCTGCTGATCGACATCGAACTCTCTTATATCAACACTAACCATGAGGACTTCATTGGATTTGCCAAGTATGAAATTAAACGATGAATATTTACAGTAAAAACACTTCCTCTTTGGTTCAGCTCTTTAGATCGTCTCCAGCACCACTGCAACGAAACACAACAACACACTATGCCAAGCTCCAATGATTCACTTACGAGAAAAAGTAATATTTATTTCAACTAAATGATTTCAGGCATCAGTTGTAATAGTACAATTTACATGTTTTTTTTATAGAATTGCATTGTATTGTATAATATGACATTTCACTTTAAAATAGATAGGCACAGTCACTTTTTTATTTTTTTAAGTGCCTAGTTATTTCTCAATACATCCATCCATCCATTTTCTACCCTTTAATCCATTGTCTGGGTCAGGGGGGTGGCAGTCAGAGATGCCACCCAAGTCTCATAGCACCAGCCCGTTTCTCAATACAAGTTGGCCTTTTTATTTGTATCTAAGCAGTTTGCGTGGGATTGCGTCTAAATCAGTGGTCTCATAGATGCGGCCAAGGTAGTTTGTGGCCCACTAGGGGTAATTCATTAGTTTACTGAGAGTCTAGGCTATTTGTTATCAATCATTTTAAAGACATTTTTGTATTTGATTTTACCGTAATCATTTAACCATAAAACACAATAAGTAATAATTCAAAGTAAACATTATTCAGCTGGAGTCCTCAGATTAAGATTCAGTTTATTTGCCATTTGCAGTAAAAAAAAAACCCACATTGGAATACATTTGCAAAACGATTAGACTAAAACAGTTTCAATACAGGTGCAAGAACATTAAAGTGCTCTGTTCAGACTGATAACAGCTTGTGGGGAGAAGCTGTTGGCATGTCGAGATGTCCTGCATCTCAGAGAACGATACAGTATCTTTTGCCAGAGGGAAGAAGCTGGAACATGGCTTTCCCAGGGTGGCCAGAAGAGTCATTGACAATCCTAAGAGCTTTGTTTAAAAGTCTGGATTAATAAAGAACCTCCAGAACAGGAAGCTCACAGCCCACGGTCCTCTTTGCAGAGCGGAGCACCTTGTTTAGAGCTCTCTTTTCGTTGTCTGTGATGTCACCAAACCACACAGACACAGAACCAACAAGAAAACTTTCAATGGTGCAGCGATAAAAGTTAAGCAGAATCTTTGAGTTAGTGGTAAATTCTCTACGTTTTCGCAGGAAGTAGAGCCGCTGACGAGCTTTCTTAACGACTCGGTCAGTGTTTTTAACCCATTTCAGGTTAGACAGAGTTAAACCCAGAAACTTGCACCCCTCTACGATCTGCACCTGGGAGTTGTCGATAGCAACAGGAGTGTGAGAACTATTAGACCTATATCTTCATGATTATAAAATGTCACAGATGCAAACGATGAGCTATAAACAAACACGATTTTGTCTCTGTTCTACAAGTACAAACATGTCTCATTGTTTTTGTTGAAGAATGATAAGATAGGATCGTGGGAAACGCACAGGTATAATCCTGGTGTTAAACTGCATGTGCAATTTTAGTGGTAAATTTGATCTCTCTTTGATCTAGATGGATTAGCTTGCTCCAATGTGAATATATTTTGCACACACACAAACACATGATAAATATAACCCTCGATGCGGCCCAGCTTCACACAGACTTGACCTCGTGCTGCCCGCATATACATTTGAGTTTGACATTCCAAATGTTGTTTTGGATGGAATGTTCCACTACATGGGATTAAATCATCCATCTATATCAGACCTGATGGGACGAGCCGACCTATTTTAATCAAGTAAAAACATGTAGCTAAGAGTTGTTTCATATGAAGTACATCCAAAGTAAAAATAAATAAATAATAACATTCCAAGTGAGATATTTATTGTATCTTTTTCAAAACAAGATAATTTTGCCTGTCCCATTGGCAAATCTTGTTTTGAGTCCAAATGTACTCAAAATTAAGATACATTTTGCCAAATTTGAGTGATTTTTGACTTATTTTTCATCAATATGTGCAGTGTCATAACATCTCAAAGGCAGCGGACATCAGAGCAGTTACATTTGTTTCTCTTTGTGTTATTGTGTGCAGCGCTCAGCAAAGAACAGCAGCCAACGCCACCAAGAAGAGAGTGATGCCAAACCAGGTGATTGCTCTCGTCCGCCTTCTGCCCTGTGTCCCATGGAGCCTCACAATGACCTGAGTCTGGGCCTTTCTCCTTTCTGTGTTTGCATGTCTGTGTTTGCATGTCTGTGTGCTCTCATCTCACTTCTTGTTTGTCTCTTCTGCTCTCCTTCTCTGTCCAGGGAGAGATCCTTGTGAGTATTGACCCCACACACATCTTTCTGTCTCCTCTTTCACTGAGTGCAGGACTGGAGCCACCACAGACTGTGATAGAGTGAACTAACTAAGAGTGGTGTCTCTCATAGTATTTGGCATCTACCAGAAGAAGCCTAGACATGTATTTAGTCAAATCTTATAATTGTGTTTAATCGTGTTTAATTTCCACATGAACTCACCGTGTTACGATCGCAGTTTCAAACTCAAATCCGGCTCGTAAGACTTTTTTAGTGGCCCCTGAACTGATTTTCGATTATCTTGATCAGGCTAACTTGCCGCATTCACGGTAATGGGATATCATGGCAAGTTATTTACCCACTCTTATGCTTTTAAATTTGTCCCCAGACCAAAATGTGTTTGACATCCCTGAAATAAATGGTTCAGGACACGATTAAAGGGTTAAATCAAAGGGTTGAATGGAGTTGCCGGTTGATTGTCCTTCAGCCCATGAAGAATTAGTTCATTTGTTTTCTGTGTGTCTTTTGTCTCGTACAGTCGGACATAGACGATCTGGAGAAGGTGAAGTGGAGACTTGTAGATCAGTGTCAGTGCATTTGTGGTGTGTTTCTCCACTTGTGTGAGTTTGTGCTGTGGCTTTCACTTGATTTGATGATATTTGTGTGAGCGTATCGTGGGTGTTAGTACTTTCACTGGATAGATCAGAGTGCGAGAGCCTGAGAAAGTGACAAAGCGTATGCAGGAGGAGGGCTGATCATCTGTATGTATAACAGGTTTGTGCGTTGCCTGACAGTGAGCAGGTTCTGTTTTCTGGTTGGAGTTTTGCATGGTTTTCCTGTGTTTGTGTTTGCTTCCTCCGCAGGTTTTGATTTCCCCTACAAACCTCAAACATGCACAACAAGCAATATCCTCCAGAGGTTTCGGTTCAGAATTTGCAACAACAGTAGTCCAAAGTTTTTTTCTGTTTATCAGTTTCAGAATGATGAAAAGTAAGAAGTGGTTGTAAGGTTTTTCAGCCTTTAAAAATATGATACAAAGGATTCAATAGGAATTTAAAAATCTTTTTTACCTGTTGAAATAGAAATAGAAATAGAAGAATAGTGGCGGGGGAAAATCGATTCTGTTTAGTATCACAATATTCCAAAACATCAAACAATCACAAACATAGTGACGTATGCCACTCTGCCACACTGCCTGGTTTCAACAAAAATACATTCAACTAAACCCTCTTTTCAAACTTAATTAGTTGATAGTAAAATGCAGGTTGTGTTTTTGCTCTATTGGGTCTTGCACAGCAGCATTTTCCTAAGAGATCACACCTATGCACTGAATAGTGTGGGTAGTGTTGTTTCATGTTGCTTTTGAGAAGAGATGAGAAGAAATTGGTTTTGTCTGTCCGCAGGTGATCCGCCGAGGCTGGCTCACGATCAACATCAGTATTATGAAGGGAGGCTCCAAGGATTACTGGTTTGTTCTGACCGCGGAGTCCCTGTCCTGGTACAAAGATGAAGAGGTATTGTCAAAGCATATACAGTGTGGATCTATAGGGAATCCATGGTTAATGTCCTTTTTTCTTATTAGGAGAAAGAGAAGAAGTACATGCTGCCGTTGGACAATTTGAAGCTGAGAGATGTGGAAAAAGGCTTTATGTCCAGCAAACACGTCTTTGCTATTTTCAACACAGAACAAAGGTGGGAGCTGTCGGCGTGTGATTCTCAGAGCTGTCTGGTTCCTGCTGAATGTATTTTTGTGGTGTACAGGAACGTGTACAAGGACCTACGACAGATCGAGCTGGCCTGTGACACGCAGGAAGATGTGGACAGTTGGAAGGCCTCGTTCCTCAGGGCTGGGGTTTACCCAGAGAAAGACCAGGTGGGGTTCACATCACACTGTACCATAGCCTGACTCTCGCCAGACCCTTGTAGCCTCTGGTGGAGCATGGCGGAACTACAAGGGTCTGGCGAGAGCCAGGTTAACTGTACCATTGCTCCTTGTGAATGATAGTATTAGTACTGTGTTAGTAATATTAGTATTAGTATTACTTTTTTACATGGTTGATGAGAAATCATTGCTTTTCAGTCTTTTTTTCTCTCAAGCAACCAGTAATACCAATAATTACTAAAGGTGATAACAGTATAATTGTTTGACAACCAGTGTTAGTCACTAATTATACGTCATCTATCTTTATTATGCTTCATCTAAAAAAATATATATTGTGAAATCGTTCTTTCAGATAGTGAAACTGTAATGTTGTATAAAGGCTTGAAATATTTCACTCTTATGTGCAATGAATCCATAGAATGCATGATTTTAAATAACTTGACAAGAAGATTCATCCACTGAAGTGGTTTCCATATTTGATATTTAGGTTATTAAGTATTTGCTGCTGCTGCAGGAGTAGCACACACACGACTTTATGTTTATCCAACACATTTATTTGTTTTACTTTTTTTGTTACTTTACTCTAATGTTGTTTATTCCATCTGAAGCCAGACAATGAGGACACTGTAACCCCTGGAGACACTGTGTCCATGGACCCGCAGCTCGAGCGGCAGGTGGAGACCATCCGGAACTTGGTCGACTCCTACATCGGCATCGTCAACAAGTCGATCCGAGATCTGATGCCCAAAGCCATAATGCACCTCATGATCAACAGTGTAAGTCCAGGGCTTTAGCTTCTTATTATTTATTTGATTTGTTTTATTTGGCTGAGACAGCATGTTAGCCTCTTTAGATTGTAGCCTTCTGCTAATTTCCCTCCGCTGTCGCACTCACACTCATCCACCCTAAATTATTGTACATATTTTTAGTGGTAGGGGAAACTGGAGGCCCCTAAGGACACCTCTGCAGGCACATGATTTTGCAGGGAGGTAGATGTTTGTGAGAGCTGAGCTCTCGAAGTGCACCATGCTTCATGTGTATGAAGTCTGGAACACTAACTGTTCAGACTGTTCTCCTCTGGGGCTGCATCTTTTCCTCATTAACGAGTCGACTTCCAAACGAGCTCCTGTTATGTTCACATTTACATCTCTGTTTCACTGTTTGTGCTTTTACAGAGCAGTATTTCAAATACAAAAACTGGGCTTTCTGACCTACACCTGATGAGAAGTGCTGAAAAGTAGCACCAAATAAGATAAGAACTGGCTCGTGGCCCATTTTTCAGTTTAGAACTCTTGTCTAGCCTCATTATAGCTTCAGAAGCAAGAATAGCATAATGATTACAATCACTTTCACATTGATTCACCACAGTTGTTAATATTGCATTAAAATAGCGTTTTAAAACTTGCTTTTCATTATATTTTCTTCAGGCAAAGGACTTCATCCACTCAGAGCTGTTGGCATACCTGTACTCCGCTGGGGACCAGGGCAGTCTGATGGAGGAGTCGGCAGAGCAGGCCCAGAGGAGGGATGAGATGTTGCGGATGTACCACGCCCTGAAGGAGTCTCTGGTCATTATAGGAGACATCAGCGCCACCACCATCTCCACTCCAGTGCCCCCACCTGTGGACGACACCTGGCTCGCCAAGGAGCCCAGGTGAGCAAGAACGCACCCAGAGCCCTACACTCTGTCATCACCTATTCTTATCTAAAAAGCACTTGTTTGGAATGCTTCTAGTTCTGTAACTGCAAATGAAATGTAGACTTCTACTACTGTGCTAATGTCACAGTAGTAGAAGAGTTACAATTAATCAGTGTTTTGTCTGAACACACTATCTCCATTTATTGCAGAGCTACTTCAATACTAGTTTTAGTCTCTGGGTCTCAGTTTTTTTGGCAGAACACACAAACCCTGCTTTGACTTTATATTGAAGATTTGCTTTGGGTTTTCAATAATCCCCCTGGTGGAGATTTTGATTTGACTTATTATTAAAAGAATTGTTCATATACATTATTGGTGTCATGAGTTGATAATAGTTTAGTTTTTATTACATGTCTATTTGTGCTTTTCATTCGTTTAAATTTTGGAATTTGTTTTTACGTATTGTTACACCCTGTCCTTTTCAGTCCACCTCCAGCTTCAAGACCCACAGCTGCAGCAACCGGCCCTCCTCCGAGCCGCCCAAGAGGCCCTGCTCCTGGTGCGCAGCCTCCTCGGAACCCCTCCCCAGCATTTGGAGGTCCCGCTGTGCCCTCCCGCCCCGGGCCTCCACCTGCACAGCCCGCCTACACTGACCCCAGCGCCGTGCCACTTATCCCGTCCAGACCGGCCCGCGTACCACCGGCTCTGCCCCCCGGAATCCCCAGGTAACAGAATTCTCCTGTCAGGATTGAGTTGAGGTTGTGGTTGGTGAAGCCCTGAAAAGTTGGAACTCTGTGTAACAATGTAGTTAAGTAAAAGTACAAAAGTCTGGTTTGATTTGATAAAAAAAAAAGATAAAGAAAAAGTGAGGAATGGGATGGATTATTGCGGCTAAATTGAACATATTTTTTTTGACATATTCCCAACTTCCAAACGTTATTTTTACACAATAGATAACATGTTTGTCTTGATAGAATGAGTCTTATAAAAGTAAAATTTTGTGAACAAATCAGGAAACAACATGCTGTCGTTATCGCAATGTTATTGAGTGCCCTGTCTAAAAACACAGATCTAGAGATATGACATAGGCAGAAAAAGGCATGCATTTGAAAATGAATGATAGCACCCGCTTAAGAAACCCCAGCTGCATTATGTGTGGCTTGAAAGTTTAAAATGAAACTAGCTTCCCCATTTGAATATTAGCAGAGACTTGCATATGTTATTGCACACTAAGGGGAATATTAATCAAGGCTTTGCATGTGTGCAAGAATGACTTAATAATGTAGCAAACGGATTTTGGATGTACATGCGTGGAACTAAGCCTCTGAAAACACTATTCTGCTTTGCTCTTGCTTTGATACATATAAAACTGTACATTGTTACACAGTGTGTTCAGTGTGTGTTTGGGGCGTCCGGTGCATGATGCATGTCTCTGTCCTGTGTCTTCCTGCAGCAGACGCCCTCCCTCCCGGCCCACGGTCATCCGCCCCTCAGAGCCCTCCCTCCTCGACTAGACTCTGGTTCATTCTAGTCTCTGAAAACTGTTCTTAAATGGCCTTTTGCCATAGGTTGTGTTCATGTTCTAGAATTCTGTTTCAGTTGGAGGGCAAGAGCAAATACAACTCAAAGGGAAAGAAGACGTTTTTGAAAGATGGAGAAAATGTCCAAATGTTTTCTGAAAGTCCTTTCTACCATTCCACATATATACTGTGGATTGGCTCAGGAATGTATGAAATCGGCACTGAACTAAGGACTATTGGCAGTTACCATAGTTACCAGAATAGATTCTCCAGCTGCCCTCCACTACTGCGTTAAACTCCAGGCTCTTTGGAATTTTGTGATGTCACATGAACACAACCAATTGGTATTGTGATGTCTATGCATTTCAGAAATGTTTTGTATCTGTGTGTAGATAGATTTTTTTTTAACTAAACATTCATTGGCCTTAAAAAGTGTTGGAGAAAAGATTCTAAATGATCCTGTCTTAAAGATATTATGTTTATAGGACTGTCACATTTGCAACTAATATTTTCAATTATGAACTCTAAACATCTCAAATACATGTAAGTTGCTTATTACAAGGAAAAGAAAGAAGAACAGATTTGTTGTATTTGTTGTATTTGATGAATGATTCACTTATGCAATTAGAGAATCTGAAATCCATAAAGTTTTGCACTTTTTTTGTAGAATCTTAATTAGATTTATTGGAGCAGCTTCATGTCAATGCTGTTCAGAGACCATTACAGACTCCTTTATATAGAAATAAATTTTAAGTAAACTTTAAGTCATTACTTTAAAGACATAATGTAAGATTTGTGTTGTTTATAGGATGTTCAAAGGGCAAGACGAATTAAAGGAATAAAGTGACATTTCAAACTTCCTTCTTTCATTATTAACCAAAAAAATACATCTTGAGTTGTTCCCCTTGGATTGACTCTCATACTGCGTCGTCATGTGACAAGAGAGGGTAATATCACATATACAGATTGAAATCATTATTAACCCTTGTGCTACTCTTGGGTCAAAAGAACCCGCCACAGATTAAGTTGTAAAAAATATCCTAAATTAGGGTCGACATTATTTAGGGTATTTTTTAATCACTATGGCAGGTCAATTTGATCCAAGGATAGAAGTGGAAAATGTTTTAACCCTTTATTCAGTTTGGATTCAGCGGCTAAAGTTGAATCCAAAACCATAGTGTTTTTTCTGTTGGTAAACTCCAGCTGGTTGGGATTTAAACTAAAGCTATCCTATTTGTGTAAATAAAATATTGGCATTCATCAATATTGCTGGTATTAGATTTGTATCACATATTTGGCATATTACTTGGCATTAGTAATAATAAATCAAATGTAAGTAAGTAAGTAAGCTTTTATTTATATACCGCCTTTCTGAGTGGAGTTTGCATGTTCTCCCCGTGTCTGCGTAGGTTTCCTCCGGGTGCTCCGGTTTCCCCTACCACTAAAAATATGTCCAATAGTTCTGGCATGTGCCTCCTGTACTGGCCCCGCCCCCATCTCTGTGTGGAGTGAGAGACAAATGCCCAAAATTAACAATTGTAAACCGCTTTGAGACTCAGATCTGCAGTGAAAAGGCGGTATATAAATAAAAACTTACTTACTTACTTACCTTTTCACTGCACATCGGAGTCTCAAAGTGGTTTACAATTGTTGGGTGGGGGTCGCCAGTACAGGAGGCACATGCCAGACCTATTGTACATATTTTTAGTGGTAGGGGAAACCGGAGCACCCGGAGGAAACCTACGCAGACACGGGGAGAACATGCAAACTCCACTCAGAAAGGCCCTGGTCCAACCGGGATTCGAACCCAGGACCTTCTTGCTGAGAGGCGAGAGTGCTATCCACTCAGCCACCGTGCCGCCCATGTAAATGTATTATGTCCATCATCAGTTATTGGAGATGACAGAGATGCCTGTTTTTATCACTGCAGTAGGCTCTTGGAGTTTCCATGGCAACTCTGATGTGCAAATTATCTAGTCTGAAACTCGAAACTTTCCATTTTTAGCAAAATGTGTGAACAACTAGATACATTTCCAAAACGGACGTGCTGTCAAGTTCTAAACCAGTTTGCCGTTTTGTAACTATTGTAGACTTTTATCACACAGTGCGATTGTTTTAATGTTTGTTTTAGTTCATAGGATTAAGTGTGGCATAAAAACGCTCTTAGCTTTGAGGACACAAACGGGTGAAACTACAGAACCTCCGAATGTACTCCAGACAGAATCTTTAACTTTTGTTTTACAGCCTCTTCAGGCCAGCTCCACAGATCCCACCTCGACCAAACCACTGAGAGATGGCCCACACAGATGACCACACCCACCAGCTTATTGTTATTATGTTATACTTTATTTTGTCATGTTCCGTCATTTGAGATGTTTCTGTGGTGATATTTCCTCCATACAAGGTGAATAAAAATATGGATAAACATTTTAAAAAGGCCTTTATTCACGAACATTGTGCATTTTCAAAATATTCTTTAAAAGTCCATAACATATTTTCCTTACTAATACAAAAACATAATTTAATGTCAACAATAGAAACAGACACAGTATTTACAACTTACAAATGATTTGACAATGTGAAATTCTCTAGAAAAAAGATGTTTCAGATATTTTAGGTTCTTTTATCGCCATAGTGCACAGCTGGCGCGGTCAGTAACCGTGATGACCACTAAAACAGATACATTCACTATCGCACAATATGTCATCCTCTACATTGTCCCACAACCCAATTTCACATTAGTACTTTATAATACACGCTGTAACTGCAGCTGTACAGTTTTGACAAATGTCATCCTTTTAAAATATTGCAGAATAAAAACTCCATCCTATGTGTACACTCTCCGCTTATCATCGAACAGCTTTCGTACGGTGTAAACCTAAAACAGAGAGACGTTAGTACCACAATACTTTTACGTGGAGGGGTCGACCGATATGGTTTTAGTCAGGGCTGATTATTAGTCAAGGAGGCCAATAATCCATATGTAGTGCCAATATTCATTTGCAGTAAAAGTGAGAATATTTTGAGTAATACCAACTTCAACTCCTACCTTTGCTAAAGTTTCTGAAGCTTAAGTTAATTTAACAAAACCAACAACACAGGAAAAAATAGCTCCGACTGTAAAAGAGATCTCCAACAGATGCTGAGTTTGATGTGATTGATCAAAATGAAATGCCCTGTTAAAGTTAATTATGACCAAAAATAAAAACTAACCAGATGGTGGTTTGTTTAGGCACATTTACAGTAGGACTGTGTTTCCATTGTTGTGTCGAGCAGGAGACTAATGCATGTGTGTTGAGTTGTAAGTAAGTAAGTAAGTAAGCTTTTATTTATATACCGCCTTTTCACTGCACATCGGAGTCTCAAAGCGGTTTACAATTGTTATTTTTTTGGGAGTGGGGCCAGTACAGGAGGCACATGCCAGACCTATTGTACATATTTTTAGTGGTAGGGGAAACCGGAGCACCCGGAGGAAACCTACGCAGACACGGGGAGAACATGCAAACTCCACTCAGAAAGGCCCTGGTCCAACCGGGATTTGAACCCAGGACCTTCTTGATGAGAGGCGAGAGTGCTATCCACTCAGCCACCGTGCCGCCCTGTTGTGTTGCTGGACAAGACTAATTATTTGAGGAGTATAAAAAGAAAAGGCAGTAATTATGGACCAAATGGCAGATAAGATTGGTATCAGCGGCAATAATCTTGGATGATCATCGGTCGACCCCAAATCAAATACAAGTGAAACTCAAGAGAAAAATAGAATATCGTGAAAAGGGTCCTTTATATCCGTAATACAACTTAGAATGTGAAACTAATCTAAAATGTAAAACATGTCCTTGCATGCAAAGTGACATATGGGAAGCCTTTGTTTGTGTTAATCTTTATTATTATGGCCGACAGCTTGTAAAAACTGCAAAAGGTAATAGAAAAGAAGTGGATGTGTGGAAGAAAAGCTGCACACGCCGCAGGGGTGACCACAGGTTCTATAGAAATAATGACACTTTGAGATATCCTAATTTCCAGAGTTTCACCTGTAAGTTGTATATTTATGTATTTATTATATATATTACCTGAGTGAGGGCCACACACATCATGACCAGGACACTGGCACAGGACCAGAACGACACTCTCCACAGGTTGTCCTCCAGCAGGTTCCTGTCACGTGCCTCAAACGCTCGCAGCACAACTTGCATTTGACGACTGCGCTCCAAGCGTTTGTGCAAACTGTCCATGGACTCCTGCAAGAGTCACAGAAGAATAAGATCCTACGCTTATCAACAGTCTGTGTTTGATCTCATACATTTTCACGACCATCAGCAGCTGCTCCACCTCTGCTGCTGTGATCTTAATGCTTTAACATTTCATTACTATTGTTAGCTACTTTTAGAATTATCTATTTATTTGTTTTATTTGTATGGCGGGATGTGTTTCTGCTGCTACTGGACACCTGAATTTCTCCTACAGGGACAGATAAAGTATCGATCCATCTATTGCTCAGGCTGGAGATTGCTGATTGATGCGCTTAAATATCACCAGGTGATCAAGAGACACTAAATATAAATTATTGGGTATACATGTTTTTCTTGAATTGAGCTTCCAATTTATTTGATTCACAAACACACTGGTCCAAGTACTCCTCACATTCAGTTTTTGACATGGCTCACAAGTGCATTTACCTGGACCCACCAACAAGTTAAAGAAAAACCAAACCACACACAACAAAAACAACAAACGACCACTATGAGCTCAAGACACCGTGTCAAGTCGTCTGAGCGTGAAAGGCTCAGATACTCGAGCGTGCCGTCTGTTTCGAAGCAAGCAATATCTCTGTATGTCACCTTTTTTCTACAGGGCAAACCAGGCTATGATTCTTACATAAGAGAACCTGAATAAATGGAATTCTACTTGGTGCAATCCAATAGTTCCCCTCAGGCACATGTAAGCAAACTGCATGTGGTTGATCTATTAAGTGTCAAATTGTCTGAAGTGTCATGTGGCAAGAATGAAAACGTCATGGTACATTGGCAGTCATAAAATGAAAACGTACCCGTATGTCATCCAGCTTGTATTCCACCAAGTTCCCTTGAGGCTCATCTAGTCCCGCCCACTCATCGTCTCCTCCTACATCACCTCCTCGTCCCTCAATGATGATCTCGAAAAACACCAACTTCTCTGAAAAGTGACTGAACGTGTTGTCGAAGCAGATCTGGTAGTCCCCCTCCACTGTGGGCTCCACCCTGGAACAACAGAGACACGCCTGATTATTCTAGGTAATCTAATCACAAACAATCAAGTTCAGTGTGAATGGTGAATAATGGATGGGTTTTTACGTACACGTGCACTCCGTCAGAGCGCCGGGCCTCAAAGATCAGGCTGATGCCATGTGGAGAGAGGATGTTAAAGTTCACGTCCATACCAGCTCCTGCAATCACCTGTGCAAAAAAAAACTGTTATTTAATCTAGAGACACACCTTCTAAGTAAATATTAGGACGCCATGCTGACACTGTGGTCAATACTAAACAAATATGAAAATAGGTTTGCACAAAAACCAAAAACAAATGCCGAACAGTAAGTGAATAGCATTTATGCGATTGGTTAAAATAATATTTGAAAACATGATTAGACATTATGAATTGCACGCAGCCCTACAACATAGCTATAGATAGAACATGGATAATATTGCATAGGAAAAAATGACACTTAAATGGAAATACAGAATACATTTTAGGCAGATCAGGTATTGCTTTTAATTCAACCAGAATATATGCCTAATTAAACAAACACAACACATAAATAAATTCACTGGCCATGATACTGTAGGTAAGATAAGAAAGAAAAGGCTGAGGATGAAGGCAGTCTTGCAGCCCGTGTTTGGAGCAGTCAGACACACCAAATGCACAGACCTTGTAAATGGATTATATTGTTTTTATGTCACCTGATATTCGACCTCCATCGTCCCATTGTTGAGAGCAGATTGATAGAAACATTCAGAAGTTCCGGGTGGTAAAATGTACGTGAACTCGCTGTCAAGGCTTCTTCCAGAGCACCGCGCCGGACTGAAATAACATCCCAGGATCAGTGCGAGGACAAGCCGCCTGGGAAGGGTCATTTTCACGCTGTTAGTCCGCACGGGGCTATCTGATGTTAGAATATCTCAATGATGTGACTGCAGCCATCACCTCTGCAGCCCACTTCCGCAGTGCAACTTTGGGACGCTATGATTGGTCAAGACGGGAGCCAACCAGAGAGCGTATAGTAGACAACCACATAACAACGTATGCAATTGTATCCAATGATCACAGAGCGTGCAGTAGAAATGGGAGAAAAGGACATTGCACAATCCTCATCCTAATGCATGACGTAAAAAATGTACACTGCCAGATCATAAACAATGTACAGCCTTCTACAGTTAATATATACAGTCTATGGCTAGACCAGGTTCATCACTTGAGCGCCATTTCCATTCAGCCATTCTTGGCCCTATACTCTATCTTCTCTACTCTACTCTATACTCTTCTCTTCTCTACTCTATACTCTTCTCTACTCTACTCTATACTCTTCTCTACTCTACACTACACTCTACTCTGTACTCTTCTCTACTCTATACTCTTCTCTACACTACTCTATACTCTTCTCTACTCTACTCTATACTCTTCTCTACTCTATGCTCTTCTCTACTCTACTCTATACTCTTCTCTACTCTACTCTATACTCTTCTCTACTCTACTCTATGCTCTTCTCTACTCTACTCTATACTCTTCTCTACTCTACTCTATACTCTTCTCTACTCTACTCTATGCTCTTCTCTACTCTACTCTATACTCTTCTCTACTCTACTCTATACTCTTCTCTTCTCTACTCTATACTCTTCTCTTCTCTACTCTATACTCATCTCTACTCTACTCTATACTCTTCTCTACTCTACTCTATACTCTTCTCTACTCTATACTCTTCTCTACTCTATGCTCTTCTCTACTCTACTCTATACTCTTCTCTACTCTATACTCTTCTCTACTCTATGCTCTTCTCTACTCTACTCTATACTCTTCTCTACTCGGATCTACTCAACCGGGTTGTGTTTCTATTTCTCTTTTGAGTTTGATACTGTATTCTTGCAACCATACCTTCAACAAACCAGTATCTGGGGAAATTCCTTGGTAGCCATGGCTTTACCAGCACTCTGACCAATTACTGTTCGTTGGAACAAGGATGAAAATAATAACAACAACAAAAATTCTTTCATTCCATCTGGATTTATGTTTTAATTTATTATGATGCATTGTTTATTTGGTTGGGACAGTGCATGTTGACGGATACATCTCCCTGGAATGTAGCCTTTGGGCAATTTGCATCCGTTGCTCCACAAACCTGAACTATTGTACATATTTGTAGTGGAAGTGGACCCAGAGGTGACTCAGAAAGGGTGGAAGTGGATTCAACCCCAGGACTTTCTTACTGTGAAGCACTGGTGCCACTGTGCCGAACAATAGAAGATGTGAGTCCAAGGCACAACAAATTCAACTCAGTTTTGCTAACGTAAGAGTATGGTGTTTTTCTGCAAGGAAATCGTCCAAAAGGAAAGAATATGCTTTTTATTCTAGCCTGTTTATTCCAAAAAGTCACATCCTGCCATTGTATAATGGTAATTGTTATATTACAACTTCCAGACTATCCAGTTTGAATATACTCCACATATAGCCAGTTAAAAAGATCAACTGGTAAGGTTGTCCTGTCCTCTGTGCTGATGGTCTGATGCTGTGGTGTTCCCTGGTCACATCAGGGTTTGGTGGGAGCTGAGGGCGCCTATTTGTGCGCCAAGCACTGCGTGGCCTTGGTCCTCGTTCTGAAGCTTAGGTCCTGGATCTATAACCCTATCCGTCACTTTTCTCCCACTGGGTTTCAGATTTTTTCCTTGCTGATGCAGAAGAGTCTGTTGGACAGTTAGTGTGTGACAAAAAGGACTGTGGTGATGATCCAGGATACAACATTGTACAACATGTATGGACATTTATCAACATTCATGGACATGGTCAACTCCCCCTATGGACCAATACATATGTGGTCTATATTTTTTTGTGTTTGAACTGTTTGATTCTCTAATCTGTGTTGGCGATTTCAACAGTTTTCTTAGTCCTCTGAGATAACCACTGTTGTAATTTAGGGCTATACAAGAATAAATTCAATTCAATTCAATTGGTGCAAGTTGGTTACTGTGGTCAATTTTGTCACAAAGAAGGAAACAAATTCGACTGTACCTTAGATTATAATAATAATAAAATCTTCATGACTTTGCAAAACATAAACATGGTGATGGTGATGAGATTGAAGATGCATAATAACAATATCATACATAATAATATAATTTACAATTGTTGCAGTTGTAACATAGTTGTGTTATAGTTGTGTTTATAAGTCATACTTTTTCCCACTCCATTTCAGGTCTTTGGGTGAAGAGGAAAATATACACGTATGTTCAAGGTGTGTTGGGGGGGGGGGGGGGGGGGGGAGGAAAGGTTCTTCACAATAATTCACATTGTTTCAAAAATAAACTTAAAATAGTACCACTACTGTTAATAGTACTGATACTATAGGGACCACAACAGACTTCCTGCAGAGCTCCTTCTGTCTCTGTCGCTTGCTCTAGTTTGCACTCTTTGCACCCGTGTCGTTTTGCGGTCAAGGATGCTAACAACAAGAGATATTTCACCACAGTGTACGACATTTCACAACCACTTTTCCACTCACTGTTTTACCCCCTGTACAATTTCTCTTTGATATAATTCCCAGTGGCACAACTCTCTGCTTTCTACGTCTAAATTCACAGGCCCTAAAGACGTTGACATGACAGTGACACGACCCCAGTTAAGTTGCAGTTAAAGATGAGGGATGTGGCTCTATGTACAGAATTGCCTGAACCCAGCTGTTCACCGATACATCCTCCATTGTGCAACTAAATCTATTGAAGTATGTTATAAAATACCCCTAGAAGACAATACCACTGACACATCAGCAGCAGTTATGTCTCAAAAGCAAAAGAGGAAGCGCTGACACTGATGGGAAACTCCTTTAACAATAATCGTTTATTGCATTTTTGATATTTGAATATTAGATTTTCAGACCATAAAACCTATTACCAATGTAGACATTTGTGTAGATGATAAACAGCCTGTGTATATCTATTTTTTTTTTCTTCTTAATCCTCTAATGTTCACTCCTTGAAAAAAGCAATGTCCTTTTTCTCCTTTTTCGGATTTTCTTAGATTTTTTTTAGAACCCATTGTTTTTTTTTGTTTTTTTTTTAAATCCTAGGCCTTTACCAACTGGCTGAGATGCATTTTGAAGGTAAAAGTGCCTAAAACCGAGATGCCCCAAAGAGGGAGATTTCAGTTTCAATCTTGCTTCAAGTAGTCTCTCAAATAGTGATTTATCCAAACGGTTGAGGAAACTACTAAAGGGTTAAGTGTTAAATCATAGCAGCAGTTCAACAGTAGTTCAATAATTAAGAGTGACACTTTTAACAGGGGAAGTCTCACAAATAGGATGAAATAGTGTAGGGAGTGTCCCTTGGTCGCTCTACTGCTCTCTCTGCTCTATCATCACTGTTTCCTCCTTCATGAAGTTATAAACACTACAAACTGACAACTCAAGGCAGCAGTAATATCGAGCTAGTGCAGACGACTCTGTTATGGTGGAGGTTTTAGAGCAGCTCTGAAGGTAATTCATTGTTTAAATGTGTGTTCTATTGCTGTTTTGGATTATTAGTTTTGCCTGTTCCTTGACAATGGAACTCAATATAATGTTTTACAGGACACATGGTGCTGAATGAATGACAGAAGAAGGTTTGGAAGACTGGGTTATAAGAAGCCGCTTTCTTCAAGACATTAAACAAAGGTAAGACAGAAACTCAAGACTTTTCTCAGCGCCCAAGATTGCAAAGCCTCAAACGACTTCAGTTTGATTGGAAAGAAGTCACAACAATAGGACCATAGAATAGAAAAAAATCTATAGAAAACATCAAATGAAAATGATATGAAGAAAATCTAATGTCATTGGTTAATTTAAACAAGCAATGTACATTTTCTATACAGCGACTTGGCTTCCCACAAATGTCTCCCTACAGTTTTCCTCATTTTCCTCCACGTATTAGTAGTGACTATCTCTTAATAAGTCACAAGATGTCATCTTTTGTCTATTTCACGATACATTTCTCAAAGAAATGCATAAAGGGTTAATGTACTGTATCTTTTGTCATTTGGCTTATCAATATAAAAAGGCCAATGGTTGCTGTGTCATTACTGGAATATTGTTGCTGTTAAAAAGTGGCTCAGTTGATATCATGTGTCAAATATTATTTAGTTATTTTTTTAAGGATAGCCCCATTGAGATAAACTCTCTCGTTTTTGATGGGTTCCTTTACACACACACACACACAACACACACAACACGCACACACACACACACAACACACACAACACGCACACACACACACACACACACACAACACGTACACACACACACACACACACACACACACACACACACACACAACACGTACACACACACACACACACACACACACACGCACACAGTCACATATCTCAATCCGAAAACACAGAAAACATATATTCATATACACATAGGGGGTATATGATATTTCCAGGGTCCATCCCAGCTTTATAATAAGGAACACCATTAATACATTACTTTCAGCATTGCTCCCCCAAGCTTCTTGGTCTACAGGATCCCGTACTCTTCATTCTTGTGTTTATTTTAATATCATTTTTCTATTTATGAGACTCAAACGTTCATGTTTGACAACTTGTTATTTCACCAATATCATGTCCATTTCAGGTGCTTAACTGTGGCATGGCAGAAAGCAGCTGTCCCCAGGTTTTTGTAGTAGAAGTGCCGACCGGTGATGTCCTGCCGCCAATCAGACAGAAGCCTGTATGGAAGAGGGCACAAAAGGGCCTTCTATTGCCCCTATTTAGTGTGGTCATGTTTGGACTTGTCTTGGAGGGGATTTTCATCTACAGACTTCACCAAAGGACAGAGGTGAGACTTTATTTCTGGTGCTAGATGTGGCTGGCCCAATGTGGAAATTCCTCTTAGGTCGCACTCTCTCCTTACGTCATGAAAGACACTTCAGCAAACAGACTTCGAAATGACAATCCTCCTCCAATTAAACTTCCCCTTTTCTCTCTCACTGGAATTTTACAATCACTGTATTTACCACGTTCTATCATTGCACAGGACTGCTCACATGTACATTTTTGTGTCTTTTGTCAATACTGTGGTATCCTTGCAGGAACTTTTTCTATCACAGCACTCACTTCAGAACCAGTCGAGACCCCATCCATCCGCTGTAAGTGTATATACTTTGCAATATAAATCCATCCTCTAAAATGAGTAATAAGCAACCTACATTTCAGGGTATTCAAATGCAACAGTTGGAATCTATAGGTAATAATTTGTTTTATGGTGAAGTGGGAGTAATAAGAATAATAATAAGTTAGTGTTTTGTTAACAGAGTCCAATGAGATTCCAACAGCAGTATTGCATTCAGATGGAGATCACAGACCAATGGCACACCTTCAGGGTTAGTGGTTTTAAATAATAGAGTAAATATAGTTGACAAATTGTTTAATGGATTGTTTAAGCATATTTTCAAATATTTCAAATATTTTCATTGTTACCGCAGGCTCCGATACCCTAGGAACAGATGGTGTGGTGCAGTGGGTCAGAAAAAGTGAGAGCTTCACCAGTCACATGGGCTACAACAGCAGTGGGCTGCAGATCCAGAAACAGGGCTTCTACTACGTCTATTCCAAAGTGCACTTACAGGAGACAGACGACTGTGTGATGGTAAACCACCGAGTTGTCCGGAACACCACGCACTACGGCCTGCCTATTGAGCTCATGAGGGCAAAGAGGTACAGGCGCTCCTGAAGAATATTTCATAATATGATTATTTTTTCTGTCAATGACTGTTTTTTTGTTTTTAACAGTCTACATTGCCGCAATGAGCGCCCAAACCAAAAGAAATGGAAAGAGGATACCAATTTATGGAACAGTTTTCTTGCCGGGATTTTCGAGTTGGAAATTGGAGATCACATTTTTGTCACACAGGACAAAGGACTGTACTCAGGACCTGCTGATAACTTCTTTGGAGCGTTCAGAATTTAGACTCAGCCTTTGTCAGTGTAGGAATGGATGTTTTATTTAAAGGAGACATTATGCAAAATTAACTTAAAGCTGGACTAACTCACTGTGTGACTTTAAAGCAGCCGTTTCAAATGCATTTTTTAATTTGGCAACATCAGAACATAACTGTCAGTGACAAGGCGTGATCTGTAGAGTGAGTGATGTCATGACATAGGCCAAATGTGGAAAATAGACCCCGCCCCTCTGAGTAATTTTACCTGGTTTAGTAATCAGTGCTTAACATCATGCCAAAGTAGTCCAAACAGCTCGTGAAGATTAGTAGCCACAACTATTTTGACAAAAACATATGAGAGTAAGCAATGACTAATAGACAGTTCACAAGATTACAAGATTACAAGATCCGGGTTTACAGTGTGCTCTCGCTCTTTCTGCTCCCCTCCCCGCACTCACGAAGCTTTTGCCCCCACTAACCCCTCCCACTCATTCGCGATTGCTGTTGTTTACGGAGCTGGATCATGGATCTGTAATGATATGTGGATACGCCTCTTGTTTTGGCCCAAAAACAAATGGATATGTCACAGGTATTTTTTGCTCCTCATTTGATTGCATGCCCCAGGGCTAAAGTATAGTCTCGTCCGCTTCCCTCGTGCCTCTCTCCCGTTCCTTCAAACGCTTGGCCTCTCTCCGTTTTTTTTGGATGTGTAAGCAGTAACCGGTATCAAAGACACGGGAAGTTTCAGGTTCGCCTCCGCCATAATGTTCATTTCCCTCAGCTGTCTGTGACCTGTAGATTTTCTAAAGAAAGTGGGATCCAGTCGTCCGCTGTGATTGGTCACAATCTGGTCCCAAATAAATTCTCTTCCGCATTGCGTGAAAATTTGATCTAAAATAGAATTACGCTCCAGTACAAACCTGTGCTACTTATTCTTCAAAAGGACATACATGTATATCCCAATGCACTGCATGGACATGGATCAAATTTTCCTAATGAATACAAAAATAAAGCTAGGTAGTCCAGCTTTAATTTGAACTTTTAATCATGTTACAAAAAATGTCCATTACCATAAACATACCTGAAGGTTTTACATTTTATATCCACCCACGGTGATATCAGAAACTTGTGGCACAAACATGTAACTACAACAGCACGCTCAGAGCAGTTTACTTCAGAAACAAAAGTACAGCAGAGAAATACGTTTTTCAAATTTCTCAAATGAAATGACATTCTTTACCATCACATGGGTGTGTTTGCCTCTGGAAAGTTCCAATTTTGGTTGTAGCACAGGGAATTACAGACGGAAAGCAATTTAATCCTTTATACTTGTATCAAATATGTTTTACTTCAGATTTTATTTCACATTCTAAAACATGAAATGAATTTTCATAATTAGTCTTGTTTTAACTTTTAATTGCCAAAAATGATGCATAATAGTTCTTCTTTAAGTAAAGATTAATGTACGGTGTTGGTATATTTTGTGGACTTTTGTATGTAGTAGCATACCTCTAACTGTAACTGATATTCAGAATGATTATTTATTCTTCAAAATAAAGTTAAAATGTTATTGAAATTGCAGTCTCATATTGTGGTGTTTGGAGTGTGAGCTCGACCGCAGAGCCACTTGTTTGTACACAGAACAGCAGCACCTATAGCAGCAGGATGTGGTCTCACAGGGATCAGGCTGAGTCAGCGCTCTCGCTGCTTAAAGGGAAACTTTTCAGCCACATGGAAACATGCGGAACTGCGTTCACGCAGAGACGGAGACGACCGACTTAAGAGGGAATGTGCTGGGAAAGTAAGAGGAAAGAACCACTGCACATGTGACCACAAATGCAACCACTGAAGAGGGAACGCAACACCATGTGGGTCATGTCCTTTTCTGAGAAAACTACACAACTATAACCACACTTGCAGTATTAGAATACTGCTGCTGTCAATCGTACTCCTCAACAAAGGTATTACTTATTTATCCCTACAAAATGCACAAGTAGAAAATAATAAACAAGTACAGTATGTGGAATTTCTTAACAATCCAAACAACAATAATTTATTAGGTATTTCAAATACAACGCTACACAAATATGTATGGTAAGTAAGTAAGTAATCTTTATCACAGACCAGAGTCACAGACCGGTTTACAATTGTTATTTTTGGGCACTTGTCCTCTCACTCCACACAGAAATTGGAGCGGGGTCGCTGAACAGGAGGCGCATGCCAGAACTATTGTACATATTTTTAGTGGTAGGGTAAACCGGAGTACCCGGAGGAAACCTACGCAGACACGGGGAGAACATGCAAACTCCACTCAGAAAGGCCACGGGATAATGTATCGTACACAGGTCATTATCGGAAAATAAGTACCGACAGGGCGAAGCGCGGAGGGGTCTGCTTCCGACCCTTATTATACGGCTTTGTACCAATAGAACACACAAAATAAACTTCAGTCCACTTTTAGGAATGTCGAAAAGGTTTATTTAATGACAGAAAATAAAATAGTTCCCAAAGGCTTTCCTGTGGCTAAGCGAGTAACAGTTAGGCTAGCAACTCCCAAACTAGAACTCCATGGAACTACATGAAAACTGAACAAAGAATTGTGAACATCAGCGGTGAGTGACCCAAACATAAACCTAACCTAAATCCATAATTTGATCCTCTGCAAATGTTCCTAAAATGTCCCGGAATCTACTCCCGGGTTTTTCGCAATCGCTTTTTCTCGCATTAAAATAGTATTTTTGTCATGAAAACTTTAGCAGATAATTCTGAAATCCTCCGTGCATGTGTATTAAGAATGTATAATGCATTCTCCGATTTACATTTAGTTGTGTTGATTGATTGGTATTTGCGTTTATTGAGCGTGGCTAGCTCCAGAGTGGCCGGAACTACTTGCGGAGCAATCTACACACATGAATTACAAGCAGAGAGTGCGTTGCCATGGGCAGCGGTCATTATTGTTTTGAGAGGTCCGTTATAAGAAATAATGACCGGTAGAACGTTTTGAAAATGCTTTCAAATCAATGGAGCGTTCTACTGCTGCTGTGAGGAGCCGTGTATTAAAAATAATAATAATCTGTGATCAGTCTGCAATATTAATAATAAGAAAAAAATAATTACATTTGTTGAAAATGGATGGATTAATAATATTCTGTTTGTTTTTGATTGGGCCAACAATCAAATAGAGTATAGAAATACAGCCTTCCATACTAAGGCTAAAATATAACACAAATTATTTATTTATACTAATATTTATCTTGTATTCTTCAGAAAGCTGCAAAGTCAGCTGTATTTGTGCCACACAAGTAGGAAGTTGTGTTAATTGACTTCCCGACATGAGGAGCTTTCTCAACACAAACAACTCATTCTTCACTCGTGTTGGACACGGTCATGCGCTTTACTCTTATATCCAAGGAATCTTCTGATTCAGACAATGTCATTATCACTGTGTCACCAAATAAGGGCATTTTCAGCACCAAAGATTAAAAACAAAACAAAATGAAAAACAGTCTCAACCACACTGAGTGTAGGCAACATTCATTTATCAAATATACTATAAAAACCCACAAGGTCATACAAAATATTTAGAGGAAGTAGAGAATGCAGTGTTCAACACTTAATACAACACTAATGTAGTGAAATAATGTTTAACAACTTAAAATACAAAAATAAATAAATAATAAATACAGTCAGTTGACTCAATAAATATAGCACTTATAAAACATCCCTGAGCAGGTGCAGACTTGGAGCTGGTCTGTTTCAGCCGACCAGAAACATGCCCACTCCAGAGCCCCGCAGCTCCAGCCTCCAGGAGGGCAGAGGTCCATGAGGGAGAGACATCTTCAGCAGTAGCTTTGAGTCTGTGGCCAGAGCACTGACTGTCCAGCACCTCCTGAGGACGGGCTCTGAGGAGGAGGAGTGGGGAAGATCCACGGTGCAGCTCAGACTGTTCCCCACTTGCACCCTGAAGACCCCTGCGGCGCACGTCCAGCCACACGTCACATTCAGCTCCACGTACAAGAAGTAACTGCCCCCCTGTTTGGCCCGCAGGGAGTGATCCACGGGATTCCACTCAAAGTTACTGCCCACAGACTCTGCATCCAGAAAAGACACTACATCCAATGGCATAGTGTGATTTTTGAGCTCACCTACAGGAGGAGACAAAAACACCACATTTAGGATACATGGTTATGCACGAATCCAAACATGCTAAACAGGATAATAATGCTTGAGGAACACAATAATGGGACGTGACATTATACTGATATCTGTAGAAGATCTTAAAGGTGCAGTAAAATATTCATTTATAATCTCATTTATTTCTCATTTTGGGTGTTTTAATTATTTTTGCAATAGTATTTTTTTGTATAATGTATATTATATTTTGAATATTTTGTTTAATGTTGGACTTCTATGATATTTAATTTGTATCTTAATCTGCAAGGAACTGTTTGTTTATCAAATGTGCTATATAAATACAGAGGATTGGATTTTGGATTCCCTCTTTTGCAGTATGGAATTAATGTATCACTGCTTTAATGCCTAATGTTTACCCTTTATAAATGACTAAACTTTGAAGAAAAAAAAATCAGAGGGTGCACTTTTTTAGCCACAAAATATACTATGGAAAACTTGTTGACGTTGTTTTAATAAGGAGATCAAAGAGTAAAATAGTTTATTTAAATGAATGAAAGAAAGAAAAATCTTCTTTATTCTAAAACAATTCAGGTTACACGTAGAGTAATTGAGGGCAATAACTTACTTGAAGTGGCTTCCAGGTATGCAAAATTCTGCATCTACAAAAAGACAGAATCAAGAAGCCAAAGTTAAAACATGTCAAAGCAGAAAGAACATATATGACATGTCGAAGCCTATGTTTCAGTCATGAGCGCAAATCAATAATAATCACCTTAAAGAAGCGTTCGGGCGCATCTCCTCTGTTCATGGCCGCCTGGGGCAGCTGCGGCTGTAGAGGGTGGTCGGGCGGTGGGCGCAGGTTCATCATCCTCTGGAGGTCGTGGATCATGAGGAACCCCACTCCCGCGACCCCTGCGACCCCCGCGAACAGCACCAGCACAGACACCAGCAGGCAGCAGTCCAGACACCGGCCCCGGGGCGCTCTTTGCTGGCTCTCCACGTCCATGTCTTTTGTTGCCATTAGCACAATGTCCTCTGGTTCTGTTGTAAATGTGTATAACCTGATAAGTGCAGCTGTCTCCTCTCCGCAGGGGCTGTTGTCAATGGTGTCTGGGCTCATGCGGGACTTTTTATACACAGCAGCAGTTTCAGAGAGTCCGCGGGAGGACGCGGAAGTCCTGGCTTTCCCTCACATCACACACATCACAGACATTACACACATCACACACCCCCGGCCTCAGCCCAGGCAACGGCGGCAAAGAGGACGTGAGAACAGGGAACTTTCCACCGCTCTCTCTGCTCTTGCGCAACGAGAGCAAGTGGAAAACGAAAAATCCCTCAAGATGCCAGGCCAGCAACACACTGGGACAAGACACTACTATTACTATTACATTAGAACGTGCACTCGGAGAGCGCATACCCCCCCAACACAAAAGGAATCATCTCGAATAAAAAAAAAAACACACACACACACACATGAAGCTTATTGTAATTATCTCGTAGAAAGGTTACCATGGCACCCTATATAGCAAAAGGACATTAAAGTTAGGCCTAATCTGTATGTCTCATGAATTCACTATACTGATTGTAATATCTAGCCACGTGAGGTAGACGACTGTAACGGCATGACAACACATCATCATCATCACACACATCATCATATCAAGATGATATAGCTGGAGTATCTTGCTATCGGGCGGCACGGTGGCTGAGTGGATAGCACTCTCGCCTCTCAGCAAGAAGGTCCTGAGTTCGAATCCCGGTCGGACCAGGGCCTTTCTGAGTGGAGTTTGCATGTTCTCCCCGTGTCTGCGTAGGTTTCCTCCGGGTACTCCGGTTTCCCCTACCACTAAAAATATGTCCAATAGTTCTGGCATGTGCCTCCTGTACTGGCGACCCCGCTCCCATCTCTGTGTGGAGTGAGAGACAAATGCCCAAAAATTAACAATTGTAAACCGCTTTGAGACTCAGATCTGCAGTGAAAAGGCGGTATATAAATAAATACTTACTACTTACTTACTTACTTACTTATCTTGGACACAGTGTTTGGACATGAGAGCCAGTCTCCCATCCATCTCCCATGGTCTGCACTCCTTATCTTCTGATCTGATGAGATCCTGCCTTAACCAGCCATATTAAAACAGACATTGTATATTTACCTATTAAGGAGCCATTCATGTCTGTTCACTGTTGCTAATTTCCTAAAAATAAAGTCTAGCCTATTTGACAATGTGGAGCTTGTGTTTTGACAATATCCAACATGTTTGGGATGGAATAGTGTGAGGCATAAGACACAGGGAAATTCCCTGATAATGAGAGCCAAAACAGAGACCAAATCTTCAGTCACTCCTCTTTCCCTGTAGTTTTGACAAACGATCTGAACTTTCACTTTTAAGTGCTGTGTCTAAGCAAAACTGCTTTCTCCTCTTTAATACCCAACAGCTCTCCAATCATCAAAATAGGTCACGTCACATCATTCTGAACAACTCTTTCATCAAAAGTTCTATGCATCTGTAATTAGGTTGGAAACAATAGGATGGTCATATGTAAAAAATAAAAATAAAATACTTAACAATAACATACCTTAAACAATCTCACCTGATTAAAGTGGCAAACACGTGTTCAAAGAATCATTTAGAAAAGAGGAAACTGACAGATGTGACACACAGAGCGAGAAACTGTTGTGGTATTGGTATGACGGCATGTGTGAGGAATTTATAATCGCTTATATGATCTCATATTATCTAAACTTATCGTATATATATATAGATAGAGAGAGAGAGAGAGAGAGAGAGAGAGAGAGAGAGAGGGAGGGAGAGAGAGAGAGAGAGACATTGCATCTTTAGATTTAATAAGGGATTTGAATGCCCTGACACAAGACTAAATAAATATGATCTCATAATGTCTTAGCATACAGTATATATATATATATATATATATATATATATATATATATATATATATATATATATATTTATTTATTTATCTCAAGCCGTGGATGCATGCCATGGATGCATGCTGTGGACATCAATAGCGAACTATCTGAATGACGTCACTAAGACACGCCCCCGCCGCCTGTCAACTCCCGCCCACATGTTTCGGACAAACACTGCCAAAATGAATCAAATACAACTTGTCACTTAGACGAAAATGATTTACCAGGAGCAAAATTCCACCACCAAACCATCAGGGATCATAGTGTAGACCAATTAAAACTTTGGCTTGAATGTCGTGGTCTTCCAGTAACTGGTAGAAAGTTTGATTTGATAAAAAGGTAATGGGGAGGATCATGCTAACATTATCTAGCGTTAGTCATTTAAATTCAATGCTAGCGCCTTCTTTGTTTATTTTGCTGTGATTAACTTCCATTTATCAAGTTGTTTTTTGTACTGTCCACTTTGTAATTAGTTTGATCATATAGTTAGATACTGTCAGCCAATATTATAACACAAGTTGACAGCCAAAAAATGGTCAGGGGTTTCTCAACTGATTTAGACTAATGTTGGTGTTCTGAGTCCGAATATCATTTTGCTCTATCAGGTCAACTTTTTGAGATACAGCCATAGTGTTACGGTTACGGATTATGTACGTCTACGTTATCATGAATTCTGCTTATCAAATTTGATGGAGTAAATAAAAACTGAATGACTTTGGATACGTTGACTTTTATTTCTTGAGGAAAACAGAAAAAACGTCAAGGGTTTCTCAGCTGATGATCCGTAGAAATTTGTTTTTTACGCAAAATCAATTAAAAAAAATATTTCTGTAGTAAAAAATCCTGACCTGATTGAGCAAAACCAAAGTCATTTTCGGACTCAGAGGCAAGGCAAGGCAAGTTTATTTGTATAGCACAATTCATACACAAGACAACTCAAAGTGCTGAACAAGATAGCATTAAAATCATAAATAATCACAGAACATTAAAACGAAAGATAAAAATATAAAAACCCATTAGTTGTATGCACAGCTAAACAGCACCGTTTTTAACTTGGTTTTAAACATTGTCAGAGAGGAGGCCTGTCTCACATCTTCAGGAAGATTGTTCCAGATTTTAGCAGCATGAATCTGAAAAGCAGCCTCCCCATGTTTAGTCCTGACTCTGGGCACTAACAGGAGTCCAGTCCCTGTGCTCCTCAGAGTCCGGGCTGGTTCATATATTTTGGTGCGAGGCCATGGAGAGACTTGTACACAAGCAGAGCTGTTTTATAGTCTATTCTCTGAGCCACAGGAAGCCATCGCAGAGACCTGAGGACCGGACTAATGTGGTCGTACTTCCTGGTTCTAGTCAGGACTCGAGCTGCTGCATTTTGAATGTACTGCAGCTGTTTTACAGCCTGTTTGGACAGACCTGTGAGCAGGCCATTGCAGTAGTCTAACCTACTGGAGACACATGCATGGATAAGAATCTCCAGGTCTGCTTTAGACACTATGTTTTTGATCCTGGCAATGTTTTTTAGATGGTAAAAAGCTGCTGATGTTACTGATTTGATGTGGCTATTAAAATTTAAGTCTGAGTCCAGTATTACCCCTAGATTTATGACCTTGTTTGAAGGTTTTAGGGAGAGAGACTGTAGATGACAGATGACGCTCTCTCTTTGTTTCTGGGGACCGAAGACAATCATTTCAGTTTTGTCTGCGTTTAGCTGGAGGAAGTTGTTTTGCATCCACTCACTGATCTGTTGGATACAGTGAAGGAGTGAGTCCACTGGTCCATGTTCTCCTGCATTCAGTGAGACATAGATCTGAGTGTCGTCTGCATAGTTATGATAGGAAACTTTGTTTCTGCGTATTAACTGACCTAACGGCAGCATGTAGAGATTGAACAGGAGAGGTCCCAGAATCGACCCCTGTGGGACTCCACAGGTCAGGGCCATATGATCTGAGACACAGTTTCCAATCTCCACAAAGTACTTCCTGTCTTCAAGATAAGACCTAAACCAACTTAGGGCGGTGCCAGTGACGCCAACCCAGTTCTCTAGTCTCTGTAAGAGGATCTCATGGTCGACGGTGTCAAAGGCAGCACTCAGATCTAACAGGATTAAGAGCATCACAATTAGTCTAATTCAGCTGAAAAACCCTGGACTATTTTCAAAAAATATGTTTTTGTTACCCAGTGTAATAGATCAAGGTCACAACGGGCTACGCCACTACTGTCTCTGCAGGGAGAATATCGGAGCTAGCCACACTCAATAAACGCAAATGACAATCAATCGACACATTTAAATGTTAATGGGAGAATATATTATACATACATTCGTAACACACGTGCACGGAGGTTTTCAGAAGTATCTGTTAAGGTTTTCATGACAAAAATACTTTTTTAATGCGACTAAAGCGATCGCTTTTTTGAAGTAGGTGAACTAGCCTCACTGTTACTCGCCTACCACTGGAAAACCTTCGGGGACTATTTTCTTTGCACTCATTAAATAAACCTTTCGGCATTAATAAAAGTGATTGAAGTTTATTTTGTGTGTTCAGTTGGTACAAAGCCGTATAATAAGCGGACCCCGACGAGCTTCGTCTGTACTTATTTTCCAATAGTCACAAAGTTGAAAAAATCCCTCTCATATTTCTTCAGGTGTGAGAATTGTATACATTCTGGATTAGGACAAACAATACTAATATAGATTGATGGGGGTAGAGGGTATAAAGAGAAAGTTTGTGCTAACTACACTCAGAAGAGCTCAGACGGACCTGATACAGCGGTCCAGGTCCAGTCCTAGCTATATTTAGCTGGATGCTCCACAGTTGATCCAGCTTCACAGACGAAGTGTTTTGAAAAAACATGTGTCCTTTCCTTTGTAACATTTTCATGAGAGAAATTCTGCCGACCACAAGCAAGAACCCACCTCCTGCACTTGTCCTGGTCTGGTCCTGGTCTGATCTGGTCCTGGTCTGGTTCGATGGTGTGGTTTAACAAACGGGTAGAATGTTACTGCTTTCATATAGTCCTTTTCAGAGTATCTGAAATCGCTCCGACAAGCACCATAACTGCAGTGTTTTGTTGTCACCATGATTCAATGATTTAGCCCAAATAAATACACACGTGTATGTGGAGAACACAGTAGTACTCAACGGAGCCGTACAACATGCGCACATGCGCAGTCATTGGAGCTAGTT